GCCTTTTGTTTACGACGTAAAAAGATTTCTCATATCTCTTATACATAAATATAGGCACATGTAAGGCTTAGGGGTTTCAAGTTTTTAACTCGTTTTTTCCCCAACTTGTATGAAAAATGCATGTATGCATGTATTTACTGTATCTATTTCAGTAACAAATTATTTTATGTTGTCAAACTCGATCTAACACTCGTCATCCTCACCCGTCATGCTCATCTTTAAGCGTGTCGAATTGCTGTTCGGAGTGTTGTACAGCAATTTCGGTGAATTGGATGTATTTATTTTACCGTTTGGCTTGAATGCAAGTAAATACTACTAAAAAATAAATGATGATAAAATTGTAAGAATGTTTAAAATTTAAAGTCGAGTAATTGTTATCTGCATGCAATAACTGGTGTTGCACTGGGTGGGTTATGCCTGAACCCCTTTCGTAGAGATGATGCATGCATTTCTAAAACATGAATGAGTTTGTATGCCACGGAAGGTACGTTTCATAACTTAAATTAGTTATATATCGATGTATGTATGTACATATTTACGTAATATAGAAAGATTTACGTTTGCTGTTTTAACTTGTTATTGTGCTGAGATTGCTAATCCTGTTCACGAACTTGGAACTAATAAAATCTTGAACTCGCTCTGAATCCAATCATCATGTCCAGTTATCCCAATCTTGGACGGTGACCCTGAGATGAAATTGTTATCTCAATTCGTGATAAGTATGAATTATAAGAGGTCTGCCATGACGAGGAACTTGTGCTGTTCATGCACAACTAGCATAGAACTGGGTAAAAATAAAATTGCATTTATTATTGCATGGACATATGTAAGTTCGACTATGTAATAATGAAAGTGGTTAAAACTTAGAATAACCACTTGAATTATTTAATTTGCCTTCAGCGTTCGTGTGAGGAATATCGATGCTTTTAATTATGTGACTGAATTTAATACTAGTCAAAACTGCTTACGTTGTATGCAAAAACTTTCAGTTTTGGTTCATTCATTCGCATACATAGTCAAAGATCTTTAATTAGCAACGTCAACAATTTTCGCACTTTCCACTGGAGCATTAATGTCGAAGATCAACCCATATTCTATTTAATTTGCAACGCAAATGCAAATTAGGTTTCTTAGATAGTGGTTAAATTTAAAAAAATAAAAAATAAAATGCTGATGCAGCAATGAACTATGGGCCATGAGTGGAGATAATTCGGTGACAATTTCCTCTTGGATTATTATTATGAGCAGAATAGTTTGGCATTCGGATGCACAACAGTTCACATCGTCTCTCAACTGAAATTCACCATTTGTGTGGTTTTTAGTTTTAGAATTTCGTAAATTTTTGTGAAAGTTGCTGTCAATCGTTGTCATCCGTATAAATTCCGGCTCCCGTCATTCGCCTTCAACCCTCACTACCCTACTTGTTCGTTGTAAGTTAAGAGCATGAATTTCTTCCATTGCACGAGTGTTTTTGCATGCCTATACTTTTCCGTTCCGAAACGAAGAGAGAGGTCTGTCACACCCTGAGTAAATTGTTCTGGTTTACGGTTAGAAATTCAGCCAGATATCGACATTCATTCACTATATTTCACTATATTTAAATTTCTTGCATTCACTTAAATAGCTCATCAATTGTATGACAGCAACGTTTAATTCTGGTGAAAATGTGAAAGAATGTTACTGCATTATTACCCTTGTACCTTGCAACAACCAACATTCTTCTTCTCTCACTCTGACGAAACGAATTTTTTGCTGAAAGAGCAAATGCAGACGTGATTTGATTCTATTGTAATTCCTTTCCGGAGCACTTCCATTTTCAACAATCAGTTTGATCAGAAACTGAGTGCACACAAGCAACCAACCAACGAATGATTCCATGTTGGCATCACTCCTTTGTGCATCGTAAAATTCCAAAAGAGTTTGTGCTTATTGAATTAAGTTCGTGGCAACCAGTTCTTATAGAAGAATTGCGGATGTGTATCTAAATGCACTTGGTTTCTTTACTTCGTAGAAGAGAGTTTCGGTCTTTGTAATTTTCCTATCAATTGAAATTGGGAAAATAATCGAGGACCACGCGATAATTTAACTTATCATTCAATGTCTTGAGTCGATATGTGCATGAGATCATCAGATGCTAAGTTTGCTTGTTTAGAAAAATATTCTTAAATCGAAGTACGTAGTGTGTAATAACAGCAAAACTGCAATAAGACGAGTAGAAACCATGTTATAACTTTTTCTGTAAATCTAAGAAACTACAGTAAAACATCATTGTTGACGGTGGGGGATGTATGTGGTCCTATAATTCAAAGTCATATTTAATATGTATTTTGATGTGATAGAAATCACGTAAATCGCAATCGGGGGCATTGTGGGTAATACCCACTGGGTATATTCATATATAAATAGATATGTACTAGGTAGATATACACAGGTATGCACATTTATTTTCATTTTAGCCAAGCAGATAAATAAGCACAAAGGAACCATCAGAAGACAGTTTAGTGTTAATCTTGGGAATATCTCGAACAATGGTCGTAACCAAATCTAAAAATTAAAATAGTGATCGAGTAGCATTAAAAGGTTTGCGCGATTTTTTTTACTTTGAGCCACTTGAAGATAATTATTTCGCTCCGCTATTTTTATTCTTATTCGAATGGGTAACTTTGTCATATGAGATAGTAGCGAGTGACAGTTGACATTTCGCACTCAACTTGTGACGTTGTTGGGCTCTTACTTTGTTAGTAGTTTTGCTGAAAATGTGGACAGTTTTCCAGAATAAGATAATAAACACTTACGTGCACTGTGCTCATTTTATGACTTTCATTCAACAATTACCTTCATCATGTCGTGGGCTGTCACATTAAGCATTTTTCACGTCTCGGTGACAATTCAATGACGGCATTTATCTCAACTTCATTGTTATTTGTAGCATATACAATTTAGTGACAGTTGTGGAAACTTTTATTAAACTGCTTTTATCCCAATATATGCATGCATGCAGGTGATTCGAGATGATGGAAATGTGATGGAAATATGTTACTTAAAACCTTCTTTGTAATACAAAATATTAACGTATAAATTGTTATCATTTTAACATACTTATCTTCAGTTTTCGTTTAAACATTGGTTTAATTTGTTGGAAAAATCATCTTTGCAGATTCAGTATTAAATTTTACGGTTTATCAAACACAAGAAGAAACGAATACAAACTTGTGTCATTTACTGGGCTAATTTGTCACTTGTGTATTTATGCTCTATGCTTGTACAGATATAATACTGCACATTTCAGACAATCGCACAATTTGTGTCAATTCATCTAGATGATATCAAAGAATTCAAGGATTTTCGGTGAAATTAATTTTATATAATTTAATTTAATTTCGATGAAATTCCAGTGTTTTATAGGATGTCACGATTTAAGAATTATAGTACACGATTAATATTACTCGTGCAATCCAATTAGTCATGGTGGATGGTGCAAGGGAATGGTCGAACATCTTCCTCATAGAATTAATTTCCTAGAAAATTTCACAATTATAGAACTATGCACTTTTGTTATTCATAAAAGTCCCGACGACCTCGATTTTCTTAAACGTACACTACAAATTTAAAGATGATGTTTATACAATAAACATGTATTAAAATATGGGATGTTCCAGTTAAATAAAAAAATTAGATTGAATAACAAAAAAAATTTTATGGCATGTCATGTTTTTTAAATGAAACCCATTATACATATTCAGGTTTTGCTCGCGTATTTTTAACTAAAAAGTATTTTTAGTCAAAAGTTATGTTCATAATAATGTTCGCCTTCGACAAATTTTTTACTCTTAATTGACTAACTCTCGTAAAATCATAAACTCCATGAGTTGTCAAAATGAGTAGTTGAGACATGAAAAACCTTGTCACTATGAAACTGATGGCCTTCCTTAGTTGAAACTTCCAATGAGCTAGACAGAGGTGCAAAGGAAACGACAATGCAATGTGTCATGCTTTTGTGGTCGATTTTGATTTCAATGATGGCAATTCGTAGAGTTGTTTCGCCCGAATTTTCTGAAGTTGGAACTTGAGTAATTTAATTCAACTTACCAAAGCATGCAAACACCGATTGCAGAGCAACCGACTTGAACATTTTGAGTAAACAAGGCCACCGCCTGGACTATTATCCTGATGAATAGAATGTGCTGTCGCGGTGCATATTGCTTATTGACATAGCCTGTGAAACGTCTGACCGTCTTCCGCCTCTCAATTTGTTCTTTGTTTAGTTTTGCCTTTCCCCTGAAATTGCGAATTTGTGATGGTGATAAAGCCAAGTGCAAGAGTGTTCAGCACACCAGCAGATGGAAAGTATGCTACGGCATGAAGAGTACAAGGGTTGCAAAGATTTATATTTGCATTTTATCCTCGACGGACGGATTTATGATCAAGGGGCGATAAAATGAATGATCCTATCGCACCCGTTGCTCCGAGTGAGTGAGTGATGACGGGTTTTACAAGGCAAGGAGGAGGAATATGGATAACAACCATGAGTTTAAATGGTTGTATGGGGAATGGATTTGCACGAGTTGCACAAATTTCAACTGCGATCCATGACATATAGTAAATAATATAAATTTACTTTGTTGCAAAGAATCATCCACGTCTTATGACATTTGATCTCTGCAATACATCTTGTCCTTCAGTAACCCCCAAGGAATCAGAATACATAAATGTATAAGAGTTACGTGGTGTTCATCGAAACCTTATAGTAGTCATGCTGCAATAAAATATGGAGTAATCTGCTCCTCTAATAATCTCTGCATTTGTTTTAAACCCCGTTGCCAGTTTTCTGTAAAACACTATACTTTTTCTGTATGCACTTAGAAATTAAACAGAAATATTGATTGGACATACGCACTTATACATATATGTGCATTTATGCAAAAATACGAACATTATGAAATTGACAAAATCTGATGATAATGATTATTTTTAATTTGTTTTAATTTGTGTGATTTCAGGATGCAGATAAAACGACGCTGTGATAGATGAAGTGGAAAGAACGCATGGGGTAAGCAAATAATAGAGGCGTTGATTTAATCCTTTTCAGCAAAATACATGAGAACTGAATTGTTGTGATCTTTTTTAGCCTCGCCCTTTCGGGGGCATTAATAGGGCTCACACTACTCTTAATTGTGGATGTTCACTATCGAATGAATAATGGCGAATTTGCTAACATCGGAACTGGAGGGAGCACGGGTCTGGATCTTCCTCCTGGGTCGGGTCAAGTGGGATCAGCTCAGGTCACTATTCCTGGTGGAGGAGGCGGCGGAGGGGAAACAGCCGAGAATCAGTATGCGAATAGCAAATTATCTCCTGCCAAGTTAGTACTACGGCAGCAACGTGACAATACAATCCTTATGAAGCATGATAAAGTTCGGTACACTCAACCCAGTAATATCAGTCAAATTGTTAATACGTAAGTGCATGACTTCGGCGAGCACAATGTGCTATTATTTTGCAAAAAAGAAACACTAGCAGAGTAGCTAATCTTACTAATTATCTTACCCTTCTAACACTTTGGCAGAATCTGGGATTAAATTAAATCTGGCTAACCATATTAACAAATTTTATAGTAGAATCTTAAAACCTTGGCCAGATGCATTTATGTATACCGTACTTATATCTATCCATTTATATTTACTAAGCTTTCTTGTGGCTGACCAACTATTTAAGTTTTTCCTGTTTTTTACCCTATTCAAGGAACTTACGCAGTAAACTGAAACTCGAGGACGCTAGTAACAACGCAGTTGAGCATTATTCAGCTCCTCTGGACAAATATGAGGATTTGAAAAAGATGTTGGATCCGAAAGGGAAAGGCTATGTGATTCTGGATGGCGTAGAAAGAGACAGCCCAACGATTGCAGAAGTGCTAAGAATAGAGACTGAGTAAGTTGAACAGCGTTTGAATTGATTTCCCTATTTTACTTCATTTTATGCATGCAAATATCCAGCAAATTCTCTCTGGACTGGACCAAACTCAACTCCTCGCAGCATATAATAATCCGCATTTATAACAATTCGAGGTTTGGGTAATTTCCTTTCGTACTAAAAATGTTGAAACTCACAATCCGCTTACATCCTCCACCACTGTGATCCATTCCATCAAATATTTACATACACGAATCTATGTAAATATACAGTAGAATGATCGGAAAATATTGCCAAACATAAAATGATGGAACATAATGAAACCAAAATTTGAAGAAACGCTTCACATGTTTCATGCTCAGATACTTTGCCTTTGCAGAGTAAAAATTTTGATGTTCGAGTTTATTAATACCTCTCTAATTTCGGTTCGCAAACAAACTGGATTGTGAAATAGCATACAAAAGGCACTGGAATATTATGTTCGTGATGGTTATGATGGAGTTTGGAGGTGAACCGTTGTTGCTCGATTGTGTGCGTACATATGTCTTCGTATCAGTTTCCAGAGTATATACTTAGAATTCACAAATTATGTGAGTCTGTTCCAAACAATAACAGTTTCTTCTTTCCCACATTATCGTACTTAAATAACTCTCAAGGGAAACAATAAGGCATAAAAATGTGAACGACGTTAAAGTTCTCGGTAATACGAGTATACGTATAAGCTTCAGTTTTAAAGAATGTGAATACTGTACGAGGAATTTGATCCCAATTTTGTTGGTGAAAGCATAAATAATAGAAATTTGGAAGCATCAAAATTCTGGAAACTTGAGACACCAATTTAGAAAGATGTCGTCTATTGTACCAGATAAATAGAAGAAGTACATGAGAGAGGAAAAGCTTTATGGTTTAAGACCGTCGTCTCAAAGAAAGCTTGACAAGTATTTATTGCAAATAATTAGTTTTCCTAATTATTGTAATTACAGAACTAGAAGAAATTAGAATGAGAATAGCAGAGCAATTAAACAAACGACGAAACACAATTCGCATATATCTATTCGTCGTTAGTTTGCCATCTTGTCTCTTTTATTTTCTCAAGTATGTAGCGGTTTCCGGTTTTTGGTGAATGCAGACAGATGAGTTCCGACTTTGAGGAGAAAGCATGTCATCTGACAAAATCCTTTGAGGCTCGTCCTCCTCCTCCAACCGACCACTTATGGTCCATGAGTGAAGGAGAAGAAGAAAATCCCTGGATTTAATTGCACTTTGCGGTAATGCAGAGTAATGGGTCTGACCAAATGGCTAATGGCACTTTACTTATAATCAAAGGTTTAGTTTTCATTGTGCATGTCGCACTAATCTCCATTCCACTTATTACGGAGCCTATAACTTCCTTTGTTCCTCCTCCCTCCCATGCTCCATTAATAATTCAGGCAGGCCTAAAAACGTGGCTACTCACTCGCTCGGTATACATACATATGTGCATGTAGTTTCTCAATTGAAACCGACACCAGCTCATAAAAATCTTTTAGCGTGCAATACCACGCGAACATCGTTTCTTCGGTTCTTGTGAGTTTGCTGCTGCTAAATATTGCATGGAAAATGAGACAGACAATAGTGCTGCTGGTTGGTTGAGGAACACACAAAATGATCATTTCCATTTCATCCCAGCAGCACAAGCACAATTCACATGCAGCAATTTCCGGCATTGGGCTTTGCTTCACTTGAAGTTTGAACCACGCACTGACCGGATAAAGGATACAACGAAACCTTCTCTTCTCTGCCATTCCATAACTTCTCCTTCGCCACCAACCACCGCTGTTGACTGCAAACAACTCCTACAATCTATTCGTGAGTTGAATATCAGACCAAAAAAGCGATTTCTGCTTGACATCAAATTCAACTTGTTTGGTTACCAGAAATGGCACAGAAGAGCCCGAGAAGCCAACTTTCCTTTCTCTCTTGATGGAAGAAAATTATCTTGTTTCCTTAACTTTGTGTTCTGTTTGAATTCAAACGAGGCGAGATATAGAAACTTTATCCACATCAACTAACCTTTGATTTGGCAGTTCGATTTCCGGAGAATTATTTGAAGAAAAAGGCACAAGGTCGATAATGGCATTTGAGAATTCGCTCTTGAGCTGTTTGATCTCACGTTTCGAAACTTGGCATTTATTTCCAAAGCATGTTGCCTGCAGCATTTCCGTGTATTTTTTTCTTTAAAGGGGACCTCATAATAACAAGTGCATGTGGCAATACTCAAAATTATTTACATTATATGTGCATATATGTAGATGCTGTAGTTAAACTACTTACACGACGGAACAAAAAGGAGGATATCGAAAGATGAGAGATAGACAGATAGCTTGCTTGGGTGTGGAACACGACTTGGCCATTTGAGACGATTCAGTCGTGCTCAACCTGTCCTCCCATAAGATAACAAAGTCCAGATGAAGGAATTCAATCGCTGAAGATGTTCCATTTCTGCGTGCCATTCTCTTGAAGACATTTTCTGATCAGATCATCGCAGTCATTCTCCTGCTACGACGACTTTGATTTATTCACCTGGGTGTAGCTGTCACTTTCACTTTCACTCCTTCTCGTTGCAGCAGGAGCAGCAGAAAGAGCTTACATATAGCATAAAACCACAATCGCATGATATAAGCATTGAATCAAAGCTATCTACGCCATACACACACTGAAATGAATGAATAATGACAATACGGCAGGAAGGCTGCTGTCAGTTTTAGTAAGATTGATCCTGAATATTTCATGACAAACCTAATTTACTGGACGTTTATATTGGTGTGTGTATCATACATACGACCATGCACATGCACGTATGCGATAGAGTAAACAAGTGACGCCAAGCCAAAAACTAGCCCAGCCTCCATTCTAATGGCAGCGACTCTCTAATGCGAAGGAGGTAACCGACAACCGAGGAAAAACACTTTACTTGCATAATGCCTATACTATAGATCTCCATTTCCAAGAGTTTGTAATTGATTATGACTTTGAATGAGTGGGAAGAAACTAAAAGTCCATTAATGTCTATCAGTGAAAGTGCTACACAGAGTGATACTTTTGAAACACAAGTTGGTAATTTCTAAAGTTTTCAATGTTTTTTTTTATTATATTTTCTGCATTTGTTCGTTCGTTGTCTACAAACCACAAGGAGGAATACATAATTTCATTTTTTGCATGCATAAAATAAAGTGGTAGATAATGGACAGACGTCTATTCATGTCCAAACTTTAAGTGGGTATATAGAAGTAAATCGAGGATTGTCGTACATTCACAGACGCAGTGTTACCTCCTCGTCTCCTTTCTCTCGCATATGCTGTTTTAAAACTACAAATGTTGAATAAAAAAATAAATCCCTATCTAATCTGCCTAAACGAGGAAAACCCGCTTGAATGGATCTCGTTTTTTCAAGAATTCCGAGTGTTTGTGGACTAAAGAAATCCTGAGGGTGAGCTTGAAGGGATTTGCAATAACCTGTTTACTTACGTTCGTCTCCAACAGAGCATAATGAAAATCTGTAAAGCTTGACGACGACGAATGTGACCCTTCCATACAGTCGGGGCTTACTTTCTCCAAGAGATAAGTAAGTGGGATAGGCAAGAGAAACTGATCAGTCAGTCACCCGTTGGCTTGAATATCTGTCTTGTCGTTATTTCTCAAACTTTCTTGCATTTAGGAATCTAGACGCGAATTCCATAAAACTATGTAGAATTCCTGCCATTTATTATTATTATTTTAGATGTTCAATACGAGTTGAATTTGAAACTTATTTTCGCTTTCTTTCAATACAGTGCAAAGATTTGGTGACGTACTTTGTACCTTCTCACGATGGTCTACAATTGAAATACTCTCACAAAATTCTAATGCAGAGTATTTTTATATATAGCCCTTAACACATGAGGCACAAGGATTATTAAAATAAAAGTTTCTTACCGGGATTCCCCAGGGGAGGAGTTTTCAAGAGCGTCTTAACACGGTCAAAAATGGGCCTAAAGGTCATATGAGGGGAAATTTTGCACCCAAATATCTAAGAAACTCTCCCGAACTTCGACGAAATGATATCTACAGGTTCGTCATATAAAGTTAAGGAGAAAACAACGCTATCAACAGTTTGCACATGAGTCATGAAGCGTAGAAAGCTCCTCCCCTGGGGGTGTGGCGGTAAGAAACCTTTATTTTAATAATCCTTGTGGCTCATGTTTTCAGATACATCAGCTTCCCCAGTCATTAAATTGATTGCTCATTCAACTACAGGATTACTTGGCAAATTTTTACTTCTGTAAATTCTTAATTTTAAACCGGTAGAAATATTTTGACATTCCAATATCACATTTGCTTTCAATATTTGGTGCACAAAGCCTCATCTATCCATACGTCCATAAATATGTATTTACATATCTATATCTACTCATTTTTTGTTTATCTGGTTTAATATGCAAATATGTAGGTATATGTAGATGTACTAATTCTGAAGGCAATTAGATTAAAAAGAGTTTTTATGCCTAAAGGCAGACTGACGGCATGAAAGTTTCATAAGTGAAGCCACTCGAGCTTATAAAATCAGTTGTCATTTTTCATCAAAAATTAATATGTACATATTTTCTTACGTAAAAGGGATGTTTTCGATTTTTTCATGCAGAAATTCTGGGAATCCATATTGCGATCTTGCCAGTCGTCAACAACAAGTTGACATATTAAAAAAGTTTTCTTTGATCTAAAAATTCATATTATGGAAAATACTGAGAAAATACTCGATTCAGAAAAATAATTGCGAATTACATGGGCGATATTGGATGTTTTACTTATATTTCGTTCAACTGGGAAAAGGCAATAAATGCCTGTCGAAGGACATATTATTTCTTCCTCTTTCTTCCACCAACATCAATCAGGGAAGTATATTGACGTTTGCGCTGAAAATAACTTGTGCGTGGTCTTCATTAAACCACGTAAAACATCAAATTAGGCTGCTTCCTAGTGAATCATTACGATAACTCATAGACGAAGAGCCTTGAAGTCTGAACGAGAGGATGAGAAAAGGCTCCAATTCATCGGAGAAGGAGAGAAGTCGTTGAAAGCAATCGCAACACAACTTTATTTTTCCTGAAGACGGGACTCATTAATCAATGCCTTATTTTGACGGTTCTGTATCTACAAAAGCGAGGATGAGTTGCTTTGATATCTATTCAAAATGGTCGAAATGAAATATTGACTAATGATTTGGATGAAAAGTAGTCATCGTGCCCACGCAGTTTGCTGTGTGGTTGTTGGGATGAAAACATCAAATGAATATCTAAAGTGTGCTCATTTCGTTCCATTCGGATTGAATTACCAATCAGTCCCAAACAGCAGAATACAAGCTCTGTCGTGTTGTTCAACTTCACTCCGGAAATAAGTGACACATAATATGGTAAGTGCATGTGCTCAGGATAATGAGCCTGCTGCTGGACAGGACCCGAGATGATGATCACCCACCATTCTTTGTGATTAGTTGTTAGTAATAAAAATTCACCTATGCACGTATTTATGTGTACATATTTTTGGGAGTCATACGTGATGTAGCAGATATTAGCACATAAACTGTTGACAAACATTTCCCAACTTGAAATGTTTAGTTTGTTGATATTTTTGGACTACTTAAATGATGCAACCACAGCAGAACTAAAGAAAAAAAATTCGCTTGATTGGTCTTCGGCTAGCTAAATTCTTCCGATAGATGTATACCACCAATAAAATTTTATTCTTCAGGTGCCAATTGAAAAAGGAAACTTAACTTTTCCCATGAAAAGTAACACATCCAAGCTCACGTCGTTTGCTTATTCTGCGTTTTCTACTTTTTTGTTTGGTTTAAGAATGACAATCTTGGGACTGGTCCCAATGATGTCCACTGTTGTTTTGATCAGGTTCTTTTCCTCCTCCGATAGTTGGCAAACAGAAGGAAAGTTCCTCCATATTGAAGATGAAGGAGAGAGCGAGATAGTGAAATGCTTCTTCAAATTCGAGTGTGGCATAGAAAAGTGGATTGAACGGAAGTATGTGACCTCATCTCGATCTCATACCAACCCCGAAATAGTCTCAGCTTTGCAAACAAGACTTGAATGACTTTTTTGGCGATACCATGCTCACTCGACTTGGTAATATCCTTTTTTCTTGGAGCAAAGAATTGTCATATGAAGAAAAGTTTGCCGGTTGGTTGGCTAGTCAGTCGGTTCAGCATTCAGCTCAATTTGTTTGTTGCAAGAAAGGCATCGTAAAAGCAATGGAAACCTCTGAAATTGCCAGAAGCATGTAAGTGTATATCTGTCAGCAAAAATTGTGACAGAGGCAAATATCGGACTATAGGCAATTTTGAGAAGGTTGGATTACGTTCACTCGGATGCGCCGAGAGCTACTGATATGCTCACACGTATTGTTTGTCTTAGAACAAACAAGAAAAGTTATTAGTTTGAGTTGGACTTGTTTTGAATCCATCACATTAATATGATTGAATTAAGCAGAAAGGGGCTTTAATAACACTTTCTATAATTGCTTGTTTGCAGAAGTAGGCCAAATCTGACATCATTCGAGCGCTTCCAACTGCTAATTCGCAAGCAGTCCTTGTACGAGGATGATGACAAAGTGGTCGACACCTTGCTCCATGAAATGGTCATTGAAGAGATTGTCCACATTGAGCAAAAGGAAGGAGGAACACAGCTCAAACTGATCATGGATTTTGAGTCCAATGGACAAGCAATGTTCAAGCCAATGAGGTTAGTGTTTTTTTCAGCCATATTAATATTCTTCTGATCCCATTTGTTTTCAATCTATGCTGTCGATTGTTTGGTTATACTTTTTATTTTAATACATTTAGTCTTAATTGATATTAAATACTCTATCGATACTGTGATAACATATTGGGATGTCGCAATAATCCCCTTTTTAAAACTGAGCAACTGAATTGTTGATAATTTGCTAAAATAATCCCTTTTTCCACCATTTGTGCTGTGGTGGAAGGTTGTCGAAGTCGTTCGTCTCTTGCTTAATAAGAGAGAGAAGGATTTATTACATGATTAATGTTGTCATTGGTCTAGATTTCCGAGACAAACCGAGACGCTTCCCAACCATTTCTATTTCACGGACTTTGAGCGTCACAACGCAGAGATTGCAGCCTTTCACTTGGACAGAGTAATGCAGTTTAGAAGGTAAGAAGAGACGTGAGCCGTAGGATATATTTAATGCAGGAGATGAAAGCCATTTGTCAGAGACTGACTGTCCATCTCTGGTCTTTGGAATTTGGCCATTTCGATCCCCGTGTCACAGTGACAAATTCTCCAATGGCAAATTCTTCACAGCCAACAACAAAAAATATTGAGTAGCTATACACATTTACTGATGCATGTATATGAGTACTCTAGAATGCGCAAATGTTCCTCTCATTATTTTGTAGAGAAAAATTATATGGATTTGTCAATAAGATTTGACAGGGCTGATTTCCAATCGTTCGCCAAGCATACGTTTGCCACTGAGCTGAAGAAACCACCAAGTTGGCGAAATTAGAAAATTCCTTACAAATTCTTATGTCTTATTTCAGGGCACCGCCAGTTGTCGGACGATTGCTCAATATTTCATCAGAAATCTATCCCTTAGGTTCGTCATTTCGTACTCTCTAATGAATCCCAAAGATCCCAAACTTAATAACTTTTTACGTGTATGAAATTCTTCAAGTAAATAAATATGATAAGAATGGATTGTAATATAAAATTTACCATTTCTAGCTGAGGGCCAGCTATTACATACTTTCTTTGTCTCTCCGGCCGGCAATATTTGTTTTCATGGTATGTCCTCTTCCTTTGATTTGTTCAATACGCAAAATATAAACTGCGCCCACGGTTTGTTATTTTTTTGCAAAAATAAAAATAATCGGGCCTTTCTAACCATATCCAGATATTCGCTCCAGATATTTGTCTAAGAATTTTACGTTAATTTTTGCAAAATAGGAAAGTGCAGCTACTACTGTGACACTAGTCATGCAATTTGTGGCGCACCAGACATGCTGGAGGGATCGTTGGCCGCATTTTTGCCACCAAAAGGTAATTTCGCATGACTATATACTAGATACAGCCTCTCATTATATTAGTCATATCTAAATAATATATCTAATGGCAGTCGGTGGGGTCGCTTTCTCAAATTCCCCCCCGAAAAGTCGTTTGTCATACATATTTGTTACACTGCTAAATCAGAGCTACTCGAGATCAAATACACAGTTTGACCCTCGTTGATGACAACAATACGTGACCAAATAACCGTCAAAAATAGTTGAGACAGACAACTCTTCTTGAGATAACTTGCATGCATATATTATGCTACACAACTAGCACATAAGTACATAAATACGCACAAAGCCTCATTCCCTCTCTCTTTACAATCTGACTATACATGCATTTGATAGTCTCAAATGATGTCCTAAGCACGACCCTTGAGACCTGAACACGTTTAAACTCAACTAGGCAAACAAATGAACTTTCGTCAAGAAAAGAATGCATAAGCCTTTTCGACTTAAGACAAAGATAAATGTGTTCATGTCTCGAATGCGCTACTTTTCACAACTCTTGCTCTCACAGGTTTCACTTCTAGGCTCCCGTTAATAATTTACATAATCGTTTCACCATTCCCTCCTCCGTGTAATTAATGAGTGGTCCGAGTTCTTTCTACATTTGTATTACATGCACACATTCGTATCGTACACACTGAATCTTCAGACTAATCTTTTATTGAATAAAGTTTATGTTACAGTGTTTTCAAGTGGTCTAGGCTTACGTAGTAAAAAGAGAAAGTCATTTCACATCCCCCACTCTCAATCAATTACATTTCCTTTCCCTTCACCTCAATTGATCGCATGCTATGAATGATTTTTTTACTTCGAAGCTAGAAAATGTTTAAATAAATCATGACGATGAAATGCAATTCCATTGCATAACACAATGTGTCTGATTATGGCTGCAGAGTAACTAATTGGCGTTGTATTTATTTAACAGAGGCTGCAGCAAGAAAAGTTTGGCGGCACCCGTGGAGACGTTCGTACCACAAGCGGAGGTAACGATTTGATTTTTCCTGTGAGTCTGGCAGAAAAGGTATTTACATTGACCTTTACGTCGTAGGAAAGCGCAGTGGGAGGTGGACTCTGACTATTGTGACCTCATCCGGTCAACCCCACCATACGACCGGGGACGTCGGCTTCTGGATATTGTGGACATGGCAGTTTTAGATTTCCTTATGGGAAACATGGATAGGCATCACTACGAAACTTTCAAGATGTTTGGAAACGACACCTTCCTTATTCACTTGGGTTTGTAATGCATCTGAGAAAATAGTTTGATATTAGGCTTATCATTAGATACAGATGAAAATACTGCATGGCTTTTCACTGGCTTTTATCACTTAATTTGTTTTTCAGATCATGGGAGAGCTTTTGGGCGACCAAAACACGACGAGGTGTCAATATTGGCCCCTCTCTACCAGTGCTGCATCATAAGAAAGTCCACACTTGAAAAACTTCTCAAGTAAGTCTTTACCTCCTTCCTTCCTCTTCTCTCTCGCCAAATTACTATACGCTCTCTAGATAAGTAGGCAGCCATTTCATCTCTCAGCCCGCAATCATATATATTTAGCGGAGGTTTTGGGGTTAAAATCCCTGGGATTTGTGGTTGATCATTTGAGCTGGATCCATGGTCGCATGTTTTCATGTCATACTCGCCAGCCTGTAATGTTAAATTTAATATTGGAGGACGGGGAATATGACAGGAAAATAGGTGACTATAGGTCCGGCTTTAGAAGTGACGCTATGCACAACTTATTTGTCACGATAGTGCGGTGGGTGGGTGTCTGTATTTACACACGGTATATTGTCCCTAAGATCGACATATAACAGGACACTTCAGCTTTCTCTCTTGTGTGTACAACTCGAAGGAGGACGGTGAAAGCAAGTTTTGAGACTTCTTGTTCTAGACTTTTGGGTGAAACGCATCCCATAACTATTCATTCTTGAGTTTTCAGGCTGCACCATTCAATTAACTAGCTCATGTTGTTCAGCGGAGTGCAAGTGAATGGAAATGTTGATGAGATAAACTTTTCTAATTTAGCCATCAGATCATTCAGCTCCAAGTCTTTTGGAGGAATTGATGAGAGGATGCAACTTCCTGCTTTGTTATACAGAGTAAAAGTCTTCAAGATTACGAGATATATATTTATTACGACGAGCTGCACGAGGACGGATGGAGCCAATGCTTTTCTGCTATACTGTGCATAATGCGTAATCGGATCTTTCACTTGATCGAACTATGATGCATTTTCGGTTACGACAGGTTTTCCAACTTCAAAATCTCATTACCCAAACTAACTCAAGTTCTAATTGGCTAACATTCCTGGTAATTAGATTCGCGTGCAAGAAAAAAAGTGTTGGTGAAAGTAACATTTCATGAGCTTCGTTTTTCAAAAGGACGATAATATGATACTGATTTAGATTATGCGAGCCTTGTCAACTATGTATGTATATGGGCTAAATATGTCGTCCCATTAATTATTTTTAAATAATCTGCACCATGTTTGCTTCACCAAAGTTATGCTTTGTGGATCAATACTCCATTAGCAGGCAAGATACTAAATTTGTACGAGAATTGTAGTCCAAATAACGGTAGGATGTGAGGGGAAAGAAATCAATCAGTTTCATCATCATAAGTAATGAAGATATCGGGGTACGCGTGGCTTTTATCTGCGCCACGGCCACACCTCACATGCATGATCATCCGAAGAGCAGTACGGAAGCAGGCTTCCGTTTCCTCCACTCTATCTCAACGCTCTTAGTGAATACGCCGTGTGAATGCTTGCCACACAGATATTGTATGAAGGCTTGATAAGTATCATTATTACTTAGTTTGTAGTGACGCATGGCATAAAGTTATGCAATTCAATTTCTCCATCAAGGCTGTTAGCTCGTTCTAATTATGTGATAACCAGCACAATGTTCAATGGGTTTGATCATGACTAGGAGGACATATGTATGCGTAGTATTTACAGTCTAATAGATCTCATCGCAGAGGCTTCTATACTTTTAGTCATCTCGACCCTTCCGTTTCCTGGTTAGCCTGCATTACTGTACATATGTATTGTCAGAAAAGTGAACATGCAAAATATTTTAGGACATTAAATACCGAAGATTATTTGTTGCAGAGATGGTTAGATAACCGCTTAGTCATTCCTGTTTGTTGTATTTTGCTTGTTCTCATTTATGAAATTTCGGTATAAGCTGGCAAATGCATGAACTTAATACATATTAATGCTATTGTTTTGGTTAATTTTACAGATTTCACAATGGCCCGGAAACCTTGAGCAGTGCTCTAAGAAAATCAATGCACAGTGATCCACTGGACCCAATTTTATGGGTATGCAAAAAGTTATAAATAGTTCAATGGCAATTCAATGTTATAATGATTTTATTTACATTTCTTGTAATTTTAATTACAGGAACCCAACTTTGTAGCAATTGACCGTCGTGTTAATATCATTCTTAAAAGTGTTCGACAATGCATCCAGCAACGAAAAGATGCCGGAAACACGAGCGGAGAACAATCTGTAGACGAAGTGATTATTGACGACGGGTTTTAAGTTAATTTTTCGGAATCCGTAAAACCCAGACCTTTACAAAAGAATGCGACTTTTCAGTTGTGACTCCCTAATTTTAATCCTAACAAGAAATTTTAAAAATTCTGTATCAATGTGATTTTTAAATCCAATTTATATTATTTTGTTTTATTTTATTTTATAACACTTACATAAGTTATCACTTGAATTGAGATTAAGCGCATCCCAGTTTGTTTAAGTAATACCCGGTGAGACAATTAGCTAGCTTATTTTAAAATTTCAAAAGCAGGGTCCTATTTTTGGAAACGACCGAAGAGGCAAGTGTACATTGCTAGAATTAAATTATATCCAACAGATGATACATTGTGATATGAAATTTTCTACACGAGCGTGTTTATTGTCAGGAGAGTGATATGCACAATCTATCGCATTGTAATGATTACATATAAATAACAATAGCCAAGTAGAAAATAGCATAGAATATTCAACATCATTTCATTCTTCTTTGGCTGCCAAAACTCTTTTGATGTGATTTTTTGTTGATTTCTTTTTTAAATGGCACCATTACGTAGCTCCTATTGGCACAGTGGTTTTGTTATGATTGATTTTTAAATAATGCATCCTGATAATTCTAGTAGTTCCAGTAATTTTAAGAGAATTCTTTTATTCGTCACATGAATTTTGCAAGTGAGAGATTATATTTAAATTGTTATGTGACTGTATGCTTTACAGGTAATATTGCAGGAGCTTTAAGATGAATGTTAATATAGCACCATAAATAGCTCACTTATTTCATGTATTTTACATATATTGTAGCACTAATATGCTCTAAAAAGAAGATATGCTTAATATCAAAAAACATGTTAACAACTACCCCTCCCGGTACTGTTTAAACTGAAATTATGAACTGGCGAGATATTGTGTCACTGACAATAGGTATATAGGAAACTCAATTGAAGCAGTTGTAAATCATTCGGAAAACAGTGTCTTATAGGCAATTTGATCGTCTCGAGTATTGCATTTAGAACAGCAATGATCGATCACCTCAAAATGTATGTATGCATTTGCAAGCACACTGTTTTTAGACAACATAGTTTAATACACATGTATACATATGGGTCTGTATCTAATGATAACGTAAGTAGTACATACATACAGTAGATAATTGGACTATTTATATTTTGGAGGAATATATGGGTGGGTGCTTTGCTAACGCTCTGTGGTGTGAACTACATCTATATCTTAACGAAATAATAATAAGAATGCAATCATTGTAAAATGTAAAAAATCCAATCGTAAAGTACTCAATCAATTACTGGAAATGAGCTCAAAAGGGAAAGAAAACCGGTAGATTTTTAGGGAGGCTTGAATTAACTTCGGCTCGGTTAGGATACTTATTACTACTTTACTATTGATAGCAAGTCTAGTCTTGATACAAAGGAACTGCTTTAAAAATAACTTGATAACTTATGGTACTACATTTATATCAACTGGTGACAAGTCAAGGGAAGTAAATAATAGTGCATTATGTACACGGAATTGTACATGTACACTGCTACACTGCGGGCAAAATTAAAATATTTAATTAATCCGTATTTATACATGTGTATAAAAAAACTAAAATTAATTACGTAGCATATCAAATTATCAAGATGACGAGTAGTGGGGAATATAGCAAGCACAAAGTGAAAGTAGATTTTGCCACGATGCTGGCAATGCAGCTTTATTGAGTCACATGATAGCGAATGAGATCAATATTTTAGAGTTGGTGATATCGACGACTAATTTAATAAATAATACCATCGGCAAAAATATATTTCCAAAACCGAGCTACGCCATTTCACTGAACAGAACTTATAGAATCAGCTAATACTATAATTAGATACGTAAAGTTATGTACATACGAAATAGTCAAGATAATTTTAAGATGCTTGTTGATATTATTAAGTGTTGTGGTTTAGTAGTCTCATTAATTGTTATCGTTCGACATACATACTAATTTATTTCCATTTATTATGCTACTATATATTCTTTATTTGACTTGCTGAGGCAAAATGAGAATCCATACTACTTTTATCACAAATCTTGCTGCTTTTATTGTTGTATAAAATGCCATGTTATGGTTGTACCAAGTGTTTCACTTTTGGGAAAAGATAATATTTTGTTGGTTTGTTTTTGTGCTGTGCACAATCATAATTTATTCGCGTTTAGAATTGGAAAAATTGTTTGTTTTACAAAATTAAAACTATATAGTGCAAAATGCTACCATTTGTGAAATGAGTGAATAAAAAAATATTCATGACATATCTGACAACGAGACAAAATGCATTTTCAGTTTTTTCGCGACTCATTAATGCACATTTTACTTAATTTTCAATAAGAATTTCTTACTTGAAACAGAAGAGAAAGTCGTAATCTTACGTATACAGCGAAAGGTGAGATGGATTGGATCATGAAATACCAATCTCTATAAGCGAAGCTACATCAGTCATCCATGGGATTGGATATCTCCTTGCCCCAACAACCTCACCGCCAATTCTACAAAATAAACCGCATTGTATATAGCTGAACGTGTGATTTTTGCAAATTGCTAAATAAATTAAAGAACGAGTGCAAATTACAATATATTTTGAGATACAAGAGAATGCGTCCTAAGGTGATTGCCAACTGTACCAGAGCCCTGGTGAAGGGTGGTGCACATCGTGGAATCCGCGTAGGATCTAGACCCTTGTCACATTTTCGAAATGTGCGTGTCCTTTTTGGAAAGTCGTATGGACACTGTGAAGTCGTCTTCGAGCCTGGCACCAAAGTCTATGCACAGGTGAAGAGTGGTTTATTGAACGGAGAGCGTATCAAGATTTAATTACTAATTGTGTAGCCTTAACTTTTGCAACAGGTGTCTGCAACAATTGGCGAACCAATGGATTCTAGACCTGGAGAAGGAGTTTTCACCGTCTCAGTATGGGTTTCACCTGCAGGTATTTATTGTCATTCAATATATTTAAACTCTAATAGGTGGAGATCACCAAATATGGCCTCGTTCGTTTTCATTTTAACTGTTGCATTATAGCGACGGGGGAAATGGTTGGAAGTTCACAAAAACCAGCACTCATAGCTCGAACAATTGAAAGATTATTCAAGGACAACAAAGCTGTAGACTTAGAATCACTATGTATCAGATTTGGAGAAAAAGTGAGTGTTACTGCTGTTCCTCAAAGTTGATCTCAAAGCTACTAAAGCTAGGAATAAAGGCAGCAGTAAATTGTATCTTGTATTAATTATTGGTTGATGAATTTACAGGCATGGATTTTACGAGCTGATATTCATGTTATTGATATGAACGGATGTCTGCAAGAGTCTGCTACACTTGCTGTTTTGGGAGCTCTTTTAACTTTTCGTCGCCCAAATGCTTATATGGATCCAGATACGAACGAGTTAGTCGTGGAAGCCATTCAAGAATCAACACCTATTAAATTGCATCTATTTCACTATCCTGTTTTAACTTCATTCGCATTATGCAACGGAATTTTATTGGCGGAACCAAATCATGAGGAGGAAGAGGTATGTGGTTAAAGTTTGAGTATTACTACTCAAGAGTAGTTATACGAGTATATGCGGAAATAAGTCAACCCTTATCCCCATTGTTTGTTTATCTACAGATATTCCCTGGCAAATTGGTTATTGGCTTAAATGATAGCAAGGAATTATGCTACTTACACACCACTAACATAATCGCAGAGGACATTTTACTAGAAGCAACAAAACTTGCACAAGTAAAATGTGTTGAGCGTGCCAACCTGATGAAGGAATTATCCGGGGCCTATATCACCGATCGGGATATTCCTCTGTATCTTAGGGCTCCTGGTGTCCGCACTACTGGGACAATTATCAACATTACAGATGCCGAAGCAAAATTACCGAGTATAAGCACGATAAGCAATTTAATTAGTCCATCATCACCCCGGAGCAGCTCTGCAAAGGATAAGAAATCATCAACAAGAATCCAAATTGTTCCTAAAACTGCTAGTATCACAGTTTTAGAGGAGATGGTTTTATAATTTCGAATATACTTTTTTATCTTCATACATGAGCTACTCATTAAACCTAAATATTTCTACAAAATACTTTTACTAAGTCAAACATTACTTTTATCTGAAACTAATGATCTAATTATGGTTTTTGCATTTATATTATTGATTATAGTTTATCACCTACAGCATTCTTGCATAATTATTTAAGTACATCTTGGCACTTCTTTTGTATCATAGAACACAGTTCAACGTAAGAACTGACAACAAGGCATCGCGTTAGGTATGCGTACAACAAGTCATCCTTCACTCTTAGAATTACCCATGCAAAAAATTGTTTTGTTGTGGAGGACCTTCCTCAACAAAAAATTGTTTTGTTTCTCACATTCACCTCACTGACTATGTATATTCACATGGCAGATAATTGCTACGTGTATTCTGGAATTATGAGAAATAGCTAAATTATGAAAAGTAATGCGTAAATGCAAACATGAATTTATTATTGATTGTGCGTGTTGCAATACTATCATTATTTTGTTGGCAAATTCCATGAGGAATAGTAATCCATCAAAGAAACGTATTAAATGATGATTCATTGTCAATAGTTGAGCCGACTTCATCAATTGGTCAATTCATCTCTCCCTTCTTACACGCATATAAATATATGTGCAAATGTACACTGGAAATCCAGCAAAACTATGCAAGATATTTGTGATATACATGTGTATGTGAGACACGAAATTTATTGGTTTGGTAGATGTGACGTGAGAATAACCAGATATAAATAATATGAAAGTATTTATCGTGCATTTTTATATTAAAGGTTTCAAGTTTCTTCAGTAATAGTATATCCGTAAAATTAAAGCATATTGCAAAATTGACCACGATTTGTTCAAGATTCGCAATCATTTGCATAGCAAAACTGGTCAAATGCAGAATTATGGTGAACCAGCCAGTCATGCTAAGATAACATAATGTGGGAATGTACTCCAGCAGGACACACAGAAGTTGATATGCACATGTGCAGTTATCTGTGTAATAAATAAATGCTAAACATAAAGTCGTCTTATTACACACAATCTGCAAATAAGCTCTTGAGCAAAGATCATGTTGTACATATCTGTGTAGCTTATTTATTTCTGCTCCTTCTGCCTGGTATTTTCCTAACCAGATTTCTCAACAAGAACGAAAGGATAATATGCGACAACTTTATTATCACAAGCACATGCATAAATAAAATATAATCCTGCTACAGAGTATACCATGGAATTGGATACCACACGAGCGAGTGAACAACAGAATCAAGGTGGACATAGATGCGATGGTGCTTATTAGTGTTAGAGTGAATAATAAGTCCTTAGTCTGTACTATTATTATTACTTGATAAACAGTTTTTCTTAAGTTTAGTCCAGCAGTCTAACTCCAACCTTGAGAACGCAAGAACAGCTTTGGTCACATCTTCCAAACCATTCATTCAAGACCAGTGCGAACAGTCGGTCTCACATTCAGTGATAAGTCCACTCCAATTTCAACAGGCTGTGGAGGATTAAACCTCAGATCATAAGATTTATTTCCTTCTTATAAAATCATTTTTCTGATAGGCGTCTCTGACTCGGAGACAAAAAAGTGAGACTAACAAATTATCACGTAAAATTAACAAACTGATTATTGCAGAGAAACAAATGTACACATGTATTTAACCCTAGTGTAACCTCAAAACCAACACTCGCAACAAAGTGAATCTGGTCAAACGTTCAACAATAGAAGACATTACTTTTTATACTTTTTACCTGTTACATAATCTCATCCTTAGCACTAAATACACTTGCAGAAGCGAATATACCAACTACCAATTTGTCACTACATATAGGGCATCAAACGATCGAGGTGAGATTACCATTAAACTATGTATTGTATTATATAATAGTTGCCTAAAGTTATCACTTCATTATAATTATAGTGCATTATAAAATGGAACTTACTTACTTTGATCTAAATTTTCAATTTTTTTCAACATATTTTTCCAAACAATTTTTATAATAATTTGGGTTTCCCAATAAGTTCGCCACAAGGCGAAGCGTAATCAAATTATTAGACTAGACAATTGTCGCCATTGGTATAACGGGAGTTCAAATGAGTGTGCAATTCAATTCATCCAAAGGATTCTTATGCATAGCAAAAAGGAAGGGCGATGCTGTGTTATACTGGATTCATCCAGCCCACTTTATGTATGGTGTCATTGGTCTCTGAAGTTTATTAGTGGAATAAATTAGTGAAGATAAGTCCGCTAAGTACAACGAGTTGAATATTTAACTCTTTGTTGTAGCTTGCTAGCTTATGATAACATCACACAGCAGTCTCAAAAGGATGCTTTAGCACTTCCAGTTGAAGTGGATTAACGTGTTTTTTTTTGCTATGAAGTAAAACAATTATAACAGAAATTCAACAGTGAAAATAGATATGTAATATTCAAACTTGTGTACTTGTGTTTGTTATCCTGTCGCTGGGAGGCAAAATAAGGTACTGTCATGCATCTTACAGTGCAGTATATGTATACGTACATATGCACACATGCATGTACATAGATACATATATTGCACAATAATAATATTGAATAAGGTCTGCAGGTAGAAGATTCGAGATCCCGTTGGAGTTTAAAGTTGTTGCCATCTGCTTGAAAGCAGTCCCAGTGACATTGTATTGTCCGGGCGCCGGTTTGCTTACATGAAGAAGAAGCAACATTCAGAAAAACCTGTTCTACAGAAAAGATAAAATAACGCGAGATAAAATAATTCAGACTAGCAACAAAAAATGCCAGAGCAAGACAAGGTCGTAAATTGTTTGCTCATTTTTAAATCTATTTACATTAAATTTTAACCGGTGATGATACCTAGAACTCACCCTTTTGAACCTGCATACGTTCAACCCAACAGCTCCATCGTAATGTGTAACAAGTTGTGAGTTAGCAAAGTGAGATGACACACTCAATTATTGGATTATGTTCTAAAATTATACACATTTAATGTATAATTTCGGATTTGTATGTTGGGTTTGATTTACCTCAGACATATGACTTTCTTATTATTGAGAAGTATTTAGTAAGGCGTATGTACTAACTTTAGGTAATTTAATTATGATAATAGATGTACATATTCCAGAACATTGGGTAGATCCATAATAGTACGAGATATGCTATTACCAGCAGCAGCATGACTCACAAGAGAGTTTATTAATGTCTTAAACTTTGAAATTGCTTTTATCTTATCTGTGAACAACAAATTTGTTTTTCTTATTTACTTTGTTAATCCTGTGGCATTTTTGTGGCAACACTGAAACTGGCAAGAACTCGATTGACATTGAAACTGTTCCATAGATTTGTTGACCATATTGACATATGCACGTATTAATACTTACGCATTGAATAAGAATAAGAATAAAGCTAAAGTTGGGAAATTGTTGTTCTATTCCCAACTTACCCTTACCGAGTGTGTTAATCAAGAGTGTGAAAAGACTAACAACTATTTTTATTTTTATTGGCAGAACTAGACGTAAAATCAATCAAAGCTGATTCCACTAATTCAAATCGTGACCAGGCACAGCCTCCTGGCTCTTAAAACGGAAATCGGCACGGATTTGACACTCTTGGTTCATGCAAAGGCTAACATGCATCCCGATAGTAACGACAACACCAGAAACCAATCAGGCTACATTTCCTTCAAGCAAAGAAAACCACTTGGTAAGTGGAATTGTTCATCATGCAATTTTAAAACCACAAAGTTTGAAGTTTGTACCTCAACTTTTACGTCATCTAAATTATTTTGTATGAATACAGCTACAAGGAAGGAGGAGGTGGCGTCAATCAGAACAAAGTTCCCAACAAAAATCCCTGTGATCGTGGAAAGGTACCATAAAGAAAATTCTCTGCCACCACTCGACAAGACTAAATTTCTTGTCCCCCAAGAAATAACAATGTCTCAGTTCATTACAATAATCAGGTACATTGTGATAAGCAGTAATATTGATTTATTTTTGCTATACGTATTTAATTAATAATTAATAGCCATCCATTTACATGCAAATGTTCGTTTACACACACAGGAATCGCCTCCAACTCAACTCACAGCAAGCCCTGTACCTCTTGGTTAGTAACAGGAATTTGGCCTCTTTATCTCGACCTTTGACCCAAGTCTACCGAGATTATAGGGACGAAGATGGATTTCTTTATGTTACTTATGCGTCACAAGAAGTGTTTGGATAAACTTAATGTCATTTGTCCATGCTATTACATACCAATATTTGGCGAAAAGACGGATAAGGACGAAATATCTGTATTTATTATTATTATTACTCAAGACTTGAGCAGCATCCTTATATATATATTAATATTGCACGCATCATATTTGTAAATATTTAACTCAGTTTTTGGCCAGAAGCAAGTATAACAATGGAACAAGCGAAATGTGACATCATCACGAGGCGCCTCGTGACTGAGATAACAAAAACTTGGTTTTTGAAATAGGATCTGACAAAATGTGATTAATATCCATAAGATATTGATTAGAATGCCACTAATTTATATGACCCAGAATAAATATTATTTCTTTAATGATACCTAACATTACCGGCTGAATGCATGCGTATGAAGAACTTGATATCTTGTCATTTTTCTAGTTTTCTCACGATGAATGGAATATCATGGCCAAAGTTTAAGTTTTAAGTTATATACTTGTTTGTAAAGGTAATTAATTGTAAAATATAAAGCCAGTGTATTTAACCAATAAAGTGCTTATGTGCAGGTTTGGAAAACTATTCATCCTATTATTTTGCATCTCACAATTGTGCATACTTTTGAAGGAGAAAGTCTGCGGAGTTAACGTTAAGGTGAGACTTTGATTGAGGTGGAGAAAGTGGTCAGTCTCAGAGTCGCATCTCACCTCGGTGCAACTTGTTTGCGGGATGAAGATCCACCGGCTCAGATCGAGAGTTGCACTTTCTCCCCGTTCTCTACTGAACTAGTAAATAAGCCATTTAATCAAGCAAACCAAGTTTAACTAGGGTTAGGTAACCATTATTAACTTTAATTGTTGTTGTTACATGGTCCTCGTCTGTATATTTCACACGTGTAGAAGAAATATCTAGTCTGATGATGGGGACGAGTTGTCCCTTGAACAAAGTGCTGAGGAGACAAAACCTAGTCGAGCTGTCACCCAAGAGCCTCAATTGTAAATGTCAAAGGATTCGCTACCTTCGAAGGTCTCTGCACACCTCAACCACGTCCCTCTATTCCGACAAGAGCCCTGATACGGACTCCTTAAAATTCCAAACGCAGCAATTCACACCCGACAGAATTAGAAATTTTAGCATTATTGCACACATAGACCATGGAAAAAGCACTTTGGCAGACAGGTTAATAAATACGAATATACACAGGTTACAAAAATTCGAAAATTAACAAGTTCTATTTTATTCATTGTTTATGCCAACAATCACAGGCTGTTAGAATTTACAGGTACTTACGCTTTACTTGATTAATAGAATATAGATATTTATTATGCATGCGTAATAAATTATTTGATATTTTTGCTATGTGTCAGGTACAATACCCAAGTCAGTCGACAATAAACAAATTCTGGACAAGCTACAAGTGGAGAAAGAACGAGGGATCACAGTTAAAGGTTAGCAAGACGTTATGGTCATGCGTCTTAGGTAATCTTAGTATTAGAAATGCATTTATTTACAAAAATATATTCTTTTATACATGTTATTTTAGCTCAAAGTGCAAGCATGGTGTACGAGTCGGGTGGGGTTCAGTATTTGCTCAACCTTATTGATACGCCCGGTCATGTCGATTTCAGTTGGGAAGTGTCAAGATCTCTCGGAGCATGCGATGGTGTCATCCTAGTCGTTGATGCAAATCAAGGAGTGCAGGTTATATTATTATTATAATATAATATATTATAATGTACATATTATGAACATTATGTACTACCTCCTATGTACTTTATTTACATTCATTAATTATTGTTTTATTGTAACAGGCTCAAACTGTGGCCAACTTTTATTTAGCATTTTCCAGGAATCTCCCTATTATTCCTATATTAAACAAAATCGACTTGAAAAATGCAAACCCGGAAAGAGTGATTGAGCAATTAAATGGGTTATTTGAAATTAAAGGAAGCGATGTACTAAGAATATCTGCTAAAATGGGTATTGGAATTCAAGACGTATTGGAAGCTGTTGTGCACAAAATACCATCGCCAAAAAGTATAACCTTTATTTATTTACTCTTAGCTACTTTTGAAATCTTGATGAAAATATTTCGACGGATATGATTGATTGATTCTTATTATAGGTGATCGTAATTTACCAACAAGGGCTTTAATAGTAGACTCCTGGTATGATCGATACAAGGGGGCTGCGTTACTAATTAATATGAAGGATGGAAACTTTAAATTAGGACAAAATGTCGCTTTATCACAATCTGGAAAAGAATACGAAATCAAGGAAATTGGTGTACTTAGGCCAAACTTAGTTTTGGTGGATAGGCTGTGAGTGATTCGTTGATCAATTTTAATGAACTTCAACTACAATAAATTTTGTTACAGATACGCAGGTCAAGTTGGATACGTCTACTGCAGTATGCGTAGTGTCAAGGAAGCTTTCATTGGCGGGACCTTACACAACAAAGGGGCCAAAGTCAAACCTTTGGATGGATTTGTCGCAGCGAAGCCCATGGTGTACGCCGGAGTTTACCCAATGGATCAAAGTGAACATCCAACTCTTCGAAATGCATTAGAAAAATTATTGCTAAATGATGCTAGCGTTGAATGCAAGCTCGAGAGCAGGTTAAATATTGCGCATAATTACATGACAGTCCGTATTTCTCAATTTTGAACATATTATTATTATTAAATATATTTATTCATGTTTAGCCAAGCATTGGGAAATGGTTGGAGATTGGGATTTCTAGGAGTCCTACACATGGATGTCTTTAATCAACGGTTAGAACAGGAATACGGAGCACAAGTGGTACTAACTGCACCAAATGTTCCAATAAAAAGTATATAATTAAATTTTTATAAGTAAATAATATATATTATTATATATATTATTATAATATTATTTTATTATTTGTATTATAAAAGTCAAAATCAAAGGTGCAAAAAATATCAAGGATTATGGAGGCGAGATCATTTCTATAAACAATCCCTGCAATTTGCCTGAACAAAATATAATTGTTGAAATGTATGAACCATTTGTGTTGGGGACAATAATAACGCCAGGTATTAATATCAAATATTAATGATTATGTGTGGTGATGTAGTTGAACTATTTTTGTCAATCCAATACAGATGTCTATCTTGGAGATATCATATCTTTGTGCATGGAAAGAAGAGGAATTCAACGCGAGACTAAAAGTTTTGATTCTGAAAGAATTATAGTGACATTCAAATTACCATTAGTGGAAATAGTGGTAGACTTTTACGATAAGCTGAAATCTATGACGTCAGGATATGCTAGTTTTGACTATGAAGAAATTGGATATGAACCGTCTGTTATGACAAAAGTATAATTTTTTCACCATGCTTTCCAAAAAAAACGTTTTCTCTCATTACGCTCAATTTTATTTCAGCTAAACATAATGCTAAATGGCAACCTCGTTGAAGAAATGACCACGATTACGCATAAATCAAAAGCACGTGATATTGGGAAATCAATATGCAATAAATTGAAAGAAACAATTCCTCAGCACCAGTTTCAGGTAATTTGTTAGATACTGATATCTCAACCTATCGGACTTTAATGTCTGCTCTTTAGATCGCTATTCAGGCTGCCGTGGGAGGAAAAGTTGTGGCACGTGAAGATATTAAAGCTCTACGGAAGGATGTTGCTGCTAAATTGGTAGGAATAATACCTCACTTTCTTGAATTAATAATTCAATACCATTAACTTTAACTTATTTTTTACAGTATGGAGGCGATAGAACTAGGCGTGATAAGCTACTGAAAAGACAAAAAGAAGGAAAGCAGAGGATGAAAATGGTTGGAAAAATAGAAATGCCTAGAGAAACATTCATCAAAGTTTTAGAGAGATGAAATCGCTTACAGATAGGATTTGACAATTTATCTAATAGGAACATGACTGGTTTTTATATATTTAGATTATTATTACATGAAATGAATTGTATAATGACGAAAAAAGATAATAAATAAAAGAACTGAGGAAATACATGCAAAGATTGCATTACGACTTTTATCGTCCTTCATGGAGTAATCACTACATGGAACTGAAGAAGCTGCGCTTGTAAGATATTGGTATTTCATGTAATCACTAGTCTCACATTTTGCCTTTTCAACCACCGCACCGCCAGTGAAATCGTTAGGATTCCTAACTTAGGAAATACGATCACACGATCTTGTTGTTTTTGTTTCGGAAGAAAACTTATTGTCCTCAACAAATTGTTGCATTATTCTAATTTCGTAGTTCTGCAGTAAGTAGGATATATTTTCCGCAGTAACTTTATTATTTATCAATTGTACTTCATAGAGGTAGGTAAAATGGAACCAACGGAACAGAATTTGTTGGTTGTGGTGATGGACGTAAATCCGGCTCAAAAATATGTGAGGAGTGACATCAAATCATTTTTCCATGTCGTTGATTCCGTCCTCACATTTTGCAACGCACATCTCATGCTCCATGCGGACAATAAGGTCTGCATTATTGCATCTCACGTCAACCAAAGGTCAGTTTAATCATTATTTAAGCTTGACACAACTTGTTTCGTTCATTAAAATATTATTATTTTTGTTTCCAATTGAATTTTCAAAATGCCTTTGTATTTTTATTTACAGTCATTTTCTTTATCCATTGGAGATCAGGCCTGGCCAGCAGAGCAAAGTGACGAGGCAGACAGATGGCCAGCACGAAGTATTCTTAGAATTGGAGCGTTGTGTTCGGAACCAAATAAAAAGGTTAATCATGGACGAATCGTTTGGAAAATTTGACTCCTCTGCAGCCGTGATTGGGGCAAACACTGCGACCTGTTTGGCCAGTTCTTTGAGCAGAGCATTGTGCTACATTCATAGGTATGATTTGTTGATTGCTGGTTTTTACCAATTATCAACAATTACTACTACGAGTTTAGTTTTCGACGACGATTGTGGTTTAATATAAGCTTCTCATTGAATAATCTAGGAAAGACAAAGAAACTCGACCAGGGGAGAAACTAAATTCTAGAATTTTGGTGGTCTCTGGCAGCTCAGAATCAACTGCACAGTATATGGCTTTTATGAATGTATTTTTTACTGCACAAAAACAGGCAAGGAATAAGCTTCTACTTTGTTTCATAATTTTGTTGAAGTCGTTGTTATTTAGTGATATTATATTGTTTCGTGTTTAGGGTGTCATAATTGATGCTTGTGTATTGGGATCTTATGCAACGCTTTTAAGTCAAGGGGCGGATATCACAGGAGGAATTAATTTACGCCCCCCACACATATCCGGATTGCTACAATACTTAATGGTATTATTACTTGTATTTATTCATTATTCGTGAAACACTGTTGACATAAGTAATGAATTAAGGACACAATTTATATATTCTTTACAAATCATGTGACAGTGGGTGTTCCTTCCTGATGTAACTTTAAGAAAACAATTGGCCCTTCCACCACCGGATCCTGTAGATTATAGGGCCGCATGTTTTTGTCACAGGCAACTAATAGACCAAGGACACGTTTGCAGCGTTTGCCTATCAAGTATTGTTGTTGTTTCTCATAATTTAAGTTGATTATGTTTTGCATCCATACATATTATAATAATACACTACATCAGCTAATTGTATTGAGTTGTAATTCTACAAGGGTTGTTATTTTATCTTTACAGTATTCTGCAAATTCAGTCCAATTTGTACAACATGCAAGTAAGATTTGCAAAACTTGAAGATATAAAATAATATGATCTTTTAATATTATTGTTGATAATGCTTTACTGATTATTATTTTAGTGCTGTTTTTAAAGCCCCTCCAATGGTTTTGCCAAAAGCAAAGAAAAAGCGGCCTGCTGCTGGAAACATATAATACTTCAAAACCGTAGACAATTAATTATTTGCTCTTCTTATCTTTACAAACATTTTATACTTTTGAATATCATTAAAAAATGTGGTTTGTTTGCCATCATACTTCATATCATACTCACACAAAAGTTGTATTTAAGCGACAGAATTGCATACACAAATCAGATCGGGTATATATCTGCGTCTTCATGCTCATCACGATTGCTATATACATGGAAGCCGGAAATCCGAGTCGAAAATGTTTCAGCATGCATATTTGATGCAAAGTGCCAAAACTTGCAATTATCCGTAATTGAGTTGAAAATCAATCTTAGGATAGAAAGAATGGAACAACAGCCCCGTCTCGTATTATTATCTACTTCTAAAAGTTTCATATGGATTGTCATTCTTGCACTTTTTGCATGTACACATAGAGTGACTCGTTCAATCTATAATTTGATGTATTTTTAGTACAGAGCAGTTGATATAGTATGCACAGAATCCGAAGAATCCAATCTGTTGTGTTGGGTTGTAACTATGCAAATGTATAGCTTATACCATGGGACGATTTTACAAGCATAAGGAAAACTATGCACGGTTTAGAGAAGGCGACGACGAGGAGATGGTACAGACAGAGTACGGATAGATAAAGATGACTTGGTCTTGTAGTGTAGAAATCATCATTTGAGAAAGTGCTCGAAGTGGAGTTGTTTCACTTCGTTTCCCAACTCAATCGGGAATGTCAGAGGAGCAGAGTCGTCGTCTTCGTCGTCGTCGTCGCCGTCGTCGTCCATGACATGAATGAATAAAAAACTGTTTGGCTAATTTTAGCTCTGAACCAGTTTCTAATTGTAAGATTTACTCCGTTTGTCTGCTGCTTGCTCATCCCCACAAACCAACACATGAGACGAGATTGAAGTTTCTTACCGGAACGGACATCTTATTGGCAATATACAGTATTGCACTAGTAAACTAGTACAACCTATACTTTCACTTCATTAAACATGGATTTAGATACATTTCCACCCCGATTTGTTTGTTAGTGTATTACAAAAAAAATCCGTTTAACTGCACAAATCAAACAATTTTTGTACTTTCTCTTTTCTATTCGCGAACGACAAATCCTAGCTTAAATTTTCTACACCAATCTTTCATTACAATTGTTTGTATTTACCGTACTGAAAGAATTTAGTTGAACTCGTAGTAAACGAATCTTGACCCTGAATCCCCAGCAGAGGATTCTCATTGAAATAAAAAAAAACTTTCTAGAATTGCATTGGTATATGTAATAGAAACACATTATGGAGTGGTTTAAGAAATATTGAAATAAAAGGAAAAGTGCGTAGAAGGATTTCATAGTAGTGAATCGAGTTTGTACCTGGTGAAAGTTAATTACGCTACCCATCGCCCTTTGCCACTAATAATGGGTGGAAAAGATCCACTTTGCCCATTAGGATTTCATCCCCAAGTTCGATGGCCTACTCGATGCAAACGATGTTTTCGGTATGCATGATACATACATGACACACATATTATTGCTGGGCTTCACCTGAATGCCAACTTGGAGCACATGCAGGTGTGGTTAGCATAATGAACCAATTGAATTTTGCAGTGAATTCAAGGAACACACCGTTGCTAACGATGCTTGTCTTCGTGCGCGCTCCCTTGACCCAGAGGGACGGGCGGCGTTCGACGAGCCTTCTTCGAGGTCCAGAACCCCTTCACTGGCATCCAGCCCATCTTCATCGATGGACGACAGTAGCAGGGACTACAGCTCACCCTACTCGTCCATCTCGTCCGTAGCTCTGAATAGGTGCGTAATGGGAATAATAATGAACGTAATAATACGGAGGAATAACATAGACAAGGGAATTCGATAGTGAGTCGAGATTTTTCACTTATACACGTATCCGTAATTTCGATTATTCCAGACTGACCAAGTATCGGGAAGGTGAGACAAATCAGAAGTCTGGCATGTCCGTTGTTAGCGAGACTCTTACACTACCCTCTGGTAAAGAAATGTTTGAAGAATACGATTCTCATTATTACAATCCCCTATCCGAGTTATGTGCATTAAGCAATTAACTCGTACTTCGTTTCTAATTAATTTGGTTTATTTTGATAGGGGATGGTCCCTTGTTGCGACGAAGAAGGACTACAGATCTCACCGATATAATCCCTGATGACACGACAAATCAATCAGAAACGTACACAGTTAGGCTTAGAAAGACGCCAAGTTTCGGTTCATCCGGGGACGAGTCACCTTCTCCAGACTCCCCTTCGCCAAGCTCTTCGCCCAAGCCTAGAAATTCTCCCAACCTTAAACTTTCTTTACCAGATGATAAGCTTCCGAATAACGAGAGGAAGAACGATGACGTTCAGCTGCCGGAAGTCAAACCTAAAAAGAAGAAGAAAAGACTGCTCATCCAAGGAGTTCAAGAGGTCACTTCCTTGACACCCCCGGATTCAAACAGTTCGAACGATGGAGAATCCCCAAATGAAGAATCGGCTGACGTTGCTTTCATTATTCAGGTAAGTATATGTTTTATTTATGATAAAATATGTTGTTTGAAACGTCTATTTTGTCAGTTTGAAATTATATTGGGATTCTATCCAATTGGGAGATTTTATGTTTATCGGCTCCTCCATCGTCCATTCGTGATAGTTGACGTCATCCGCTGAGTCGATTATTATTATAGTGTGGGTCCTGAAAATGTATTAAATAAGCCATGAATATTTGTAATACTAAAGATGGATAAAAATTCAAATTATTATCTCTTATATAAATTAAATATATACCGGGTTCCGTAGTTCGCCTTTTCAGGCGTGGTAACAAATACGGAAGTCAGCTCAGAAACCGGGTTTATAATACCAGCATCACGAGCCTGCTTATCAATTTGAGCATCCGGATAATGCCTAGACAATTATCATTATTTGATTAATTATCAGACCCATGAAATTTTTGACACAATTATAATTTAGGATCAGGATAGTGGCAATTGACGTGCTTTGTGTCATCAACAGTGACTTGAGTAAATTAATTACTTCGTGGCAGATTTCAAAAATTTTAAGAGGTTTCCTTTAAGTGTCTCATTTCCTTCTCGCGTTGCAGGGTCAGAATTTATGTGTGAGTTTATAATTTCTTCAAATTCTCGACATCCTAGATATGAAATAATTTGATTAAACATTTCTATTTAGACACAGAGATAACGTTGAAGGTTAAAATTCAAGTTGAAATGTACTGGTAACAAATTAAATACCGCACTTACCATCCGTAACTTTGCAGAAAGGAGAGTCGTAAACGCTATTGCCAAAGGCATAGAACTGACTTTCACCTTCATTGCTCAGGGTTCTTGGTCCACTTTCTGATCCATTCGTAAAATAGGTTACGTCAAATGAGGCTTTCAAGCTGGACGAGGAGGACTCGGGCAAGGTTTGCCTAAGATAATTATGAACGAACAACCGTTAACTAAATATACACACATACATATATAAAATGTAAATATTTACATTACAAACTGTATAGAGCGGATGTCAGTTAAAAAATAGTATTTAATTAAATAGTTTATTTAACTTGCACTCTTTAATTATTGAGAAAAAAAATCAGTCGGTCGAAACGCACCAAATGTTGGCAAATTCTTCTGAATTCTTTTTCTCAATTTTCTTTTACAGTTTTGAGACAGAACAGAACAGAGCTTGAATGCTCACTTTTTATTATTTGTACATAGCAATACCTCGCGTACCTTTCTTGCTGTTGACCGCTTTCCGACTTTTGTAAGTCTATTGTGACCAAATTAAACAATCCAAATTGTTTTCGAATGTCGGCTTGGTATAAATTGTTGCAATACGTCCACCCTCGTAAAGCTGGGGAAGATCTCAAGAATCTAAAATAATTAATAAGTCCTTTTATAATTAATAAGAACATGTCATCCTGCCCCAATCCATGTAGGAGAGAAAGTCAAGCCCGTTTCGTTGTCGTTTGAAGTTTGTCAGTCAGTCGGCCGGTTTCTCTCCCCCCAGTGCATAATAATAATATTTTTGTGATAAAAAAAGACTGAACGATGGATAAGTCTACATATAAGGATCAGGTAAGACTCAATCTGTTTAAATGTTGTTGATGAGCAATAAAACAATACAATAAAATGTATTGTTTTATAGGAAAATCCTGCCCCTGTAAAACGCGTCAGGATATTAGTCGATATTCCCGTGTCAACCGCGCCATTCAATTCAATGACCTGGACCAATTCTCAAGGGGAACAAGTGGAATTAAATGGTAAGTGTAAATTACACTGTGCAATGTGTATAAACAAAGTTATTTAGTAACATAATAATAATAATGTGGTATTTTTTAGTGTTGCAAATGGAGGATGAGTCGTTACCAACTCCATCAACCTCGTCAACTCAAAAGATAAAGTTGGACTCTATCCTCCGAGCCGTGCTGTTCGGGATGATGGAAAATAGTGGATATACGGGGGGGATGTCAGATTTCTGGGGAAGCGATGAGCAAAAGAATCTCACTAACGGCTGGGCGACCCACGTTAAGAAATCCAAAACAGACACGGAGAAATTCACCCCCATCCAAATATTTTACAAGGAGATTAAGGTGGCGATGCAAGTTGTAGATGGTCTGTTGCGAGTGGTCAAGATGGAGAAAGTTGGACACGAGTGGAAGTTCAATGGGTGGGCAGGACGCAACCAAAAATGCAGTTTGTCAGCATGCATTTCTAAATGTTCGGTAATTGAAAACATGTTTATTAATAAATACGATCAATTGTATAATTGTATAAATGTTTGTATTAAACAGGTTGGCAAGTTTTGCGACGCCCATGCCCCCAGACAAAGCCTGTTAATTCAGGACATGAGAGCTACTCCCCCTATCCTGGCGTTATTAAATCCTTCCGCCACAACCACCCCTTACACTGATAGTAAGATCCGACAGAAGTTGGATGAATGCGGGATTAAGAAAATAAGAGGAGGAAAAGAAATTGAAGGGGGGACGGAAATACATGATCTAAACATCCAGCTCTATGACTATGTTGTAAAGAAGAGAACCGACAGGGAGGAGACTTTTTTCCAAATAATTGGACGCTGGTCGTTTCAGGACGACAACAACAAAGTCCAGAATTCAGTATTTGTGAGTATTTTACACATAATTAATAGTTGAGTATATATACTCTATATATTTTATATATACAGAGTATATAATTTACAGTTGGGTGTGTCATTGTTGGTGATGCTAAAGGGAGGTGCTTCTCTACTCAACTCGAAAATACTATTTCGTGCTGCTGACCTCGCCTGGGTCAAGTCATTTTTAAACGAAAATTGGGTCACATTCAACAAAGGAGAAGAACTTGCCGATGGATCGACTAATCCTCCAGGTGTATCAGGAGAAATCAATCGTTCTCTCCCATATGTCTACCTTGGACGTAACGATGAAGCAGAATTTTACGTTGGGGTGCAAAACCAAATTTCCTTAAAGTGCTCTGGGACTAAATCTCCATACCATTACAAGTTGAAGGAGGAAACGGGGATGGACCGCTTTGAAGAGGATGAAGACATGCCAATTTTTCAAAGTCCCATTCCAACGTTGCTGCAACATACAAAGAGTGTCACAAAAAGGAGTAAATTTAGCCCAGAAGAAGAAGATGAATTTCTCAAAATGGAAAATGCTGCCAATAACTATGAAACACTTGCCCACTCTGCTATAAAGATAGGAGAAATGGTTGGCCAGACCTATAAGGGTGCTCTAGTGAAGGGAACTCATAAACAAATGACTCATATTGATGGTGCTATTAATATTGATGATCTCAAATGTATTTATGCTTTTTTGTTTGAAACCAATCTGGTCATTAGTGAGGGTAGTCAGTTGGAGAAAGGTCAGGATCAGAAAGTTGTTATGAATTTTGTTGTTTAATTGTTTTATCGTATGTCGCATACTCGTACTTTCTCAGATGAATTAATAAAATGATATACATGTAGAAAGATCAAAATATCAAATGTCATACCCGGTAACAAGTTCTCCTCTAGATTTGAGTTTGATAGCTGGTGGTTTGCTCATAATATTGAGCAAAATTGCCAACTTCCCAGTTTTTGTTATTCCCAGCCATGTTCCTCCCTCAAGACAATCTTGTCCTAAATGCAGATTTAAAGCTATCAGGCTCAGTTAATTATTTTAAGAGTGCTGAGTAGTTAATAGACGTTTCTCAACCAGCAAGAATAGTTGGGTCAGAATCCCAAAAGTTTGCTGTCTTGGTTGGTCTCAAATAAGATTCGTCACGATTCGATGCAATGACCAGTTTTAATCTTGGAAATGATGAGTTTGCTAGCGTGCCTCCTTCTTTGGCGACGTAGAGAAACAGGATGCACATTTTGAGATGGAGGTCTAAAACAGACAATGGCGACCAATTAATAGCGTAAAATAATTAAGTAACATTTTTGTTTAATTATTTTGTGCATATTTAGGTCAAGAGCACGACCAAAAAGAAAAAGGTCGATGATGACGATGAGACAATGAGCATGACCACTGCTACAGATACTACGGAGACAACCCTAGTGGACCTGAATGAAACTGTGACCGGTGGTCTCAGCTCTTGGGAGGTTGAAGAAATGAAAACTGAAGGTATGGAGTGCATTGTGTGATAAGTTATGATGACAGGAAGGTGATTAAACTAAATTGTCTGTCTGTAATTTACCCCACAGTGAAACGCTTACGAGACAAATGTGATAAATTGGAGAAGGAGAAAGCTGAAATTCTAGCCAGACGCGTTGCAAGTCTAGATGCTCCTCGAGCTCAAGTGAGAACTTGTCGTAATGTATTTTGCTTATCGCTTTTCAAATTTCAATGGAGATACATACGTGGGTTTATAAAGTATCGAGTTCACCTTGCGCTCACTGAGAAGTTCAACTGCATTCACATGATCAAAATAACTAGATTACCTGTTATCGGGCAAACCAATAAACGAATAAACGTTTCATTGTCTGCTAAAATGTGTACTTAAGAGGCATCAATCATGAATTTAATTTAAACAATGCATTCTCCATTTTTCTAGTCAAGTGAATATGTAAAACTACAACAAAAAGTGAACCAATTAACCAGTATCAATGAGGACTTGAAGGATGAACAGAAGCATTTGGAAACGAGAGTTCGAGAATTAGAGGTCGATTTGTCCAACCGACCCACCTCCGATTTCATGCAGGTTTGCAGTAATCTGTAATATTCGAGATAATACTTTTATGAATGCAACATGATCTGGGCACATGTACGATGATTTATTTAACCATTTGCTTTCCATGATTGCAGCGGTCGATTGCAGAAATGAGGTCGAAATTATCCCAAGCTGAATCACAAGTGGACCAACTCCAAGAAGAAAAAAGAGATGCAATTAAACAAATGCGTGATATGCAAGAAGAATTTGAAGAAATGCAAGACGGTTTTAGAGAGGAACAAGCTGAAGAGTTTGCCTCTTTAAAAACTCACCATCGGTAAGTAGTCGTCTCACTATGTTAAATATTACGTCTTAATTTTCGTCATAATTTCATACTTTGGCATAAACGAAGAGATGGAAAATCCTAAACACAATTAACAAAGTGTCAAAAAAATTCAGGCTATTGCAGTTTAAACTCAGAAAGGTTGAAAAACGGGGGGAACAACTCGAAGCAGAGAAGAAAGAATTGGAACAGCGTTTAGAAGCGTCCTCCAACTCTATCAAGATGACTAAACTTGAAGAGGAATTGAAAAAAGCAAAGCTAGAGAATGAACGTCTGAAATCCAACAAAGATACTCTGGGGGTCTCCGGACTCAAAAAGAAAAGTCCCGTCTTAACAAAAGCTCCTTCTGGGGAGGTAACTAATTAATCAAATTACACTCAACTATTTATGTATAGCTAGCTGATTGATTGACTTGCCGCATATATGCACATTAACGCAATGTATAAAATAAATTTATTACGAACTCCAGAGTGTTGAACCCCCCATGCCTTCAGATTTTGACCCGCACAAAACATTACGAGACCTTCAGAGTGCCCTAGAACGAGAGTCAGATTCACGTGAACAACTGAAATTTGCTGAGGAAGAATCTGGAACGTTGAGACAAAAGGTGATCATTACACACGAATCTATGTGATTCCTAAATTCCTGGGCATATATGTTGTATGATTGTCTCTAAGTTTTTTTGTAATTGTAACCACAGATCAGTAGGATTGAGGATGAAAATGAGTCCCTGTTAATTCAAATTAAAAAGATGTCAGCCAAGTCAAGAACAGATCTTAACAAAGGGAGAGTTGAAACGGGCAGACTTGGGCATCCCACCAATTCTGTTGACAACAATGATAAATTAGATGCGAGCGAGTTGAAATTGCAGCTCGAATTAAACGAACAGGTTCATCTGCATAAATTCATAGTATAAACTATACTTAATTGCTGTTAATTAATCCATCTAGGAATCGAAAATTTTAAGGAAAAAAGTCGAAGACCTGGAAAAGTCTAATTCTAAACTAGTGAAAGACTTACAAAAAGCAGAGGACAGGGTTCAAAAGGAACTTTCTTCTCCAGTAACAAAATCAAAGGTACACGCGCACATATTATTTATTTTTCATACTAAAATCCGATTACGGACGCTTGCTTTAGAACGTGGATGAGGTTTCTCTACTACGAAGAAAGATAATTGAAAAGGAACGGGAAATTGAACGTTTACAGACTGAAATGCTTTCTGTAACGACAAAAAACAAAGGGAAAATGATAAACGCAAAGTGAGATAGCCCGAAATCTTCATGATTAAGTTATTGCAGTCTGATTAACTGTTTTAAACTGGATGACATGTATGCTAAAGGTCTGCTGAGGAGACACATGTGCGTTTGGATGCAGAAACAAAGGCAGAACTACGGAAAGTACAAGACGAATTTTTGCGATTGAAGACTGAATCAGAGAAACAAAGAACTGCACTGGAGAGTGAATTGGCAAAAACACATCAAGAAGTTGACAAGCATCAACTGAATCTGCAACACATGGGAGAATCTAATAAACTATTATTGGAACAAATCGAAGGTTTGAAGAGGGATGTTAGATCAGTGAAACAGCACTATGAATCAGTTCAGGAGGAATTTGTAATCAAGAATTCGCAACTATCATCACAAAAGGAAGGCATGGAAAGGTAAAAAAAAGTTTATCGAAACCCATACATACATACATTCATTCATACTAAAATGCAATTTCTTAATAATTGGATATCGATTTCAGTGATATAGAAAAACTGAGGAGAGAATATGACACTATCGATAGAGAGCTGCGAGCTCTACGGGAAACGTTCAATAATCGTCAGGACACGTGGATAAAAGAAAAGCTCGGACTCGAGGTAGATAACAAACATAACTTGCACATATTTATTTGTATAACTTCGTGTGGCTTTTGACATGCTTTACTCTTGATTGAATGGGTAAATGTATAAATGTATATATTTTTGATAGCAAAAACTTCGGGATGTTGAGAATAGCTCCAAAAAGCTCATAAACATGACAGGCGACAGAGATGCTACTAAATTGAAAACACTCCTCAAGCAACAGCAAAATGATTTGGACACAAAAACTCGAGAATTAGGGGATAGTCAAGAACGAATCATTCAATTGCAAAAAGATGTATGCATACATAAATAAATTATGGTATTACGTAGTGAGATTAATTATGTAAATTATTGATTTAATTATTCAGAATGAAGAGCTTAAAAGACAGTTAGATGACTTTGATAAGGTTGCCCAAGTTCAACTAAGAAGTTTGTCAACAGATTCATCCCGGAAGTCTGACAAGGATATCAAATCATTACAAGAAAAGTAACTTTCTATTCGTTTAAAAAAATAAAATGCTGTGCGATTTTCAGGAATATGGCTAACGATCGAACGGGTATGATTTAGATTGACGGCGGAAGAGAAGCATCACAAAAATGAAGTTGCACAAATGAAACTGCGTCAAGATCAACAACTTGCGGTGAAAAATGAGGAAATTTCATCAGTTCAATCGCAACTGAGTAGAGCCAAACGAGAGAGGGATACATATCGACAAATGGTAGATTCTGCACAGAGGGCAATCTCGGAGCTAAAATCGCGTGGGTCTGGGTCGAAGGGGTCAGTCACAGCCATGGATGAAGCCTCGACAGGGGCTCAAGCTGCGATGAAAGCCCTTCAGGACAGAATCGCCTCTTTGGAAGATGATCTTGCTGAAGCACGTCGAGACACGTCACATGTTAAAACCGAAATGGTCACCGAAAAATCACAGTGGGAGATGCAAATAGGAGAGATGCAACAAAAGATTAATGAAGTACAGACATTTGCTCACGAGTGTTTTTACCTATATTAAAGCCTGGACCATTCAGACTTTGAATTTTAGAATATGTAAGATTCACTTGCTGTAAACTGCTTACTTATTTTCAGTTGGAAGAGGAGAAGCTGCTTAGCGGAAGCGGTAGAATCAGGGGTTCTGGTGCATTAAGTAGGACACGACTTGAACTAGCGTGGCAAAAAGAACGCGAAGAGCAACAAAGGAGACTCAAAGAAGCAACAACATTGGCAAGGGACCTGAAAACGACGCTACTAGAGGTAAACAATAATGTGTTCAGAAATTTACAGAGCAAATTAGCGTACAATAAAAACCTATTTAATCAAATTTCCCATTGCAGATTGAACGGGAACGAGACAGGGAACGGGTAGACGCAAAACGCCGAGTGGAGCAACTGAAAGGTGAATTGAAAAATGATTTATTATGTTTTTAAAATTATTTCGTGCTATTTAATATGATAAACATAAATTTATTTATACAAGTAACAATGAATTGCATTTTTTATTTAAGCAACGATGGAAGAAGAGCAAGAAGAAATAAAGCGTAAAGTAGGAGAGAGTCAGTGCGATCTTCTTGAGCTACGAGATGCTCATGCAAAACTCAGGACTGCGAATGAAAAGTTGAGAAAGGATCGAGAAAAGCTTGAAACTGCAAGAGAATTACAAATTAAGAAAGAGCTCGAATCTCGTAAAGTTCGATTAGAACGTGAGAAAATGTTGGATCAACTAATGAGTCGTGTAAAACTATTAAATCCAACCTCATCGAACTCCAATCTTGCTCAACAACCACCGAAACTCAGTTTTGCCGAAGTTTTACATTTTCTTCAAAATATCAAGTCGCTTACAGAGCCGGAAGACTTGACAAATCCGAGAGAACAGCGACGCTCTCATTTCAAAAAAGCTTCTTCACTGGGTACAAATATTTATAATGAATACTGCATAATTATGTATAAGTTCATCCATCAGTCATCAGTGTTTATGACCCGATTGCATATGCGTAGGAGAGGATAGTCAAGACTTGCCGAGGTCACGAGAAAGTTTGCAGTCGATGCCAGGAGGGTCGTACGGGTTGAGTGACAATTATGGGGCTGCAGGACGGTCTCAAAGACAATACGTGGGCTCAAGTTCTTCCTCGACGCTAACTCTGCCTTCCCGTGCTCGAACACCGGGGCCTTCGATGCCAAGTTCAAATGGATCGGGGAGAGGGATTCGGAGCAATGCCAGCGATTCCGGCGGCTCATCATCTGCCGCTATGTTAAATCCCCGTGGAAGTTTGTATAGGAAGGCATTGTCCTTGGAACAGACCATGTCCATGCCGGACGAACAGGTACATAAAATAATGTATTGTAAATTACTCATTGCGCTCAAGAAAAATAATAATCAGGTAATCGAATGTACAGAAAATATGGAAAGGAAATTCAGACGCTGGTAGCGGCTCTAGTCTTGCATCAAACGATGACCAATATTCGCGAGGATCAAGCATGGAAAGGTATTCAATATCGTTCGAAAGGACTTTTAGTTTATTATTGCTCAAATTTAAACTAATTTTTCCATTACATTATAACTTATCAATCTTATCTTAGGACATCCATAAAAAGTGATAAGCCCAAAGGACTGGTGGGGAAGATGAAGAAATTTGTAAAATCTAAGAGCATTGAAGAACAACCCTCGAATACAGCTCTGAAAGTAGTTCGAGCTGGCGTACAAGTGAGTTTCTCACAATTGTCAGTTGTAAAATAATAATTATGCTTCATACACATCAACACATGCGTCTTTTTATGAATAATTGGGCCTTGTTTTAATGCACATACCATAACCAAGCATACAATACTTACTTGTTGCAAATCATATCAATATTAAATTGTACGGCTTTCTAGGCGGCAGGTGTGGGATCAAATGCTGGTTCAGATTTGTCCATAAATTCAGATGCCGGTGAAAAGGAATCGAAAGGAACGCTCAAAGACAAGATGAAAGGCATGTTCAAAAGAAGTTCTCGGTCTCCCAGGTATGCGTAACATTCAATAAACACATGCATACATAGCGAATATAATTTGGCATGTTTTTTAATACCAGCGTTGAACGGAAGGGTGCACCGACATTGCTGATCCAGCCAAAACAGGGCCGTGAGCCTACGCCACAGCGAGACGCACGAGAAGGAACGCCTGGGAGCTCAACTCAACGCCCACTCATGCCTTCAGCACAGCGACCGCTAATGCCTTCATCCACCAAAAATGTCCCAAGATAAAGTTCTAACAATAAGTTAACACAAATCCTCGGCAATGAATATTTGTGAACAGACAAACAACTGATGAGTACAGTCATTCTTTATTACCGTTTACTGTGGTATTATTAATCTCCAAGCAATTCCTTTATGTTACAATCTAGCCGTACTTTCTTATAGGTATAGAAAAACACAAAATAGGAAAGGCAACCTCGATGTGAGAAAATGATGTACACTTTATTGTACTCATATCCTAAAATTTCATGTAATAGCCTTGTTGAATTTTAATTTTAGATACACGGTAATATGGTATAAATGATTGTTAAGAGCGTACATACTTTCTCAACATTTTTTCGGAACAACCAAGACAATACTCCTTTAATTCTGTAACTTAAATATTAAAAGTAAGATTTCCAACACGGAATAAAGTCCATTTACAAAATTATAAATGAAAAACCTTCACTTTTTTGGTGCTAATGACACCAAAGTGCTAATGAGTGTGATAAACAGAGTTTTAAAACAAAACGCATGCTTCCATATTTTGCATCCAAAGATAAATTTAATTATGTAGGTAGCTCCACCCACTATTAATTTACAGCATTTCTTTTGGTCTGTATTGGCAAATATAGCTTAAATTCTGCAGGAAGTTCATCCTCTGAATATAATCGGTCAGAAAAGTAGACTCGTCGAACTCTACAATTTGCATGGATTTGCACTCTTAAGGTTTCCATATAGTTTGAACCATATGCCCTGCAAAGAAATCAGGATTATGCTTAGCTTAACTGGATAATGAATTTAAAATCAGCATTATGTGCATTTTTATGTGTACCTCCTGGTAAAGTCGCTGAGATTAAATTGAATCTAAAAGGCAACCAAATAACAAAAAATACACTATTGTTGCTTGTGTAGTTTATATACAACACATACCTGATTCCATCCATCATCCAACCTCATTGGCATAGTGCATATAAAAGGCTTTACCCTAGTTGTTGACTGGTAATTTGATGCTCGAAACCGTCTACGGACATTCTTATCATCCAATACCTATGTAAAAAAATCAGGACCTAAAATATGTGCAAGTTTGCATACCTTACAACGTGTAACTAAATTCTGTGATTGTCGTACCTGAACTTCAAAACTGAAATATTTTTTCATGTTTTTAACTATCATGACCTACAAAAAATTATTTTATTTAGTATTGCTACCTCGCATGCCTATTAATTTTTTGATAGATTAATGAAATTTGTTGTATACCAGAAAAGGTAACTTTATGCCAAGGGTTTTCTTGGGATCAGCAGGGCATGTTATGTACCTAATGAAACAATTATATAAATAATGGTAAGTCGTTGACCTTTTTACATGCAGAAGAGCTGGCTTGCTCCATCACTCCCTTGTCTCTTCCATATGTTACATGTTAACTTACGTTGTACTAACATTTGTTCCGACTATTTCCAGTACGAGGGATTGGATATCATTGTCTGTGATTCTTTTTATGTGCCCATTTCGAACCTGCCAATAACAATCATGTCGCATTATACCTGCTTTTACGAAAATACAACAGTCTAATTTAAAATGATACCTGCTTATCCCAAATTTGCAGAGGCTTAGAACCAATGCTGTACAAAATGGAAAGGAAACCACTTTGAAAAGTGTTTTTGAACATCTCACTTCAGTTTGCAACCCCGTTTTATGCCTTACGACTGCTGCTGTATAATAAGAATAAATATAACAATAATTTGCAATTATAGACCAATGATCTTATTGACGAAGTTCTAATTGGAACGATCAAATTTAAACTATGAGCTCCTTAGTAGATATGCATTTATTTATTTGAGGACCTTAGAAATGGCAAATGGTTAGAGACTTGGAGACTTGTATGGTCTTGGTCAAAACTGATTACTACAGAATTGCCCAACAACCCAAATTCAACATAAACGGGAACAACAGACAATCACGAGTAACGAAAGCCTAAAAATATATGCTGTTCACTGTTGTGTTTGTCATATTAAATCGATACTTATCGACGTTTTGATAGTCTGAAAGTCTCATAGTGAACGTGTGCATCTTAAATTCATCATATATACACAAAATTTTCCATTCAAACTGTACACATTCAAACCATTTAAAATTGAGTGAAGCTCTAAATAAGCAATTTCTTTAATCTACAGTTTTAAATTTATTTAAACTAAATATTGGATTTGATTTTTTTAATCATAAGAAGTACAGAGCTCGTTTTATTTACCTTCGTATACTCAACGGTCCCGAGTAGTTGCTTTCCAATTTTCTGAATCCTAGTTTTGAAGTACAACCAAAACTGCTTCTTTTTTAATGTGCCTTATTTTAAAATAATTGTCAACAAATTTTAGCAAGCGAATTAAACCGAACTTGCTACTAACATCGAGTTTGCATTTCAAACCTGATTTGGCGGAGTGCAGTGCCGGGCTTTGCACTTGGATGAACCGTTTTGTTTTTTCCTTTTCTCTCCGCTCTCTCACTGCCTCTCATCCTCATCCTCATCCTCAGTCGGTCGTCAGAGTTTGAATTGAATTCGCTGCACAAACTGTTTTATATTTGAACCCAATTTCAATTTGTGCTCATAAATTATTTAATTTTCCAGAAGTTCTCAATCATTGAATTGTTGCGAGCTTGTCAAGTGTTACGCGACATTAGTAGCAATGTCCAGCAGTGATTCAGATGTGGATGTCGATATTAGGCCCCCCGAGAATATCAAGCTACGACGAGGAGGTCAACGAAATGGAGATACATCAAAGGTCACAACTAACAAGGGGAAGCCGCTGGTATTGAAAAATCGTAAGCAGGATGACGACAGCTTGTCCAGGCAAAGAAAAGGGCGAAAACGTCGATCGGATCCCAAATGGGACGACCCGTCAGAATCTGCCCTTACATTGGACTCGGGTAAGGGTGAAGGGGTGGTTTTATAAATTTGGTTTGCCTTTTTTTGCAGTGGGACACAATACGTTGAACGTACGTCATTTTACATTTTGCAGATGAGGAGAGCGGTAAAGGTGGGGAGAACCAACAGAATAAACCCCCTCCAGCAAAACCAGTAAATGGCAATGGAACTAAAATGACCGTGGTAGATAGTGATGAAGATGAGGACGAAGGGAGCGAGGAACAGGGGGTGTGTATCTTGTAAAGGAATGTTTGTGTACTCAGCATTAATATTTCTAATACGTTTTTATTGCTTCAGAGTTCCAGACGACCAGCTAATCCTCGGGCTAGAAAACGTCTGTCGATGCGTCGACAAGACACGGCTAAAAGCAATAATTCCATCGGGGGAGAGCAACGAGAAAACCTACCTCCCCCAGACCCCGCCACATTAAAAAAGATTTATTCATCTTGCATAGATTTGTTTCAAGCTCAAGTTTGTAATTTTCCTTCTTTATCATTTGTTTATTTTCTTTGTAATGTGCCATTTAATACGAATTTTCATTATTATTTTAGAAAATTACGGTTGAGAATGCTTTCCAAATTCGCTTTCTAGAACTTATGGGAGACATCATTGATCTACCAGAATTTGACAAGCATGATATGTTGGTACGAGTTATTGGAATTATCCACAATATTTAAACTTTGAAAACAGTTTCAGGCTACAAAGTCATCATTCGTCATGACCTTATAAATTTAGGGAGCTGGGAGAATGTTGGAGGCTGGAGCGAGGATATATGTTTGTCGAGTCGATAAAACCAAACATTCCGTGATGGACTTGGCGTCAACTCTTAATATGCAACAAAAAAATAAGAAGCGCAATCAAGAAGGTGACAATGAGAATGAACTTGGGGAAATGGACCAAGGAGCAGAAGAAGACGACGTTGGTGGAGAAGAAGGGAAAGCAGAGGCTAAAAAGAAAAAGAAGAAAAGGGTACACTGTTGTTAACTATACCCAAATCTCGTTAATTCAATGCTGTGTACTTTTCCCATGTACTTTTTACCATATTGTTTACAGAAAATGAAAGAAAACCAATTTATTGTTGAAGATATCTCTAAAATTTCCCTATCGGTTGAAATTGATAGCTGTAAAGGCGGTGCTAGACGAACTGCACTTAAAGTCAAATTCCAAGATTTCATTGAGAATGATGTCGATTTTGATTACTTCAACGAATATTTAGCAAAGGTTAGAGATTCTCAGCAAGATAACGAAGCAGAGAATTTTGGAACAGAGAAACTTGCAGTTTCTTCAGCTGTTGTCAACAGTAAGATAATTAACTGCATAATAATTTGACTTTCAAAACCCTGTTTTACTTAACGTTGAGTGACATTTTTAGTTGCCGAGTTTGGAGATTTGCAACACCTTTCATTTCTGCTTTTGGAGGAATTTGACAAGAGAATCCATGATACTTGGGTAATAATACATACAATGAACTCTTCTTCTTATGCTTATCCATGTTGAGTTGTTTGCAGATGCATTAATTTACAGTAAGCTAATTTTTTTATGAATTAATTCCAGGGAAAGCGGCTTGATCAGCGGACAGAAACTCCTAATCTATCCACTCATAACGTTGAACTAGATGTAGAGCCAGCTCCTTTGGCACCCGAAGTTGATGAGGAACATGTATACGTACCTCAGGAAGAGCCACGACAAGATTACAATGATGACTTTGCTAATAACTTTGACGATGATGACAGAGGATTGGCACATGTTAGTTTTGGTAAGACTTGTATATAACTTTTTAGTTGGTGCATTATTTAGAGGCATGTTTTTACTTTAAATTATTGTTTGTTTTATTACCCCAAGTAAATGATGATGGGCAAATTGAGGGGACGCAAGAACCATTGTCAAACGGGCGCAAAATGAGATCGTTGCAAGATTTCTTTGATCTTTACCAAAAGGTAAAATCGTCATTCGGATGGTGTGGGCCCACATTTGTAAAAACTCAGCGAGGGGTTCATATGCTCGGTAATATATGTTGACTTTACTGTTAAACTTTCTTACATCTTACAAGTATACTTCCTAATAATTATCTGGTCAATGTTACTTTTCTGCAGGTGGTCCAAGGAAACCGCGGGTCAAGAAGCTTCCAACTTTTATTGATATAAGAAATATAAACAGAAAGGATCGCTGTAATAAGTTCCTCACTGCTAAAGCGGCGAAAGGTATCTTTGACGAAAGGAATATCGAACGATGGAGTTCGAAAGGAAGACCTGCCCACCCATATCTAGAAATTGATGAACCGTTTGACGAGTACGAAGAAGTCTTAGATTTGATCAATGAGGAGGAGAAAATGGGAATTCCTAATTTATTCAAGTACTTTCTCATATTCTAATGCATGTGCTATGTAATTATATGTATATACATACAGTGTCGGTACAAAAGCTTTACACCCTTAAACAACAGGAACGCTGTTTATGCACAATATTTCTGGGTTACTGCCCTGCAGATTTTCAAATTTGTCGAGATAAGAATTATGTTGATAGAGTATTTTTGCAGTGTGTTAAGGGTTTTGTGCAGACACTGGACACTGTATACGTCCTAACCATTATAATTAAATTTTGCAGATTTTTTATCGATATTCGACGAAATCTCTTGAGTTCATTGAATGTGACTCTTCCTAAAGAGGATGACAGACTCGTGATCGAAATGAACAAGGCTGAAGATGAGTATATTAACGAAGCAGGGTTTGAAGTTGATCGTCATTATGATGACGATTTTGATCATGTAAGTTAGTGTTATTTTAAAATTATGTAAATTGTGTAAGCCCAACTTACATAGAGATTTTCATTAGAGATTAATTTATTATTTTATTTATTATTATCACCCTTGGTATAGGAACAAGATCCGGATCCACTGGCAGACTTCCACGTCGCAGATTTACCACCGACTGGAGAAACAGGGGCACCCTTTAACTGTAAAGCGTCTCTTTAACTTTAGTTTGACATGGACAAGTTTGACATGTGTTGGTGTAATCATGTAAAAATGTGTCTTACAGCGTCTTTCAACTTCCCAACATCTTTGAGCAATTTGCTTATGGAAGCCGAAAATGATCCTACACAAAAGGTAGGTTGTAACTGGACTGGAATACTATTTAATTTTAGAATCGTATGAAAAAGGTCGATGGCTTATTTTTGATAAATTGACAGACTGACACCGAATCTATTCGCTTTACAAAAAAACCTAAACCGATCGACATGCACGGTTTAAAACGGGCCATTTTGGAACATTTACAAGAAAGTTTAAAACTACATGTAAGTTCATTTACATTGGAGGACTGCATTTCTTTACCAAATTCGATATTTGTGCATTTTAACTCACGTCATACATGATGTTTCTCTTTGCGGTTGAATGCAGAGGGATGGCCGACCCTATCTTGATACGGAAACAAGTACGGATTTTCTTAGCTTATTGAAGCATGTTCTGAATACCGTTGATGTCCGAACCGCTGAACACATGTCAATATCAATTCTTGCCGTTGGTTTACTACACGTTGTCGTCGAAAAGAAACTATTTGTACTCAACAATCCTACAAATCCTACTAACCCTTTAATCGTATGCCGTGGAAATCTGTGGAATCATGCAGAACATATTCCAATGCCTTTCGAAATTGAAGATGATTAAGTTAACTATGAATTTTAAGTATGCTCATTTGAATAATTTATTTATCCTAAATGATTACTCTCAACCTACAGCAAACCAAAATTAAATGAATCAACTTAAATGTTTTTAGAGAATTGTATAGTAAATGATTGATATGTATCAATCAATCAACAATTGGCATTTAATAAACACTACTATAATTTGATAAATTATGGTCAGTAATAAGCTATACTAATAAGTAATAATTATGGTTATAATGTCCTTTGCAGAATATAATTTACTATTTTAGTATTTATTACTATTATGCCATGTATATTGTTTAACATTATGAAGTAAAATGTCAGTGTAAAGGTGTAAACTATTAAGTGTACAGTACAAGTAATTTGACAGAAAGTAAAAAGATATCAGCATCAATTTTTTAACACGCAATTTTGGGTTGTTGGGGAAGAAGAAGTCCAAAGCGTTTCTTGATAGTGATTCGTTCTCTGGAATATTGGTCTTCGGGCGAGAACCTCGCTATAAATTTCCAATTTAATTAATCAGAAATCTGGTATGACTTCAAGCATTATTATTCAGTTTTCACTTACAACTGGAGGTTTCCCAGCGTATGCTTTCCAGTTTTGACCAAATTAGTCTCAATCGATCAGAAATTTAATTAATATAACATTTGTGAAAGTCACTTATTGCCCATTGCAAATGCCATATCAATTAAATTTGTGATCGGACACTAGTTTAATCAAAATAGGAGAGAATACGCTGTAAGACCTACATTGTTAAAAGTGTTTGAACCACCGGCACTACGTTGCGCCCAAGTACAATTAGAGTTCTGAGTTGTGAGACACATACGTACCTGGATGAGCCGAAATGGTCGGATTTCCTTGAAGATCATCTTTCTACAATAATAAGAAAAACATTGACTAATGGATTTTTTGTGTGCAATATTGAATGAATGTCGGTGGGTACCTTGAGTGTGTAAACCCTCTTGCCACTCTGGTCCAGGTAAAACATTAGATGCATTTTATTTCGCGATTAATTTTCCCCTCACTTCGTGACAGGATGTGCAACTCGGTTGGTAATTGATTATTGATTTCAAAGCAAAATCAAATTGATCCCAATAGCAAAGTGCTGGACACGCGGAGAGAAAGACAATCTTGTGGTGCAGGCGGTTATTGTTTGGCACAAGTGAGATTCCAGCCATAGGATAGGAATATCCCCAACGTTATTCTGTTTTGTTGACAAAATTTGGCTGCAAGACTAAATGTGAAATGGGCAGCCTTTATTTTCGTTAAATTAATTTTAAAATTAGTGTGGAAAATGCGGTGAGGAGCTAGTGTAGTAAGCGTAGTTCTACTACTGCTGAAATTATTAAACAGTAGTACAGAATGAATGTAGCCAACAAAACACCTTTGTTTTTAGTGTTAATGAAGTATTTGCGGATGGATAAAATAAAAGTGCAATTTCTTTGCAAAAAAGAAACCTAATTCGGCTCGGTCTCTTCAGCCGGACCTCGCCATTGTCACGGGGTAATTGCAGTAAGTCGGATTGTACTATTTTTTATTATGCATCATATTATCACTAGTCGCGTCGTCACGTGCATGCACACATGGTTATCTCATGCCCTACATTACCTAAACCCTAAATTATGTGTCATGCATTTTCACTGATGATAAGTATCCACCTATATGATTAGAGATAATAAATCTAGACTACATGAATGGGAATGAGAACACATGTGGATGATTAATGTTATTCTAAATATTTCACGGGGTGTCGTTCCGACAGAGATCCGTGATTAATGAATTTTTTTGTGGGATTAAGGATTAAGGATTAATGTTATTCCGGGATTAGATTAGTCCAGGATTAATTAAATAATTCAATTTGCTGGGATTAAGGATTAAGGATTAATTCACAATGCTTTTGAATTCGGGATTAAGGATTAATTAATCCTGATTAATTCATGATTAAGGATTAATATAATTTTTATTTTCCTGCACAGAATTATCGACACAGCGATATTAATGTGTCAAATCTCAAATACTTACAAAACGTGCAATATATAGTAGTGTTGCGTTAAGTACGTAATAAAAATCAATGTTGGAATAATATCCCCGCCAATTACGGCAAGTTTTGGTGCACAAGCTATGCCCCTGGCCTTTACAGAGCCACAAGACTTGTCAAGTTCTTCGACATCAAAAAATGTGCCGGTCAAAACGAATGGCAAACCTTTCAGTTCAGTTAGATTCCTGTTCGCCATGATTAACGATTGAATCAGTACTTTTATGGAAGCAACAATATAAAGTTAAAAAATATAATGCATGCTAGATAATTTCAGGAGAGGAAAGTAGAAAGAATGGAAAAATATCACATGGTTGAGAATAACTGTTACCTTGCTCATTCGCAGTATTAATCTCTCGTGAGAATTAATCCTAATCACGATTAAGGATTAATAATTTGGGCATGCTTCGTCGGGATTAAGCATTAAGGATTAATGGAGCAAAAATATTTCGTCGGGATTAAGGATTAAGGATTGATTTCACACATTTTTTTGTTGGGATTAAGCATTAAGGATTATTAATCCTTAATCCCAATCCTTAATCCGTTAATCACGATTAATTAATCACGGATCTCTGCGTTCCGAACGACTCGTTCGTTCCATTTACATGCTTCTTTGGAAGTAAGTAATACACATCGATCACATTTCTGTCAATGTAATGCTACATTAATAAATAACATGCAACGAGTTAACGAATCTGGGGATGAACCATCTTATTGGCTGGTTAAATTCGGCAACAGGGATATTTAGGAATAACATGACTTGTACTTTTGTACTTAGATCAGACTGACTGTACAGTTATGTAAAATGTAATTAATGCAAAAGAATCGTGCATGTTGTTATTCATATCTCATTATATCTTGCTTGCATCATGTATGTATATTCTTTCATAAATATCTACTTATATTTATTGTTAACTGTCATCCGTCATCATCACATCACATTGGTCCGTTGGTGGACTATACACCTTGCTTATTGTGTGCCACAAACTGACAGAGATAAAACCATTACAAATTTCATTTGTCTGATTTGTTATGTTCCACAAAGGGGTCGATTCCTTATTTTGTATTGCTAAGTAGGTAAGTTATAGCACTAAACATAATATTAATTGGCATCTTTTTTGTTCTTTAGTACATTTTGGTCATACTATTCAAAAATCAATATCATGTAACGCATTACTTAGAATTCAGTTGAACAGAAGGCCGGTTGAAACTGTTGAAACTTATAAATTACCTATAATCCATAATGGTAATAATGTCGTAATTTGTACAATTCGAAATTCTGACTCAAATTGAAGGCAATCATATCAATCATTCTTCGGTGTCTGTCTCCCATTTATCGATTTATTAACTGGGATAAAAACAAGGTTCTCTATGCATTAAAAACTTGCTGGGAATTGCATGTAGAGGCTACATCGCAACTAGATTTATGGTGACAGCTCCGAGTGTAATTGAAGAAAAGTGAGAAATATATGTTTAAGGAATAACGTGTAAGTACAAATAAAGGAAGCGACAAAATTGTCAGTGTCACGCACGCCAAAACAAACCGCAAACATTATAACAATGGTGTTTGATCTGCCAGAAAAACGCTCAGATTTTGAGTGAGAATTCTAAACTTGATAAGATAGGAAGTAAATACCGCTTGTTACATATGTAAGGAAGATTCGCTGAATAATTTCAGTAGAAACGGTAAGTAAAAAGTGATCTCATTAAAAATCAGATCGAATGCTCTTGTGAAACAAGGCGATTCATTTTCTTTATGTCCTGCAAGTTTTGAGACTGATTCTTCCAAACTTATTTGTGTGCATAATAAATACGCCTCTGACATTCGAGCATTTAACATTTATGATTAGTCACTATTGATTGTTAACACCATGAAGAAATTGAGATTGAGACGCCATCATTTTTTTTCAATTTGTAGGATACTCAAGAAAATCTTATTAATATGGAAAAGTATAATGCTCGCTCGCGAAAGATTTAGCGAATGAATGAATGGTAATTTCTGAAAGTGAAATTGCCACAATCACCTATCTTGACAGGCAAAAGTGACTTTCTCCTCAGAATTTAACCGTGGCGTGGGGTGTTTGGTACGGGAAGAAAAACGTGTTATTGAGTCAATGAAATAGAAAATCAAGGGCACCCGACCAAGAGCATTTTTCTGCCAATTCACGGTGAGACTATTGAAGAAAGTACAATGAAATGGTCGGACTACAGGAAATGATTGGGTTTTTGCGAGTGAAAGTAGTGAACATATTTTATTTGTTCTGAATGAATGGGAAGACAGGTACCTACCTACCTACATGAATGTATGCATGGGCACCTGCCAACTAACAATGGAGGTCTCCCAACGTATGCTCACAGATTTGTACCAAACTAGCGTCAATCGATCACAAATATAATTAGTATGAAATTTGCAAATGGAACTATCTGCCAATGCGCATGTTTGGCGGAGATATTTGCATAAAAAGAGGAGAAAACGCACCCCCAGGGCGGGCAAATTATTCATTTTCCAATTTGCTACCCATTTTTCCCGCTTTGAATGCAAATATCTCCGCCAAACCTGCGCATTGGCAGATAGTTCCATTTGCAAATTTCATACTAATTATATTTCTGATCGATTGATGCTAGTTTGGTCCAAATCTGTGAGCATACGTTGGGAGACCTCCATTGTAAGTGAGGGGGCTTATACCATGTTTTTAAGAAGGGAAAGAAATCATTGCCAACTTGAAGAATTGATCCGTGACACCTTGTCCTAGGAACGAGGTGGTACGTGGATGGACTAACTAATGTACCGGCTTTATAGATTGCCATTCACTCAAATTAGTTTCGGGTGAAGGCAGGTATCACAAGACAATGAGCTGGAGAAAGTTTGCATGCTATGTTTCGTCCACTTTTTGTATAAATTCATGGATTAGTTCTTAGATTAAGGCACTTGACTTTTGTCACTCTTGACATCCACATACGAGCGTTCTATCCTGAAAAGTCATTGTTTGAGTTGTGGGGTGAGTCTCTGGTGTGATAAATCTCATACACTTCATTTTATCTATTTGTTTTATATTAAACTGTAAGAACTAGTGACAAATTTTAATACATAAAGCTTCTTTGACTGACCTTTGTCTTTGTATTTGTAATTGTAGAGTCACCCTAAAGTTGCAGAAAAATGAACGAGAATGGGGCTGACGGTTTTCCTGCCAGGAGAAACAGCCATCGTCAGAATGGAGTTATACAGCCACTTCTTACTGGTGAGTGACACTGATTTAATGAAATAACTCCTCATCCACAAGGACAATATGCTATAATTATCTTTACTTTATGCAGATTTGTATCAAATAACAATGGCCTATGCATATTGGAGGGCTGGCAAAATACATGACACTGCCACATTTGACCTGTTCTTCAGAAAGAATCCCTTTAGTGGAGAATTTACAATCTTTGCTGGCTTGGAGGAAGTCTTGAAGTTCTTGGAAAATTTCCACTATTCGGATAGTGGTAATGCCAAATAATGCAATTTTATATCATCATAAAATTTAATCTTATGAGAATTAAGGATAGTTATGTTGTTTCAGATATTCTGTACTTGAAAGAGACCTTGCCATCCGTTGATCCAGCATTTTTTGACTTTTTGGCAAATCTAACTGCTGATGACATTATTCTCCATGCAGCGGACGAAGGCTCTGTTGTCTTTCCTCGTGTACCTTTATTGAGGGTTAGTTAGAAAAGTAATTAATCTTGTAGCTTGAAACGGTTTCATTAAATGACTTGATGGTCGAGAACAAGACTGGGAATTTAAGTTTTAGAAATTAATTAATAAATGAATTTTTGATAGCTACGTTTTCGTCTATGTAAATAATAAATGATTAAATATGAATGACTTTAACAGGTTGAAGGCCCTTTAATTGTGGCTCAGCTATTGGAAACAACTTTACTGACTTTAGTCAATTATGCTAGGTAAGACTTTAACAGTTGTGACTAATATATATATATACATAATTATATTCTAATTAGATTACAATTAATTGTTCCTTATTTCGCCGTAGTCTCGTTGCAACAAATGCTGCTCGGTAAGAATCACACGCAAGTTATTAAAATAATATATAAATAATATTTACATTTTCTAAATAATATTTTTTTTACAATACAGATATCGTCTTGCATCAGGTGTCAATGTTCAGTTGTTGGAGTTTGGCCTTAGAAGAGCACAGGGACCTGATGGTGGCCTATCTGCATCAAAATATGCATATTTAGGAGGGTTTGATGGAACAAGCAACGTCTTGGCTGGAAAACTTTATCAAATTCCAGTAAAAGGCACTCATGCTCACGCGTATATCTCAAGTTTCTCAAATTGCAAAGAATTAACACAGAGGGTGATTATATTTTCCTAATTTTAACTCCTGTATGGAAACTTACATTTAGGTCTGATTTGATACAATTACAGACGATTAAGCACAAGGAAACGGGAGAAGAAATTGATTTCGTTGATCTCTGCAATGAGTGGAAAGATAAACTTACACCGTTCTTAAAATTCCTCAGAGTTTTGAAAGAGGAGTCGTCTGATGGAGAATTGGCTGCCTTTGCATCTTGTAACAACAACACTGCTTTCATTTAGCTTAATTCCCCCAATATCTCCAATTCATTAATTAAAATGCTTTAGATGCATTGGCTTTTCCGGACTCATTTGTGGCGTTGGTCGACACATATGATACCTGTCGGTAAGCTACTCTGTTGCTGTTGAATATGCACGAATAATACTAATAAGAAAGACAATTTTAAGCATACCGATATACATATAGTACTCATTGGAAATTGGAATTTTATTATTTATTTTTACAGAAGTGGACTCTTGAACTTTTGTGCAGTGGCTATGGCACTCCATCAAATGGGTTACTCCCCAAATGGTGCGTCATATTACTAAATATATTTACATAAATATGTCTACAACTTCATAATCAACAACAGTCTCACTTTTCTTTTCTACTCCCCAAAAGGTATTCGTATTGACAGTGGAGATTTGGCATATCTTTCGAAAACAGCCCGAGCTACCTTCGAACGGATTGCTGCACAGTATGCACTCACTTTTTTCTTCATTTGCTAATAATTGTATTTCCAATAACCATACTCTCATACTTGTTTTTTGTTCCTCTTACATAGCTATGAATTAGAGTGGTTTAAAAACCTTACCATCGTTGCATCGAATGACATTAATGAGGAGACAATTTGGTCGCTTAACGAACAGGGTCATGAAATTAATTGCTTCGGCATTGGTACTCATTGTAAGTGTCCATCAAGTATTTTTTATATCCAATTTACTAAATTAATTTTTTTTAACGATTAATAGTGGTAACCTGTCAGAGACAACCTGCCTTGGGGTGCGTGTATAAGCTAGTAGAGATCAATACAATGCCCAAGATAAAATTGAGCGAAGACATGGAAAAAGTGACAATGCCTGGTAAAAAAGACGTATACAGGTACAGTTACCGTTTTTTTACAAATTTTATTATGTGATTGAAAAATCCTATTGCATGTTGTTTATTTTGGATGTAACAAATTTGAATTTTTAGGTTATATGGAGCGGACGGGCATGCATTGGTTGACCTCTTGTTGCAAGTTGGCGAAGAACCTCCAGAACCTGGGTCAAAAATATTATGTCGGCACGCATTTCACGAGTCAAAGCGAGCCTACGTTAGTCCAGCCAAAGTAGAGTGCTTGTACAAGGTCTTTTGGAAGGATGGCAAAATTTGCGAGCCACTGCCTCATCTCAAAAATAGCAGACAACGAGTTGCTGACTCACTCAAAACAATCCGACAAGGTCAATATTATATACCATATTATAGTATTATCAAAAGATCTGTATTTTGAAGTTTCGCCAACGTTTATATTACCATTATTTTATAGATCATAAGCGAAATTTGAACCCTACGCCGTACAAGGTATGCAACTATTTTTTTTTACTATAGGTGTATTTATATAAGTCAATATGGTTCCTAGGTTTCGGTGAGCGACCGGCTCTACCACTTCATTCATGATTTGTGGCTCCAAAACGCTCCTATCGGGTTGCTCTCTTGACATTGTGAAGAAAATAATTTTTTAAACACGTTATACTAGCGAAGCAGTAGAACATTTAGTTTAACGTGAAATTAGCAGTGACAGGAGACAACGGAATGACGAATATTTTTCACCACTCACTAATGGTAATAATATTTTACAAAGTGACTATTAATTCTGTTATTTTATAAACCTCATGTTTTAAAATTGTAGGAAATTGAAAAGGGAACACGACCAGGATTCGACTTAAAAACAAACTCCACTTTAGGTAGCAGAATGATACCGAATTTTTGGAGAGTTGGTTTATAAACAGAAATTGAAAGAGATCAAAGAAATTGTAATTAGCATTCAACCTTCACCTTCATGATCATTTATTTTGTTAAGTTAGTATGTACAGTTAGTAATAGCTTTACATAGCAATAGCTAGTTGCATTTATATTTTTGGTATTTGCAAAGAGTTGGAATATTTTCGTAAAATATTTACTTGTACTTCACAACTTCACCAACATCCTGGTACAATAATAATATAATTAATAATTATAATATATATCAGTCAGTCTTGGTTTCCACTGGACGCATCGACATAGTGGTTGTCATAATCTGTTAGCAATCCTTTCGACAATACACATACATATTTTCGACATGGCTATTTCATTAAGGGCTCATCCTTTACAGGAAAGAATGCTTAGTCAAATAATAGTAATATATGTAGCACTGGTCACTATTATCTGGTCTACGTGGCATAACGATATGTCATTCTATCTGTGAAAACTTATAGTACACCAGATTTAACATCAATTTTGAATTCGGCGTGCTGTTTTCGCCCAATTATTTTGAGAAGACGTCCAGTGTAGCATAGAGAATGATAAAAAAAAGTAATAGCAGAATAATAATATGCAATATATACAGTAAACATTTGAGTCAATAAATTAAATCGTTAAAGACAAAAATACTTTTCACGTGTATGTCAAGCAAATTATTAATTACTTTATTGATTAAAAGTTAAAAGTATTACACCATAAAATATGGTGAAGAAATATTTCCATACTATTCACACACATTCATAAATACACAGATGACAATTGAATTTACATACGGCGCTTAGATTAAGAGATTATTCGATCCCATTCATATCATAATATTTAAAATCCAATCAATCTATTATTATTCGCAAAAGCATTCGCTTGAGCATTTGAAGATTGGAAGAGTGGGTTCGAAAAAGAATTCGAAGCAGCATTGGCTCCTGTTGATGAAAATCCATTCGGGCCGAACTGTGAACTTTGAGAATTGGATTGGCCAAATGACATCCGATTCCCTGCGATATCTGACGAAAATGATTGACCTCCTCCAAACGTGGCTCCCTGAAAATGTATCAACATCTATGATTATGAGAGGTGAATACTTAATTGGTGAAGTATTTTTTTACATTTGGTCCAATATTCACAGTTTGTGCAACGTCAAATGCACTCCCACCCCCACCCGGTACTTGAAATGCATTGCTCGCAGCAAATGCAGCAGTTATGCTACCGTCCGAATTCCGATGAATAGTTTGTCGTGGTTCTCTCTCATGCCTTGTATCTTGGGCTGTCTGAAATTTCAAAATTTACCTGCTAATAAGATACACACAATTTGTCATGTACATAATATGCGCTTTATACAGCGTCCAGAGCAGATTAACTTACAGGAAATTGAGCCATGGAGGACGGCTTCATTAATGATATAACGCTTACAATTATTAGATTTAATCGAAACATACTTTTATTTTTTTAAGTTTTATTTGACTCAGTTTAAATATTTGATAATTTCTCTAGTTTATAGCAGTTGGCCCAGTGGTTAACGCGACACGACACGATGGGCAATTTCGATCTCGAGATTGCATATATTTACTATTTACTACCATGAGACTTAGCATATTTGTAATTTCCATAATAGATAATATAAGTCCACCCAAGGGTAACTGTTGGCGCATGTTAGCAGTGTTAGCACATTTCATATCGATTCTTAGAATTTATCAATGCTAACAACCTCTTAGGATTTGCGTTATGTATGTGAAACTATGCATTTAGAATGTAAAATATTTAGCATACGCACGATGCGTGCATTGCGAATTTGTGATATTGCATTTACATAATATGAAAATAATGGCTAAATGCAAAATTCTTCAAGCTTTTGCTTAAATTAGTCAAATTTCAATCAGCTTTATTTTAATTTGACTTAGGAATGACTCAGGATTAGTAAACTATTTAGCTTCCCCGTGATAAGCTTATTATCATTTCAATTTGATTCCATTGACAATAACATGCACATACATAAATAATAAAGCACTAATGTAAAAGTACTTCCTATATACCATTTTGTCTTCCGTATTGATCACAAAACTACCATAACCTGACTGATACTTATATCCACGCGTTGCACACAAAATAATATGCAATAAATCCATCACTTCCTTCTCTAAATCCAAATTAATTTTTTAATGAGTTCCAAAGAAATGTGTAATGGCGTGGGAAATACAGATTTTAGAGGTCATGATTTTCGCAAGTCGTGTTAACCAATATTTAAGTATATGATAGCAAATATCAATAGAGACTTGCCAATCGTCACACAAGTTTTATTACCAGCCAACCAGTGACATGTGACAAATGACAATAGCTGCTGGAGATAAAATTGAAGAAAGAAATTGAGAGAGGAGGCAAATTCTCCAAATTTCTCTCTTCCTCCTCTCCAATATAACTCAGGGATTCAAAATCACATGCAACGATGCTTAATAACAGGGTAGCTTCCTCAATGACGTAGACAAATATTTGGATTTGCAATATTTTCAGACATTTATGTATGGTTCAGTACCGTTCTTTACACTTTGAATGAACGTGGATACACAATCGACAATTACGTCGGTATTATTTTTTGAAGCTTGGAAAATCCAACCGATGCATGCAACCTTTGTCTCTACTCTACATAACATGTGCAAAGTATGCATTTCAATTACCACTTGCCTTAAAAATATCAACAGCGAATATGAATGTCATGATTGCAACCATAGTTTAGTCACTAGAGCGTACAATGATGACGACATTTCATACACATGAATGTATGAAATGTATGAAGAAGGTATGGACAGAGTATCTCATATCCGGTCTGGCTGATACTTTTTATTTTACTATCTCGCCGACCAACCACGTTATGCACGCTTTGCTCATGATTACTTCTTGGACTTGACCTTACACTCCTATGTTTGTCCGTATACGTTATTACGCTAGCTTAAATGGTCAGGTTCAAGATAAACGATTATTTTCGTTCTCCTAAGGTACTCATTAACTACAACGTCCTCGGAACAGCTATCAGCAAAAGTTCATGATGCCAATCACACTATATAAAGTCGACTACAACTGCAGACGACCTCTCAATCAAGCAAGTGCTGTCTGCGGAATTAAACTAGGTACGGTTACACACGGATACAGTTACCTGTGCTAATAGCGAAATGGAAACAAAAGTCTTAATTTTCCTCGCCATCCTCGGAATCGCTGCATCCTTGCCGCAGTACGGACATGGTGGAAGTAAGAAATCAAGCCGAATAACTGATACTAAATTTCTTGCAAAGTTTAAAGAGAATCTAATCTGATAATGTGAACAGGAGGAGGCAGACACCACGGAGGATTCGGTGGTGGTCGATACCCTGGAGGTGGAGGTGGGTTCTACCCTGCAGGAGGGCAAGGCTACTACCCTGGAGGACAAGGCTATTATCCTGGAGGAGGTTTCGGCGATCCAGGTTTCGGCGGAGGTTTTGGCGGCCCAGGATTTGGAGGCCCAGGTCAGAGCGCGTCCTCTGCGAGTGCGAGTGCTCAATCCGCCAATAATGGAGGAGGTTGAGAACACAACTTGTCACAGATTATCCAAGTTATCAATCGTCACTGATGTTGACCATCTCTGTTGATGATATGTAGGATTTGGACATCCAGGAGGTTTTGGGGGAGGTCCCGGCTACTTGGGAGGTGGACCAGGTTTTGGCGGAGGATCGAGCTCATCTGCGAGTTCCAGTGCTGCCTCGAGCAGTAATCCTGGTTTCTTTGGGGGTGGTGGAAGCAGTTCTGCCGCCGCTGCAGCGTCTGCATCGTCCGGAGGAGGAGGTTTTGGTCGCTAACTACTACGCATCCATTACAAATATTGACTGATCTCCATTGTATAAGTATTGGACTAGGAATGTAATACCCGTAATTAACAACTGGTCCACTTAAAACCACTACGGCACCAGCACAGATGGACCACCCCCATCCCAAACTAAAGTATCCCAAACACATGTAAATTATTTATAATCTTCTCAAACTCGTACAACTCATTTCAATAAACATAAATTTTATTTACATATTTATTTTTAATTTTGGATAGAACAATGTCAGCCTGTAAAACATGAAAACAAAATCAAAATTTCACATCCATTTATTTTTGTGTACGTTACTTTTCGTAACCAAAATAGCCGACCAGTAGCGGCGCATCAACTGATGGGACGCCATTTGAACCATTTTATTATTTCATTATTCGAATTATTAACTGCTTACATAGTATTTCTACTACCTCTTGGTGGCATTTAATAAATAAACCACCAGAGAGAGAGAGTCAAATGGCAACCTAAAAAGGTTTCGGAATCGAACGGCGTAGGAACAATGGAGGAGAAGAAAAGAGCATTTTGCTCCTGGCATTTTCTTGTCTCAAGGAGAAAAAGTGACCCTCTTTAAATCTCTCAATCCCATCATCATGATGAATCCCTATGTATTCTTCGAACCACTAAACCACCATCTCGAATCCCATCCATATATTTCTGAGGTCCCATCCGAAGTATCTCATCTGAAGAAGTATGAAACCACTTCTTTGTCATTAACCACGTAACCTCTATACACGGAGTTTTAAGACCATGTTTTTGTGGCTATGTTTTCTAGTACTCTCTCACACAGGTCTCGATCTAGTATGTATGTGCAAGCATGATAGATAATAATAAGAAGGATGAATAATAATATTCATTATTTTATCACCAAACCACGTTCACTTCTTGTATCATCATCAACTTTGGTTTTATTACTCCTTTCGTTGCAAGCAGTAGTTGTGCTCTCCGCCTCATCGTCATCGCCACACACTCGTCATTCGCAGAGGACAACAGACCAAACCTGCTGCTGCTGCTGATCAAGCTGATCCAAATTTATTTTATTTCACCGTCGTTGTTTTTTTAGTTCTGAAAATTTTATTGTTTCGTGATGGATTAATACAGAGAATTTCACCGACGGAAACCTTCAGCAATAATCACGTGAGCGCTATATATATTTCCTAAATTGTCTGGGTGTTTTGATAAAACATAGATCGATGGAAAATACGGTAGTATATAGTGTTATCTTATCATAATAATAGCTATGTCAGTTAAGGTTTCATCGGTTGCGTGCGCATATAAAATGTCATTTTTTCGAGCAAAGTTTGTGCTCACGTGTCGATTGAGGTGACAGGTTTTTCTAGTTTGTTTTTCATTCTTTTTGCAGTGCTCAAGAAAGAAAATTTGATCTACAAACTTGGGTCATCGACTAGTAGAGAGTAGAGAGACTGATATTTACTAGTTATCAACCACAAATATAACCTGGCTTAGGAGAATCGTCTATCCGGTCGACCAAAAAGTTTTTGGCCAGTCTTTTCTCGGCGAAATATGAGCCGGGAGGTGAAGGGTTGAATAAGAAGAACGTCAAGTTTAATACACTCCGTACTTTCCCAAATTCAACACATTCGTCATCAAGAGGGAATAATCAGGCACCAGAGTTTCAAAGGTGAGTTGATACATTTCCAATTTTTTGTCATATGTAACTTAAGTATAGCGTTTTTAGGGGAAATTAGCAAGTACTCCGTACTACATATATAATGCATTTAAATAATCAGAATCAGGGATCGGTATTGCGACACAATAAATTGCCGCATAACGTTATAAGGGAAACCAGCCACCCTTTTAATGTTTGGTAGTGGAAGAGTGGTGATGATTAAAAAGTGCATAGCACATTTGAAGTATTTTAACATGTGATAAATGAGATTGCCAAAATTACAAGTTGTCTTGGGTGTACATTTCTATTTCACTTGTTGTACGCTGTGATCTAAATCATTGCGTTAATGTTTATTTCCTGTTGAATGTATAATAATCAACAATCCTTATTTAATAATAATAAGCATTATTCAATCATTCAACATACAACGAATCATACAAATATTATCGTCATTATTTGAAACTACCAACCCAATTATTATGTACTACAAGTCAGCAACAGCAGTACATATATTTAAAGAAAATTACTAAAAATGGGTGCTACAAATAATGTGCGTCTGATTTAATTGTAAAGGTTATGTTGATGCTTAGAAAAGTCAGCAATGTAATATATAGGAATAAATATATCTGAATTAAAACAACCATGTCGTCCGATAACTCTAATTCTAATGTAATATATACCTGTACGGTGTGTGCATATACATATCTTTAAATTTTTATCATGGAGCTGATTTTTACTCCACATTTTCAAACATCATCAATTAATTGGCATCAAGATGTATGGCCACACAAGTCATGCACTGGCATAATGACAAGCAACAATAATAATATTATTTATTATGCATTCCACACGCGACCGGAAGGAACCAGGAGCAACTTTGGAATCGGAAGCCAATTTAATGAATCAGAAAGGCTTACAAAAATTAGATGCACTTTTTGTCAGTTATTCACATAACGCAACCGTTATAGCTGACGAATTCGAGTATACAATTGTATACTCGAAATGACCTTATAATTAAATTATATTACTCTAATTATTCTTAAATCTCACTTGCTAAATAACTAAGATCAACAATCTAATGACAAACTGCATCCCGTTCCTTCCACCCACCCTAACAAACTGTATTTTCCATTGCATGGCATAACTTTGGATCATTCTTAAGTCTAAATTTAATGCATATAAGTACATCCGGCATTTCTAGAGTCTTGACTTCCTGTTGGAAGACTGTTTTTGCACATTTATATTTTCTCCCTCGTACCATTTTTAAATTCACATCGATTCAATTTCTATTGGACGGAATTGACTATCACGTTCACATATTATTCGCTGCAATAATGGTATGTTTTTAGTTTGCTTAATTTATCGTTTAGGCGAACGAGGCTTATTAGTATGTGAAAGTTGATTTATCACTGATGGCGATTGACTGCTTTTTCATTCAGATGTTGATCAATCAAATATTGGCTTTTCATTATGCAGGTTTTCTAATCCCTCCCTACTGAATTGCACACAAAAATATACTTACACGCTTGTTAACAACCAAATCACTAATTATAAATTTTGTTGTAAAATTTCCGTGAAAGTTAAAAAATCTAACTAAATACGCCACTAACTTGTAAGATGTGCAAAACAATAAAATATTACTGTTCACCAGAGTATTCGAAATTTTAGATTTACGAATCAAAACCAATTTCACAGCACATTACATTTCAGGAAAATAAACTTTAACGAGACACACACATTTCTTTCATGAAATAATACTGATAAACTTCAATCCCGTTTATCCTTTTATGTTTTTATTTTCAACTCCTGAGACGTTTATTCACAAGCAGTAAATCTTGAACGTGATCTGGTCCTCGGATATTTCAGACAGAAAAAAATGCCATGAAAGGATATAATATTTTATTTGTCCGAGTTTATTAAATTCGAAAATTGATGAACACTAAAATGATTCGCCATGCAGGGTCTACTCGTCAAAATTTTCAAATAATAAAGTAATCAAGTCATTTTTGTACCAGTTTGCAGAACTATTTCACAAAGTGGCAAACTAAGCAAACTTAGTCACGATTATTTTTGCATTGCTTGAAGTTGGGTCTATTTAGGTTTTCGTTCTTCCTTGCGCGTGGTAATGGAAAAATGGAATAACGTGTTACATGACACAGTTTGCCGTTTACCATTATCATGATAATCATGAACTACCGTTGCATACGGGGGATATATTTTGTTAGAAGATGACAATAGAATTAAGTGACTTCAAGGTAGGCTCCATAATACTCTGATGAGCCGAGTGCGAGACCTTAAAAATTTGACTGAAGCTAAGGTTAGGTTGTAAATTTGAATGTTTGCAAAATGCATGAAAACAATCGAGTGTGTGTGTAGTCATCATCCACTAACTAACTGTGTTTGTAAGAGGTTCACGTGTCATGAGTAGTAAATTCATTGCCAAACCTCTGTTTTAGGAAGATGCGGATCAACTACAATTCTTTGTGAATCAATGTAATGCGTAAATCAAATAGTTATAATCCTACTACAATAAACGTCAATGCAAAATATAAAATTGGTTATTATCTATATGTCTCCTGATTCACTTTGTATTGTACCTATTGTCTATTCTATAGTATGTATTTAGAAGACTTGTTTGATACACTGATTACTATAATGTTGAAAGTTGGAAAGATTTCATTTTTCTTAATGAGTCAATAATCATAATAATACTACTAATATTACTAAATTACTAACTAAACTAAACTAATTACTAAATAATATTTTATTACTAAATAATAATAATAATAACACAACATGACAAGAAGAATAATTACAATGTTACTTGTGAGGTGATAAGACTTCTTGGAGCTCTGTTTATTCGAGATTACGCTGATGACATGCAGAGTTTTGGCGAGTTAGTAACTTGATATTATTTTAGTTTTTTTTGTGGTGATACAATATACCTTTTTAAACAGGGTTTAAGTTGTGAGACAAGTTAAGTTGGCTTCTCAGGATCATTTTTCGTGTCGTATAGTTTCAGTGTTGGAACTTGCGTATCTTGCAGATGTACATAATATGTGTATATGCAGTATATGAACTTTAAGCAAATGCGAAAAAACAGATCATCTTTTTGTGTAATGGGTGCACTGTGTTGGTTTTGGTTAGGTGGCACGGTTAAAGGAATCCGATACTACTGATGGATTACAATTTTTAAATTATTATGCATAAAGTAGTTCATGAATTTTGGGGTAACATATGCACAAGATGAAATGCTTCTACATATTTGCAATTAATTTGCGTTTCATGAGTAAAAAATAACAAACTCGAGCTGGTCTGAAAATTGGTCAGTCATGATAATTTACTACCTACAACTTTTGATTAAAGGGAAGATTGAAGAGCGTTTCTGCCCTTAATGTGTTAAATCAGAGTTTGTTGTCGGCGTTTGACGGGTGTCGAATGTGTTCTATGAAGTGGGACGAATTCAGGTCATGATTTTTTACGGCAATCTTTATTCCCTTTTAGTATTATAATTGAACAGAGTGTGGCCTGATTATTTTATTAACTCATTTATTCTTTTGGCTAAGGTGATAACTTGATTTGTAGAGATGAAATCAAATGTCAAACTCAAACTGCAAGACTTGTTACACATGAAAACCACCGCCGCCCGCTCATTGCATGATTAATATTTCACAGCTATGAATTGCCTGTTGTTATACGAAATTTTTCATTAACAAATTCAATGTCAGATGAGGTGGAATTGGAGTTAGCGACAATAATACCGTTAAAAGTAATTGAAATTGGCATTTTGACTTCGCCTCATCTTTGTATTTGTTCTTGTCATAAAGTTGAGATATTCCGTTCGTCAAATCATCCAACTCGACCCTATCATCTATACATCTGCATTTATTTATTTCGTCCCACAACACCACCTACCTACTTATCCGTACGCTCATTTTAGTCGGTCAAAAAAATCTCACAATCTAAAATCATCGGTTACAAGCATATCTATAGATGAATGGTTCTAGGGTTGAGCTGTTGGTGTTAGAATTTAGTTTGTATCTCGAAATATTGTTGATGTCACAACTGTGCATGCATGCAAATGTAGAACAGTTTGTTTTACGCATGGTAATAGCTGTAAATTGGAGTAGTTAGTAATGGAGGAAATAAATCTAGTGCTAAAATGTTGACAAGATTTATCAGTAGTTTGGTGACTGGTTTATATAGTAGTGCTGGTGGTTCAGTGGTTGTCTGGTTGTCTCGATCGTGTTTGGGAGGGAGGAGCAGTTTAAAAGTTATTTGACAAAAAAACTACCTAATGAGTTATTATGGCAAAGACCTACATACAGCCCTCAGTTAAGGGTGGATGGGTTTATGGATTTAGCAGCCGAAGCTTCTGTTATCATCGTGCGAATTGAACATGAGACTTCTCTCTCAGTCAGCTTATTACATTTGCCCAGTCAGGCTTTAATGCAATGATTTTTGAGAATCGACATACATAAGTACTTACTCTATTGCTCACATTTACATTATTCGCTTGTTATTATTATGTAGTTGTTTATATGCCATGACACTGACTTCAAGTAAACTAATGATGTTTGTATGTTTTTTAATTAGTTTAATGTGGATTGCAGTAGTAGTGACTAATCCAACCTCCCAAAAACTGTTGAATATTCCTTACATACAGTGCATAGACATATCCTCTTAGTAATTCTCGCTTTAAATACGTTTATTTATGGTGAAATAAGGTGATTATGTCAATCTAGTCCTAACAATTTAAACTGACTTACTTGTTCAATTAGAAGCGACATGACAGAAGAACATGACATTATCAACTATGCACTATGCATGCAAACTGATCAAAGTTGCGTCGTTTGTTGCGATGCCGGGGTCCGGTTAGTGTCATTCTCGTCTTGGTTTATCGCATTAATTCTTTCTGATCATCATGACTTCTTGCAGATGGTCAATTATGTAGCTCTTCGCTTGAAATAGGCTAATGGCATACATCTGTAGAATTGCATGTCACATGATATTGCCCACTTATCGATCTCGGTCTATATATATTTGACTCTGACTGGTTTATATGCATCAACTGAAATACTTATTTTTCCTTCATGTCAGTTCAGCGGATTTGTCACCACTAACAATCAGTTCAACCATTACCTTTTAAAACACGAATGCTGGTTGTAAGCCTTGCATATTTGACATTGTATGAATGACATTGAGAGAGGCATCATATGAGAATAATACTTTTTTTGACTGCGCAGATTCGCAATTATGGCAAAATTGTATTCCACGTTAACTTCAACGAAACCATGTCCTTCTAGGGATTAAAAATTCAGTTTTGTCAAGTTGAAGAGAATGGCAGATTATTTGGTATATTAGTATGTTCATCTATATTAGGTGTATGTGTTTATATTCTTTTGGCAAAGAATGTCACGAGAAGAAGGAACAAGGTGTGTACATATAAGCAAATAAGAAACATATAAATAACTCTATACATACATGTACTTACATGAGGGACCCATCCTATTTCAAGGGTAAATATTAACTTAATTTTCTATGAACTTCGTTATTTGAGCAAATAGTTGCTGGACCATATTTTATTCAAATTCGAAACACTGTGTAAAATAGTAATTCAAAGTTTCACGATTGCATGTCGTATTTGGAGATGGGATAAGTATTTGAGTTATTATTAAATACATATATGTATTGCATATTACTATTGTACATATGTATACATATTATTGTTAATTGACCTTGCTGGCTGTTTTGCCTTCATGTTTGAGATATGCGTGAATGAATCATGGCCGGCATTCTCACAAGTTGGTGACTCGGAATATTTTAAATGTAGACCTGTATAAATTGTACGTACGTATGTATTTAAGCTATTAATGACTCAGCATTATATTTAGGAATTAAGAATGTGAAAAAGTTGAGTATAGTTACAAATATTCACATTAGTTCTTTATTTTTGATTCAAATAGATGGGGAAAGAAAAACGAGGACCACTCGCTCTCGAAGAATGGGCGAAGCAATTGATTGACCGATATCCAGGCGTTTCTGTTCGGAATATGACAACCAGTTGGTTAGTTGTGACCACAATTAATGTAAATAATTTGTTAATTTTCTTAAAGGCGATTTTTTTTTGTTTTTAAAGGAGGAATGGAATGGCTTTCTGCGCCCTGATCCACGCATTTCGTCCAGACTTGATGTACGTTCTCTTTTTCACAGCTTGCTTTTGTCTCTTTTGGAAATGACAATAAATGTTATTAGCTGTCTCATTCTTCGCTTCCATTAATTCTCACCATGTACTACTTGTTCCTCTCCCTCTTTAGTACTGGGTGACCTTCGATCTCCAATTTTGAACTATACGATACATCTCTCCAAATATTACTATTATTCACCACGCATCTATTTCTTATTTTGTATATTACGGTGGGCACATAACGTATCACCAAAGCCCTAGTCATGTCTCACTAACTAATTCTTATTTGTACATCCATAATGTCCGTAACAATAATTCTCCCAACTAATTCTTGTCAATGCGAAACTTCCTAATTTGAAAATTCTGTATATGCTATATGGCTTTCTTGTGAATTCGCTAGGATGCATGCATATGTTTTATTTGATTACAGAATGATTTTTTTTAATGGTGATTATTTTTGTTTACAGCGACTATGACAAACTGGACCCTTCCGATATAATCGGAAACTGCTCTTTAGCATTTGATGTCGCTGAAAGCAAATTGGGCATAGCGAGTTTGTTAGGTAGTACAACCACATTAATAGTGCTTAATTTTCATGTCGAACAGTAATTAATGCGAGTGATTCATTATAACTTGTTTAAATATTTCTCAGATCCTTTAGACATGGTGGCTATGCCATGCCCTGACCGACTTTCCGTTCTCACCTACGTGGCCCAATTTTACAATGGTAAATCCATTTCAGAGCATTACTTTTTTAGTAAAAAAAAATTATTATATAGTTGAAACAATGTTAACTAATTTTAGCATTCAAAAATTTGGAAGCCAAATCTCGGGTGTCACCTCCGCGAGATGAAAATGATGGCCTCAAAAACCGACCAAGCGAGAAGTCTGAATCTTCGAGTCCCGACAAAAAGGTAATATATTTCTTATGCATTATCTGTAGAGTTAACTACTACTACGCAAGGGGAACCCTAACCATTCAGATTCTCTCAAACATTTTTTGTATTCACAAATGTTTGCACATTTCTTTTCGTGTATGATATTTTCTGGCGTTACACGGTGTATGTGTACAGGAGTTTAACAAACACGCCTCACAAAGGCCGGTGATAATTGGTTTTGTGAATGGTATACTACAACAACAATAATCACTTGAGCTAATATAAATCTTTCAACATCTCCTGCAAAGTCATCGCCATTACAGTCTTTAACAGCTTAACTTAAATTCTATATACATCTTTCAAGAGAAAACTAAAAATAATGTCCTCTCTTTCAACATCACTTTCTCTTGTATTATTATTCAGCAAATCCTTCATGAACCTTCCTTACTGTGCACCCCTAATACTATAATATTTATTGCTGTAAATTTCCAGCACTGTAACCTACAAGCAATAACAATGCTCTTATATACAATATTTACCAACTGAGTATTTAAAAAAACACGATGAACAATGTCGTATAAAAATGTCTTGGCCACTTCCATCTCCTCTGTCCTCCTTCGTGCAATATTGGGAACAGGCGAGTGACAATTGCTGCTCTCAATTATCCGTGTAAATCAATTACTGAACTGTGAGAGCATGCATGTATGCATTTTGTATGTATAGTGCGTTGCGTATGTGTGTACTTTTGTGCATGATGCTATAACTTTCTGTTTCCTTGTTTGATTGACATGACTTGGACTAAGAGACATACTATGCATACATATATGTAAGTGTACTTCTACAGCATGCTAAGCAGTCTATAATAATTAATTATATCTTTGTAGTAATGTGGGTATTAGTCTTGTTGCATTTGTAATTGTCCTATTGAGACTATCGTAGATTTAAGAATGTAGGCTTTTGCGGCTATTTTATTTCCAAATTTAGTTATAAATGGGGAACAGCAAAACAATTCTGTCTGAATGAAATTTTCTCTAGTGCATTTTTATATTGAGTTCGCCTGTTGGCCTTCATTCCTATGTACAACTCATCATATTTTTATGTACACGTGTACTATGTAGTAACTTTAATTTTAGGTATATTTTTGTGAAGTGATTTTAAAAAGACAGCTTAGGGCAGACAGAGCTTCACCAGCAGGTATCGACACTATGGGATGTCTTCCGAATCAGAATCCACTTCCTTTCATGAATCTGTGGCTGTTGGTCGTGATGCATCTATTGTTGCTGTTTCGCATAATGTGAAATGTCTCTTAAAAAGCCACAGCACGTCTTCCGCACGATTAGCTAAACGAGACTTGATTTGACTGTCTGTTGCACTCGGTCGGCATCATTATAATAATAAGGCGTTGCATTATTATTTATCTTGTCTGGGACAAGCCTGTTATTTGATGAGAACAAAGGCCACTTTCTCTTCCGTTTTGAAAATTATTTCAATCATTATCAGACAAACACACTGTGTGACTGATGATTAAGTATGTACTTGGGTCTATCGGCGGTCTGTAGGATTGTCGATCGTCGGATCGTCTATATAAATATGCACTTCTTTAAACTATTATTGTTTTGCTAGTTAAGAATCAAAATAATGCATATATTTAATAAAATTTGTCATATCCAATTTTCAATTTTATAGGGTGATACAGTTTGCATATTGTCGTCTACAATAATTTTGATCTCGTAGTTGGTTGTATAATGCAACTTGCATTAGGTCTGTAAGATTTTTTAATCTTGACAAAGTATAATTTAATGCATCACTTATTTGAAAAAGTTGATACTCAATTTATAATCTGCAAGAAGTAAACTGATTACTGACTAATACCGTCAACCGTCATTGATAATTTTAGCTTTTACAAATTGTATTTGTGTGGCCTAATTATTGTGTTGTGTTGGTCTATTGTTTAGAAAGAGGCTTTGGTAGATAGTATTCAGCTTAGTTAGATGGTTGTAACACTTTTCTGAGAGGACAATTTGAAAAGTCATATTGTTTTTGCAAAAATCACATAATTAAGTCCCCCAAGTCTATGTCGTCCATTGTTGGAGGTTTGAAGTCAGTTCGTCCTGGGGGATAATTTCCATTGGCACGTGCGTGCACTTTAGCTCAATTTCGGTGTTCATCCTATTCGTGCAAGTATACAAGTGATTGATGACGCTATGTTAAATGTCAAGTAGTAAAAAGCGTGTCATAGTTGAACTCAAGCTTAGAGGAAAGAAATTGATGCTTATCTCATCTCTGCTTGATATCTTATTACACTACCATTGCTAACTCTATAGCTCGTCGGATAACTATTAATCTCAATGGTGTATCAGTACAGTTGGACATTTTACTTTCATCTTATTTTTCATTGCTATTTATTTATTAAGTTAAGTTTCTTGTACATTAAAAAACCCTCCTTTTCACTTTGACAATAACCTTAAATAAGCACAGTAATTGACTAGATGACATTACACAAGGGTTCGGGATACTTATATGCATTACGTAACAGACTAAACGACATTATTATTCTAATTATTTTTGTGTGTATATGTATATGTGCAACATGCTGCGTGTATACTGCACTTACATGCCTTTTTGATGGACACGTTTTATTTTTGTGCTTATTAAATGTTTCCGGATGTGCGTTGGGTGTTCACAGGAGGACAGTGTGGACATGATGGGCCAATTCAAGCCTGAGATCATTTGTTAATTCGAATTCTCAAAATTATCAGGTATTCAGAAGTTATTGATTTATTTTTGTTTCATCACTTCTCTTGCAGCCATTTTTTGGCAATTATTGAAGAATACTCAAACGTTTGTTACAATAATGACAGTGTTAGCATAAAAAATGTAGACAGGTCAACACACTGATTTTCTAAGGATCACAATAAAGATGAGTTTTAATAATTTCTGTTGCAGATTATCACAAAAAGAAAGAATGAAGTGGACGAAGATGAGATTATGGATAAAGTTAAACGTACCATGCCCAAACATTCTGTGCTACTAAGCTCAGCAAAAATGTGTTACGAGTGTAAAAATCCTGTGTTTATTTCGGAACGCGTAATATTCATGAAAAAGTTATACCATAGGTCTTGTTTTTGCTGCTCTAAATGTAAGAATCCATTAAATCCGCACATAGTAGACTTATCTAGTGACGGATCTCTATTCTGTTTGGAAAAAACTTGTCATGCAGAGCTTTTTAAAACGACCATCGAGAGTTCTTTGAACAAATGTGTGCCTGATGTAAACAATGTGAGAAATGAGAGTGATCACAAGCGTGAAGATGCAAATCTACCAAGTGATTCAAGTGCCGATATTCATAATAATGCGTCAAAACTTAATTTGCCTACTAGTGTGAGTGTAGATAGCTCAATGAGATTTCGTAATATTGTCCAAGACGAAGATTCCCACAGCCAAGGCGATATGCAAAATATACTTCAAGGAAAGGAACAAAATATTCTGCCCACACAAACTACACCTCGAAATACCAAAAAGTTTATGGATTTTGCGGGTTCTTTATATAACAATAGCGACCTACAAGTGTCAGCAGAAGTAGATAACCCGATTCCAAACAGTGGTGATCTTACTGACAATGAATCAAAGGCCTTTACTGAAAAAGACAAAGAAAGTAATGATAAGGAAAGCATTTTAATTCCACAACTAGAGATCGCGGAAGAAAGACAAGAACAAGATACAGACGAACAAGAACAAGAAGCTGGCGAATCAATTTTAACTACAGAGACGAATGATATACAGCAACAACAGATTGAAGTCACTCAAGAAAATGAACCGGAAAATGATAATAATTTGCTAGTGTTGAAAAGTGCAGAAGAAGTCACATCAATCCGTGACAAAGCCATTTTAACAGTTGCAGATCAATTTAAATTGAATGTTAAAGAAGCCGGACAAGTTGAAGAGGAAGAAAATCTTGAACTAGAACCATCCTTGACATCAGTCATTATTGTGGAAGAAATTAATTCAAACCAGTCGTTGGAAAATCATTCTGTAGAAGAGATTGAATCTGTGGAATCGATTGAATCGACAGAATCTGTCATTGTCCATCCACGCATTATTGAACAAATCAATGATCAATCAGTCAATGATACGAGTACTAACGATTCATCTACAAACAATCCGTTCGAAGAAGAGCAAACCAGCTATTCCGAGAACAGAGTAGAGCTGGATTCATTAGCGGGTACCCCAAATATGGGTACCAATCCCACTCCAGTACCAAGACAGCGACCTCCAAAACCTCCACCACCGAAATTTGCACCTTTGTCTCCGTCTCCTACACCCAGATCTCGAAGTAGTCAACAACCTAGTAGCAGTAATCGTAATAGTAGAAGTAATATGGAAGACCCAAAATCCACCACCGAATTATGGAAAAATAAAAATTATTATCCAACCGAACTTAATCCGTTTGCATCAGAGGAAGATTTACCAGAGAAAGCAGCGAAAAATCCGTTTGAAGATGATGATGATGATGATGACAATAATGATGAACCAACGGCTAAACCTCGTAGTACCACTCCAAGCAAAGAAATTAATAACAATGGAAATATGGTAAAAGATTCACCGGCGCTTCCTAATAAAAATGCTGCCAATTTCAATGTGCCACCACCTCGGCCACCACCACCTCAACCATCGCCAAGAAAAGTAGTCATCCCTCCAAAAGAGTATAATCCATTTGAAGATGACGATGATATCGGAAATTTCGACCATGAGCCATCGAGTTCCTTTTATGCAAAGCCAACAAACGACGATGAAACGAGCTCTATTAGTAGCAAAACCAGTGACCTTAGTAGTATTAGTGGTGTCCCTACACCAACTCCTAGATCTCTAAATGCAAGTGACACAGAGGGAGGGACAGGTTCAATGAAAGTCCGTTCTAGAAAGTCACGTAGAGCTCCACTCCCACCCACCATCATGATGACCGGGTCACATGAGCAACCTGGCATGGATCTCAGCTCAATAAAATTACCGGAAGAAGAAGCTCTGGGAAGTAATAGGACGAGTACTCCTGAGAAGAAAATAATCCCTGCATCTTCCAAACTGATGAAAGGTTTGAGCACTCCGTCCCCTCGAGATGGAGGAACAGCCACCACTCCACGAAAAAAGCGTCGTGCACCGCCTCCCCGACGTCGTGTCGAACCACTACCTGAGGCATCCATCAAGACTGAATTTGCTGACCTAGAAATAAAACTGAAAGAGTTGGAAAGGCAAGGAATTGCGTTGGAGACAAAAATCCGATCCCTCATGGAAGAGACGGTAAAATGCAGATACATATATGTATATGTACACACATATTATTCCCTATTATTTGAACAATGTTTATTTTTATACCTCGTACAGGATGAAGGGGATCAGGAATCAGAAAGTCAACGCAATGACCCAGCAGAAGTTGATCTGGAACGTAGTTCTGCTGCAAACGGTGGTGTTGACGAACAAGTAGATGAAATGATGATTCAACTTTGGAGCATTATCAACGAGAAAAACGACATCCTCCGGCGACAAACAGAGCTGGAATATCTACGCAGGGGACATCGATTGGAGGTGAAGACTCTGACTATTGTATAATAGGTTGAAATTATCACACATATATATGTTATTTTGTTGTATAGGAAATGCAATCAGAATTGGAGTTTAAGCTGAGAATATTAATGGACACCGCAGAAGATCAGAAAGAGCCAAATCAAGAAGATATGGAACAAGCACTTCTTCAACAGTGAGAATTTTTAAATGCTACTGATTAGTTTAATTTTTTTTTATCATGATAATTCCTTAATGAATAGATTGCTGAAATTGGTGGATGAACGGAATGAAGTAGTCGGTAAGTAGTTAGAAATGCATTATTAAATAAAATATGTGATTGTATAGTTCAACCTCTTCCTCTCAGTTGATTAATTATCCTTTATTCTTAAATTTATCCAATATTTAGAGTGGCTAGACTATCACCGACAACAGGAAAGAGAAGAAGAACTTATGCTTGCCAAATCAATTACCCAATTTTCAACCTCCAAAACTGTAGAACCTATTCCTGATCAAATCGCATCCTCTTCAAAGTCTAAATCTAAAGAAAAGAAACTCAAAGAGAAATCGAAAGACGATAAAGAGAAGAAAGATGGAAAATTAAGACTTGGAATTTTCAAGAAAAAACACAAAAAAACGAAAACTATCGAATCCAGCACTGAACCATAAAAAACACGACCAGTGGTTGAGGTTCAAGCTCCTTCCTGGATATCATCATCATCATTAATTTCAATCATGCAATAATCCCGCAAGAGATGTGAAAAATTTCGAAACAAAAATGAGTAACATTCCTTATTTACATTGTAAGTTACAAAAATATGTCATTCCATATTGTCTTGTAGAAAAATTACTATTACGATATCGTGCTTAGATCTTTTATTATATTTTTCTGAAATTCTTACATCATTTGTATTTACCAAAAATAACATTGTTAAGTACATGATTTAAAAACTTTTAACTGATACTACTAAATACTTTGATATATGTAGCTTAAAGAATACAATAATGTGTATGTATTGGCATATCTTAATAACGCGTCCACAAAGCAGTAAATTCTCGTTCTTGAATGTTGCTTTAAAAATTATCAGTACTCATCTTAAACAGACTGTACGTATTATCCATAAATTTTAACACATTTTTACTTTATTAGACTAGATGAGCATATTTTTTTGGAAACGTGGAAAAATGTGCAATAATAAATAAAATATAATTTTAAAACCAAATTACGTGAACCAACATTCTTTGTCATTTTTGTAACCTATGCAGTACTTACAAGACATACTACACAAGTTGCCACCACCAATTGCTGACGCATTTTGACAAAAAATACATTTCCCATCAATCATAATTATTGTTAATTAAACTAACAATGCTACACGACTTTCATCTCAACATGATGAAAAGTAGGAAATCTGAATCATAAGTTATCACCTGTTTGTGAACACACACCTGTGCACAAACTTCATTTTTATGCAATATGAAAAAAGCTAAAATCATCACTACACATAATGTGTTTTGATGTAACGGGGATACGGGTTACTTGTCGAATCCTATGTCGTCGAAAAGGTAAGTCGTCTAAATCAACTTGTCGAATGAAAAACTCGTCAGAAAGGCAAGTCGTCGAATTTAGGTGGCATGAAACTCGTCGAATTTCATGTAACATTATTACTGATTTTACCTATATGAGTTCACACGTATACACAATACATGTGCATCGTGGGACGAATATACACTGCGGACATTCCAAAATATTCAAAATATTACACAGCAGTAATTCGGAGGATTGTTTTGTTCTTTTTACCCTTATATTTTAGACTAAAGATGTCAAATTACTGTTACGAACTGTAACTTAGCAAAGAGAAACTTAAATTTGAAGATAAGCTGTTCTGATGGATTTTGAACAAGCTGAGATAAAAGCTGTACACGACACGTTTCCAGACTCCGTACATCACGGGTGTCATTTTCACTATACTCAAGCGTTGTTTAGGCATTTGACACCCAATTTAAAGAACCAGTACGACCAAGACGTTACAATGGCATTATTAATAAATATTTGGTCTCGCATTTGTTCAGCTCGATGATTTAAGAGTGACATTCCGAGAATTAATCCGATCGACTTGAGATTTTGCACAAATGTAGTCTGGGTCAAATGAGGAGTTAAGTTCGAAGATGGGCGAAATCGGTCAAGTGGTTGACCGGTGGGGGTCATATAGGTGGGTGGGGTATTATGCATCAAAATTTCAAAATTGACGTAGAAAGCTGAAATTAGGTGCAGAGGTTGATAATGATTTCTAATGAAGGAATACAAAGTAAAATTGCAAAAATTTTCATCTGGAGGGACCCTAGTGACCCATACCGATTTTTAAAACTTATCCAATCGAACTGAAATTTGATACACAGGTTGTTAATGACTACCAATAGAAGAATATGAATTGAAATTGGACACATATTCACCTGGACAGACCCTATGGGGTGACCCATACCAATTTTTCAAATTCGTCAAATCGAGCTGAAATTTGGTAGACAAGTTGGTAATAGCTCCTAATGAAGTAAAATAAGAAAAATTTTCACCTGGAGGACCTTATTAGGCGACCCAATCAGGTGACCAGGGAGAAAAATATGTGTGCACCAACAAATGTATACGAACCTAGTCACCCGCGTGGCTGGAATTTGCATATGTTGCGTCTAATATTACTAGGATAATATCCTGAGAGTTTTAGGAAAAACAATACACTCGTTTCAAAGTTATGGCCACAGTCGATACTGGTGACCAAGGGAAAAAAATGTGTGCACTAACAAAAATTTAGTGATAGTGGATAAATTTTAGTATATGGGTTACTAAAGGCTCTTAATTGAACAATTCGAAGTTTAAAAAATTTTAATTTGGAAACAGATTTACGCCTTACTCGGGCTATATCAAGTCTGCACTGTAGGTTTTTTAGTTATGTTCAAAAAACCTACATCGGTATAGTATACGATCCACTAATGTTTCCAATACTCTTGTGGAATGTGCACCAAAGTGTATTAGATAATATTTTCAGAACCAATAATGCAGTGGAGGCCTGGAACAGGCGGTTTGGCGTTCTTGCTGAGAGTTCTCATGTAAATGTTAATTTATAAAATTATAATTTATATTTAGAATCGTATTTTATTCAGAAAAATACTGTCGACAAGTATTATTTTCGACCACTTGCCCAAATGACGAGTTACCCTTCAGACGACTCGTCCTCGACGAGTTACTCTTTCGACGACCATGTTTTCGACGAGCTACCCTAGACCCGATGTAACGTACTCAATTCTGACATTTTGGCATATTTGCTTAAAATGAACAGGGCCCGGACAAAATCGTGTTACAAGCTCAAGTGCAATGATACAACTTGATAATGAATTCCTCCTTGGCTATATTTGATAATAATGCATTTCTTCTTAAACATGGACAATTGTCACAATTTTTTATTTCCATAAATGTCTTTGGTATAAATACATGAACCGAGTTTTCCTACGACTTCACTCACACGTCAACGTTCCGTGCATGTAGATACATAGATTGAAGACTATCCAGACGAGCCAGCCAAGATGAATACGGTACTTTGTCACTTATTTCGTACAGATATTCTGAATTCTTGTTACTGAACAGATATACTGATGATGTGTGTGCAGTATTGTTTAATATTTATGTGCAGTTCCCTGTTTGGGGCCTCTGTAGATCAGACCCCACCCACGGCAGCCGATTCTAAAGTAGAAGATCACCATGCAGACCTTGCTGACTCCATTCTTCCCAAATCCGGAGACCTCTCGCCTTGGTCTTATTCTGACCCGTATAATTATACGATAACCTAAATTTTACCTATTTACTTATTTTGGTTCATCATTTGTATAACAACATGTATCATTTTTCCAAGGTCCGATATGAAACTCCCACTTAAATCAGAATCACAAAATTTTCAAAGGGGAGGAAACCAAAGACCAGAGGCCACTAAACCTTCAGTTCTCTCAGGAATGTTGCTTCCGCCAAGGCAGAAATATTGATTGTTTTATCATGAGTTGGTCACATATCACATTTCAGATACATTGTCGGATGGACATTGGATAGCGTCATTCACATTTTTATAAAGAGCCATAATTCCCTTTGTAATTTATAGGAAAATTTCGATATATTTTATTTTGAGCCGTTGGCAAATTGATATTCAAGGTTCCAATTTGATTGAAAATGTTGATTAAATAAACTTAATCGGTTTGATAATCGATAAATAAATATCTATGGCATGTACAGTGTAGTAGTAGCTTCTATATATCACAATCATCACTATGGACTAATTTCACTCGTATTGCACATGAGTTATGTGTGAAACACATTTGTGCAAATTTGTCTCATCAGTCTGAGTTACATCTGCATCTGAATAGTAAATGTATGTTTATAAACCTGCTTGACCAGATTGTCGTCAATTTATTGTAATTACTGACTGCAGCGTTAACCTTGCACTCAAACCAAAATGTTTTCCTGGTCTTCCCTAAAAAAAAGACTTGGCAATTCATAAACTTTTTCATGAACAGGACAAATTATTAAATATGTGTACTTCACAAACTGCATCACGTACATTATGCGAATTTTAATTTTCTCACAGCCAGTGGTCTAGTGAACAAATCAGTAAGTAGTATTTAATTGAATCTGCGAGTGAATTTTTCTATCAATGTAAATAAATTTGTAAGAACAAATTCCCAAGAAATTTAAACTGCTTTATATAATACTATTCAACCTAACCCTTCCACTTTGCAGCATTTTACTTCTTCCAATTATGGATGTGCTTCATCTGCGTTAAATGCATATGTAGCAGGGTTGAATGCAAAATTAAATGGGCGAATGGTAAGAGTATGAAATCAATTTGCCAAGAGGTCTTAACAGGGTGACAAGTTAAAGAAATCTAAAATCAATAATATATGTATGGGGAAATTGGCTTTTCTAATTTTAATGCAATGAAGATGTATCCTTTTAAATATTGGTCAGAGGAACAACAAGATTTTTTCGGATGGCATATACTGATCGTGAGTCAAGTATTTCATCAGTATCAGTTTTTATGGTCTTACCCTTGCGTATTAGAATTATGGGCACAGTTACCATTTATGTAGGATGGGCTAATGTGCTAAGCTTTTTACGAGCACTTCATGGTTCTCAGTTAATTGTCAAATAAACTCTAATCAGATATAAGAAAAATAGCCGTAGTGCTATATAATTTCAGCCCTGGGCTCACATTAACCGGCAAAAGTTCAAGTACCCTTCTTTACCCTTTCCAATGACACCCTCCTGACTTAAATTGGGGTTAAATTGGTAACCTCTGACCTTGAAGCTAAAGACCTACAGCGTGCATTAACGGATTTGATATTGTTTTTCATGCATGTTCTCTATATTCGATTCGTTTATTCAAATTGCAACGTTCATTTGTAAAATATATTAGCTTCCCCCATTTACAATATGATGCAAGTTGCATCATGCAACCATAAACAGTTTTCCTGACACAAATATTGGGTGAAATGAAATCTTGTCAGCTTAATCAGCTATGATCCAGAGAACAAATATTTATTTGTGAATAGTTTATTAATTAGTCAGCATTAGAAGCAAACCAGTTTCATTAAGATTTACAAGTTACGATTCGTTAGAGTGCGATCCTCCTCATCCAGGAACGCAGTAAACGCCACATTACATGCATCTTGTATAAAAGTGTGGGTCAGTATACAAATGAAGATCGAGACTTTGCAGAAATGAAAAGCGATCAATAAATTGCACACATCGCGAATCAATCACGTATTTATATAGGATGTTAGGAACTAACAATAGTATTATATGATGAGTACCTAGCATGGCATATAGTAATCATGATAGTAAGGTAGGATGGGGTTCAGGGTGTAGATACAGTTTAATTCCGCATAAATAAAATTGGTCAAGCGCTAAAAGTAGTTAAGGTCGCCAGTCTATACATACATGTTATAACAGTGCTCGTGAGGGTGGGGTGGGGAGGTGTGTTTGGAAATCTGTATAAAAGTCATAGACTGACGCATGAATCTTCACACATCTTATTCAACTCTTTTGCATAACAATCACTCGAGTTAATCACTCAACAAAATCAAAAAATCAAAATGAACTCTGTAAGTGTTTCAATTTAATAATTTGTCCAGACAATTATCACAAACATTTCGAAAATCTTAAAAATATCTGAATTTAAAAAATATATGTTTTGTAGTTTGTTTTCGTCGTATTGGCCGCCGTCGCCTCCGTGGCGTCTGCTGGACTTCTTGCTGCTCCAATTGCCTACTCTGCTCCAGTATATGCCGTAAGAAGATTTTTTTCAAACTTCATAATAATAGATTTTAATTAGTTTTAATTTCCAGGCACCAGCCATCCGAACCTATGCCGCTGCTCCCATCGCCTATGCTGCTGTACGTCTTGCAATACAGTTCACAGATGTAGTAATTCGTAGACTGGTTTCTTAATTGACATTCAACAATTAAATTTACAGGCACCAGCTATCCGAACTTATGCCGCCGCTCCCATCGCTTATGCTGTATGTAAAATCTTCGAATAATTTTCTGCTTTCACTGTCTTAACTGTGAATTCAAATTCCTAGGCACCAGTTGTCCGAACTGTTGCCGTCGCCCCAGCTGTCCGAACTATTGCCGTCGCCCCAGCATACCGTACCGTTGCTGTAAGTTTCTTCAATCCTGAAACACACGAAGTCCGATAATACATAATTGTTCACTTATACACATAATGCAGGCTCCAGCTTACGCTTACGCAGGAAACTTCGGATATGCCGTTAGTTATATTATACTTATTACAAGTTTAATAGTTAATGTTAATATGGCAAAAGTACTAATATTTTTTGAATATGATTTGTAGGCACATGCCCTCCGATCTTGGTAATCTCTGGAGACTCCCTATGATTCTTGTTTAGCTATGAGAGTTCAACTAGCTCATCGTTTTGATATACTTTTTATACCATAATACCAGATTAAGCTCAAATTATTTGTATGATTTAATTGGAAATGGGTTGGAATAAAATTTTGTCGTATAATTCCTGATAAATACATGCATTCACCAAGAACAAAATAACTTTACCTTAATTTGATTTACGTAAAAGTCGTAAATTGTTTCGTACAGATGAGGAACCAGGAAAGAGCTTTAAAGCTTCTGTGTAGGCTTCAATAGCTAAATCCTTCTTTCCCCAACGATGATATAAAACGCCTACAACAGCATTTAAGGTTTGAATATCGTTCAGAGATAGAATACATACACATGAGCATATAAATTCCTTGATAATGTCTTTTTACCCAAGTTGGAAAAATATTTTGCCGGAGTCTTTTGTCCATTTTGAGTAGAAATTTCAATTGCTTTGGTAAAATGTAATCTAGCAGTCTCAAAATCAGAAAGTTTTCCCAAAATATTCCCCATCAAAAAGTGTAGGGTGTCACTTTTTGGAACGGATTCTAGAGCGGCCAACGCAATTGCTTGTGCATCTTGCAATTTGTCTTCTTGTTCCAACAAAATGATACGATTAATCCAACTATGTACATGTTGTGGCTTCATTAATGTTGCCCTCTCCCAACATTCTAAAGCTGCATCATTATTTTTCATGTCCATATACTGCTCAAAGGATCAGAAATTTAGTTAGTGGGCAATCGATGGTTACTTAACTATCAAAATAATAAAGTTAAGTTACCAAATTTCCTAAATTATATTCACAATCTGGATAAACTTTTCGGAACTTTAAAGCATTTTTATAACATACTAAAGCATCAGATTGATTCTTCTTGGACAATACAATTCCGAGATTCATCCATGCAGCAGCAAAATCGGGCCTGTGTGTAAAAATTAGCATGAATATAAATTAATTATTGAGAGGTCAATGTGACGATTGATTTTCTATAGTTGCTGTATACTTTAAATGAACAGCTTTGCTTAGCCAATATTCAGCTTCCGTCTTATTCTTGCTTCTCAAAATGTTGCCTAAGTTGTTCATCGCCTGATAATAGTCGGATCGAAACGTGATTGCCAGTTTATAAGATTTTTCTGCGCTATGTGCATCTCCTTTGTCACTGTACATTGTACCGAGATTGTAATGGATTTTTGCATTGTTTGGGCAAACCTGCAAACAATTATTAGTAAAACACGCTATACTATGTTTTTTTTATAATTTTTTTAGTTAAATGTATACAATGATCATTAAATGTTAAATTAAATTTGTTTAGCAAATTGCATACCTGCGCCCCTGATATGAATAAATTAGACTGGTCACTCCACTGATGGGATCGGTGAATAGAGCGAGACATGAGTATCACAAGGACAAACATGAAAATTTTACCACTTCCTTTGGCGTAGATTACGTAAGATATTAAAAGTGCGAATCCAATAGACGGGAGATACAAATTTCTTTCTCCGACGACAAACCCGACGGTGAATATTAAATTGGACGAAGGAAGAAATGTAGCTCCAAATAATATACAGGAAACTAGAATAAAGCTGTAAAGTTAAAACAGATAATAAAATATGGACCACAAATAATTACGTCTAGATATTACAACTATAAAATACTGCTTACCGATTTTGCAATGATTTCATTAACAATCTACAGCAGCAGCCAATAAATAGTAAAATTGCAAAAATTCGAATATCACGGTAGGAATCGATGAGCTTGATACAATCTCCAGACCAATCATAGCATAACCAAATCGGATTTAGCAAAATATACACGTTCATACTCCATACGTAGACAATACTGCATATCTAAAATTTGAACAAAGGTAGTTTGTGAATCTATTGATACCAAATACATTTTACATTCTTAAATATGTACCATATAATGGCTTACTTTTGTAAAATATGACGAAGCAAAAGCGGGTGGATTGTCAAATGGCTGGAACACTGGAGATCCACCTTGAAACCACAATCTCCAAATTACAAACAAGCCTGATCCAAGCACTGCGGCAGTATACTGCAAACATTTTCTTCTGGAGAAATCAAATCTATCCTTGACCATAAATTGTAGAGATACGCAAAAAATCTATAACAAAAATTGAGCCTTAGCAAATTTCATTTGTTGCAAGCGATTAATAAATATTCAATTATGTATAACTCACAACCAGGGTGATGGCAGTTTCTTTAAACAGAGATCCAAGAACCGAGAACATTGTCAACAATAAATAACTCTTCCATCCCATTTCTTCCGGAACAAATAGGAATCCTAGCATAAAAACTAGTGCAGAGAACAGCTAGAAATAAGAGGAAACCATAAAGATATGTATGTATTAGTATTTGTCTTTTTTAAATAACTATGAAATAACCCTGTCGCACTTACGTCTGCCCTGCCTACCACTCCTCCTACTGGTTCAACGTGAATCGGATGAACGGCAAATAACAGAGAAGCACGGAATGCTATGTTTTCCAGTACTTCAAAAGTAGATGACCGCTTCATTGGAGACATTCCAACTTGTAAACACTTTATCAAGAAGAAGTAAACCAGGCCGCAGTTCAGACCATGAATAAGGAGGTTTTCCAAATGATACCCAAAGGGATTCAGACCCCACATCCCGTAATCAAATCTTGACACATAACAAGTTCTACAATTAATATCAATTATGCATTGAACTCAACTTACCTGTACGTCAAGGTTGTAAATGGCCGGTATGACTTATGCGAGTGGGGGTGACTGATGTTGACTCCTGGAAATAAATAAAGTTTTGCGTAGAGTTGATTTAATTTAATTAGTTATCTGCTTCGTGAGTTTCTCACCCCAAAAATCTCTGGTGAATGCATCTTGGATTGGATGTTTGTGGGAGACGACACCATTTTTGACCACTGCTTCCCCATCATCAAACACAAAGGTTCCCCAGAGGGTGGGGTACACGGAGAGACAACCCGTAGCGAAAAGTAGACAGAACTTTAACCAGTCGTTCCGGCACATGTGATTCCGACTTATTTGCATTATTCATTATTATGCACTGTTTTTATGTCAAGTATGAAGATATGCATAACAGTAATGACATTATTGTATGCATGAGTTGGCGGAGTGGCTGGGCGGGTAGGGTTTTCTGAGATGGTGAATTCCTACGAGAACCTTCTTCTGCTGGGTGTAAACGATCATAAAACCTGCTTCTGGAACGTGCAGCAGGCTACGCACTAAATATATTTATCATCAGTCGCAAATTAATTCAGTATCCTCCAAATTGTGTGAGAAGTGTGTTTGTCAGTGAAACTAGTGAAACTGGTGAAAGTGCAACAACGAAAGGAAAGCAACCCGTCTTCTGAATGTGTCAACTTTCGCAACACGTATACGGTATGGGACAATATGGCTAATATGCAGTTTTAACTTTGACATATATAATTCTACTATTCACTATTTCAATAATATTCAATTGACATTTGCATATGTTTCATTTGGTTATTCTTGGGGTTGGAGAGCGCATTATATTATTATACAATGTATACAGTTCATAGTTGAAGCTATTTCATTATCTTTGCTTATCTAAGTTAATTGATGTATATTTTCGTTTTGAATTCCAGGAAAATAAATTGGTGGGAAGTGTGCATTCATCGCAAAGCGGGGTCATGGGTTCCGCGATTCAACCAACGCCAAAAAAAGGCTTCCGAATGGAGAAAGCTGGATTCCCCTTTCCCAACTTTCTCCTAGGGGATCACGAAGTTCCATCAATTTGCAGGTTTGTAGGTTGTTGTTTGTATATTAATTTATAAAGTAATCATACGTTTATTAAAAATATATTATCAATTTACAGATGTGTCTTTGACGGGGAGAAATTTTATGTGCTCAGTTCTAAAGATATGCATACTCTCAACCATAATGTAATTTACTTTTTTATTATCCTTACATATATGAAATTTAATATGTATTAAGTATCTGTTTAAACGTTATTATAGGGTGCTTTTGGGGTCAGCAGCTTAACATATAGAGGCCCTAGTGAAGACAATCCATCTTTCTACTTCAAACCATATTTCGCCAAAAAAATTGAAAGAGAGTCTGCATCATCATTGAATATCTTTCCTGGTGGTGAAACTACACAGGAAGCTTTCTTCGAGTTGATTAAAGCAACAGACTTGGCTACATCTTCATCAAAAAGTAGACTCGAACGAAATGGACACCACAAGTCATCAACCAATAATTTTTCTCATTCTACACAACAACTGAAAAAATGCAATTTAACTTTACGACGATCGCAGCAGCATGCCGACAATCATAATTTATCAGACGATGTCATGAGTGATAATGAAGATCTGGATGGAGACCTAAAACAGCAAAATGGTTTTGAGATGAGTGTTGATGGTTGTACAAAAAGTGATTTATTTCTACAAACCTTACGATGCAACATTGAAGAAGAAAGACTGATTTTAATGCCCGAAGAAGCCATATTTCTTAGTTTTGGGGTGGGATGTCTCACAATCCATGGGCCAAGTGGGGGTTCCGTTGGGTATAGGAAAGTGTGGAGAAGACTAGTAGAAAAAAATCCAGAGTTTCCTATATCCTATGCAGCGTATCATTATTTTCGGTCAAAAAATTGGGTGCCAAAACTGGGAGACTCGTATGGTGCTTCGTACCGTAAGCATGATTATTAATGCTTTTGATTGTGCAAGGTATTAATTTGTGTCTGATAATTTTTTGTAGTTCTTTATAAAATTGGGCCATCAGCGTATCATGCATCTTACCTCGTGCATATTTTGGGATTTCCGTCTCGTCCTTCTCCTACCTGGAATCAACTAAATGCGTGGGTACGACTAGGGTGTCACGCCAGCAAGGTTTGTTTTTTAAATTTACTTTAATTTCTGAATTTTGCTACCAACGCCTGGATTAAATTTTTATTTTTCTATCTGTTGTTCTTCTAGAATGTGTTATTATGTGAAGTTTCAGTACCAATACGATTTGACGCAGTTACTTCAGAACCACGCTCGATATTTGACATGTCTTTACACGAGACATGTCTATTTAGATGGAAAGCGAACTCTGGGACGTTAATCAAATTTTAATGTCTATTGTTATTATTCCTATGTGTTCCTTGTATTCAAAAGACGATTATTAGTATTTTATTTTTACAAAATCAATTAGAGTTGGAATAAACAAGTCCTTGATATTTATTGTGAATCTCGAACATTGTTTTTATTTTTCCCTGTGCAGTATTATACAGTCAGCCCATGCTCATCCTAAATACATCCATTTAGAGTTTTTGAGTCTTGAGGTATTTATGTAACAGGAGAAATAAAAAAGACCCATTACTTATGTAGAAACCACTTTATTGCTGTTACATATATATATATACAGGGACTGACACCTTTGATAATTTATTTTGCCTCATTTGAATAAATACTAAGAATATATAAAGTGTATGTATGTGGGTGTGGTGGTGTGGAGGTATTGTATTGGCTGTTGGTAAATATACGAAATATGTAGCTCTCGATTCTTGATTTAATGGCTGGAGCAGGGTAGTTGTGTGTATCTTAGACAAAAGCCAATGTTCTCAGTCTCCTTCTTGGAATATTCGTCGTCATCAAAGCAAACCCGAATGGTGAAAGGTTTCGTGTGACTCTCCACAGGACAAGGAGACTTTGCCTTCTTGTCCAAGGAACAGAATGTTGTTCCGCAGAACCTATTGAATTTAAAGTAGAATTTAGTTAATTAAATTTGCATGCAGAATAGAATTCGATACTCTTTCTAATCTGATAACATTTAAGCAATCATACCGGTTGGCACATGGAACGCCCTTCTTTTTGCCAGATTGGATCTTGAAAACAATAAATTCGGATAAGACACACAACACAGATAACAAGGTGCATATACTGGTATTACATTAACCCTTATCTAACTCACCTTATTACCGTCCGTTGTACCACAAGGGATTAAAATGTGATCAGAAGACCCAGCTTTTTTAGGGTTCAAACAATCTCCATCCGTTTGCGCTTTTTCTGTGGATTACATAAAGTGGAATTTAATACATTTTGCATACGTAAAGTAGAATAATATTCTATTCTGTATACACTTATATGCTTAATATGCAAATGAGTATGCAAAGAGACTTACTGTCATCGCGAGAAATACGGAAAGTTCCCTTGTCAGGATCACACTCTTCGTACTTGATTGCACAGAAACCAGCTTCCATTCTCGTACAAATAGTGTACCATTGATTGGCTAAGGATTACGCAATATTGACATCTCTTTAATTATATTAATTTCAATTTTTCACAATTTATAAAAATAAATAAACTGGGAACTAACCCAAATGTTGATCCCATCCGTCAAAGTTGAATGATTTAAGTACGCCTATACATAAACGAAAATGCTTAATGATCAATCATGATAATGACGCACAAAATTGTCTTTGTATGGTAAATTAGAGAAACTAGTGAAAGTAAATTTCATAAATTAGATGTACCTGAGACGCCATAATGATATTGCAAGCAACCGTCCGGAGCTCTGTCACAACATCTCACTTGGGTGATCTAAAAGTATTCGTGGAAATTGTAATTTAAGCCACATGTAAAATTCGGTTTCATATAATGGTAAACTCACCTTAATATCCCAACCCGGATCTTTATGGTACCCTGAGGTGGTAACCGTAAGAGTAATTGGTCCGTAATTATGACCGCCTAAATCGATGTACACTATTGTGCAAAAATAATTCGTATTCAGTTACATTTGTTTCAACCGTTATGACGAAACCAACTAATTTTAAATCAAAACTCAATGATTGCTTACTGTGCTGGCCAGTGTTCTTTCCGCAAATCACTGGAGGAGAGTATGCAGAGCCGGTGACCAGGAAGGCATCCTTGTTGCACTGACCACTGTACGGATCTGGTGGTCCAAGGTCAAAATGCAAAAAGTCCAGTCGGAGTTGGCAGACATCCGAGCCTCCTTTGTACACTTGGAGCTGACAGTTCATCACGGGTCCTGATGGTCAAAAGTGTTGGTTGAAGTTATAGCTTTATATGTAGAACTGAATTATGTAGGTTGGATGTGTTGAATAATTGGTAATAACCTTGGTGTGGCACATATCGAGCCTCTCGTGGACTGGTGAAATATGTGCAGTTTTCCTTTGTGCTCTGCCCACAAGTACGAGCAACTAACAAACAGGTCATGAAATTATTAAATGTTCTATTAACACGTAAATTTGGCTGGTATGCGCACAAAAGTAGATAAGATTGTTGTTGTTTTAAAGATCAGATCTATTTTATAATGGAACTTACAGACGCAGCAAACTCCGAAACCGGTGGCGCAAGCTCCTGATGGCGTGCCTCCTCGTTCTCGACATTCCCTGGATGTGTAGCACACGCCTGTTTGAAAACGCAAATTAGTGAGTTGTTCATGTGCATGTGACCTTATACAGCATGTACATGTTCAAAAGACTCACCAGCTCTTAGGGCATCTCCCGTCCAGCACGCTTCATTTGGGAATTTTACGATGGTGAAGATATTCAAAACTGTAATTATTGCAAGACGTAATAATTATAAAAATGAATCAAGTTGTATTGGGTCAAGCTCTCATAATTTTTAGTGTTTATTATACATGTGTGTATCCATTTTGGGTGAAATCATGTAATTCTCATGTATTTATTTAGGCAACATTCTAAGGAGGCCAAAAGTTCACCGAGTTTGTTAAATTCCCGTTCTACTTTTGTGGTAGGCTTGATTTGTTATAAAACAATGGGGACTATAGCCAGTGGCACGGCGGATGAGAATGAGAATGAAATATGTATGCCTTCTCAAGGGAACGAGGACTTTTGTTTATCATTTATTATTTTAATGTGATGCACAAATATTGCACATCATTTATGAAACTCGGACTCATCACCATTTTTTAGGATTTATTTGGTTGTGGTTTTCAATAAATTCATTTGGCCTGAAATCAAGACTCAGGTGCAAATTTCTTTTACAAAAATGCAAAGACGCTTGATTTGGTATGGGGGAAGATTGTTGAAGCATAAATTAGCCATAAGCCATTCGGTTGAAATAGCGGACGAGTTTCCTGTTTGGCAACTTTTTTCATTCGAATTAGGTAAAGCTTGGCACAAATCATGGTCTCATATCCAACAATCCCACTTCACCGGTTCTTGTGTTGCTTTTGCAGAATTCTATACGGGACATTCGTCGGATTTATAGTCATAGAATGTAACACCATGGATTCAATGCAGGACTAAAACTGGCCGAGCAACTTGGGATGGAAAATGAATGCCAATAGCTCAAAGGGGAATGTTACGACGTTTGCACGAAGATTACATCATTTTTCAGGTCAAATCCGGGCAAAGGTCTCAAATTCATTCTTATCGCCCACCACGACGATTAGCCATCTTGCAGATGAGTAAATACATGCATTTGAACTGAGCATGACAATGAAGCATTATTTTGAACTCGGGACTCCAATGCGTCCCACATAAACAAAAAATTAAAGTTAAAAAATGACTAGATATGAGCAAATAACGTCGAATAATAAGAAGTTAAGTCTTTAATATAGTTGAGGAAGATGATTCCGTTGGTTGTGCCTTATTTTTATGCTACGGGGATGAGATACATGTATAGAACGGTGGCGTTACAGGCAGAGTGAAAGTCTGTAATGTTTAGTTTGTAATCTGACATTTTAAAAGACAACCCCTTTGTATGCAACAATTGAGCTTAACACTAACGACGAGTACCTCCCACTCGTCCAAGAAAAAGAGAAAAGAACTTACGTCTGTCAGCTCTGGAAGTTCCATTTCCAGCAGAAATGGATGCAGGCGGCTGTTGTGACACAGATCCATTATTTGGGTATTCTAAAGCGCTTTCAGAATATGAACTAGGCACTACTGGCACTTCCGCGCGGATGATGGTAACGAGATTCACGAGAAAATATGTAAAGAAAGTCAGAGAGAGGAGAAAACTCCTGTTGGATGATCTTGGTGGTAACAGTAATTGTCCCATGATTAAGGATTATTAATAATTAAGGACACCTTGAGCGAGCACCGGTCACAAGTGTCCCACTCACTTCACAAAAATCAACTAAACTCTTGCGGACATGAAGCCTGCCTGCCTGGTCTCCTTCTTCGTCGTCGTCTTTGTTCTGGGCTCAAGCTGGTCATAGAGTGAAAATTATCACAAATTGGCAGCATCAGACTAGCACATCCCCCGTGAACACCTCCTGACCCTCCCCATCCTCGAACAGGCAGACTGACTTCCGCTTTGTGGGTCAACTCGATCCAACCAATTGCCCCCTTATGCATACATACAAAGCAACTCCCAACTCGTTCGGTTTACTTTCTGCCTAGCCTGTCTCTCAGCCTCCGATAGAAAGCAAGCGCAAGTACCAAAGTGATACTACCCACGGACCGGTTGGTCAAAATTTTACTTGACTATTGTTGCAACATATGCACATATGCTCAGCAGTGGTAACATCGTGCGTCGTTGTAGCCAATGTCTGCGTTATTCACTTAATTCATAAACAGTATGCTTTATGAGTTCACAAAAGTCAACTTTGTGAGACAACTTTGGAATCTAGGAATGTGCAGCATAAGGGTAATTTTATTTTGCAGACCAACTGGATCAATTGAACCGTTGTCGATTATTTGTGTCTTGATTCACACTTTCTAATTTTGGGTAAAATCCGCTCCCGAAGTTTACTTTGAATTTACTCTGAAAAAGTATTGCGCTAAATATATATTTGCAAACTTACGGTAACATGGATTCAGCTATACGCATTTCACATGAGCCCCAGCTTTGTGTTCAAATGCAGGAATCGTACTATCATTTTTAACGAGAAATTAAATATGAAAGTAGCCCATGCCCTGACACATTTCCGCAAATTCTCATAAATAAATTCTCATCCTTTAATTTAATACGCAAAGGTGCCCAGGTGGGTCTATAATGTAATTAAATTGATCGTAGCCTGAAGACTTTTGGTTTATGATCATTTTTTAAAAAACATTGACCAATGGATATTTTGATGATTTTTTCCTTGCGTAGTTTCATTTAACAAAAAAAACGACTCATCCCTTCTTAAAAAAGTTAAAGGTGCGGATTGAATAAGAGACTGCATTACAAGAAAGTTGATTTGCAGCAAGTTGTAACTGTTAACGGGACTCTCTCAAGATCAAGCATCCGATTCGTACCCTTGTTTTTTTCTCGACTCACATCGCATCACGTTCGAATCTTTATTTGCGGAATAATTATTTAATGAAAAAATTAAGTTACTTTTAAGTGGACCACATGGCAAATAATTCATTATTTAATAATTTTCACTGTTAATTGACTGGGGTTTGATTTATTTTTTATAATCACCAGAAAGAATATATACAAAAATATTAATACAATATGTATGTAAATATCGCCTTGACCTTGATCCCGCAATTCATAATTCTGGCAACGACTAGTTTACAATTTGCATGATTTCCTTCATCCGGGTCATGCAATCTGATGCATAATTTAATGTTTGCGAAAAATGCTAAAAATTAATTCTATGCACTTATCGCGTGTAGTCTCCTACAAGTTGTAAGTTACAATTTGTAACTTGTAAATTTGATTGATAATTAAGCGAGTCATGTATTGCAGTTAGCTTAGGACTCGTCAGTACCACTTTCACTCTGACTGTAGAAAACAATTGTTTGAAGCTGAGTAAAAAGGGACGTTTGTTAATAAATGAACAATGTCGTAACAAATTTATTTATAAAATTGCATGCGATATAACATCTTAATACTTTAAGTAATTATTCATACAAAATTAGTCTAAAAGCTCATTAAAATTATAAATATAACGACATGACAGATCTTTTTATACTTTGATAGTACAAGAGAAACACCCCTCTGGATAAAAGGATATTGATGATCAGCAGAATTGGTTATTCAATAATAGATAGTCCACTTTGTGGTCTATATCATACGTATTTTTGGAAATGGCGAAGCCGATACAATGAAATAACCTCATGTTGTTTCAACCTCTGTCAAAGAAAATTAGATAAATAATATGTATCGTTAAAAATCTATCTTATTTAATTTATTTATATAATTTATTACCTCACACTGTGTCCATTTGCACAACTTCCATTCAAAAAATTGTTTTTTGTGCAAGTTTGTGGTTGTTTTTGCACTGGGGCGGGGTCAATTTGTAAATGTAAAAAATCACCATACGCATCGACTGCTCTCAACGGGACAATCCTAAAGCATAAGAGAAGAAGAACTTAGAAATAGTCCAATTTATTAAACCAATTAAAACGTTCAAACGATTCAAAATCATTTCCTACCATGAAAACATTGCCAGCCAACCCACCAACCTATGATAAGATGAACAGGTACTTTAGAACTTTCATATTCCCAAAATCCCCAATTACATGTGTGCATATTACATGCACAAAGTACCAACCTTGGAGTGTACAAATATTCCACCTCACTTCGGATTCCTTCAACAATTTTAGCAGCTACGACCTAACAAATTAAAATTTTATTTTCGATAACATACCAAGATATCAGAGTAATAAAGAAACCCTTCGAACCTCTGGAGGATCAATTGGAAACAGGAATGGAAATCTGATGGGGAGTAATTAATTCATGTTTATATTATTATTACAGCTTTATTTTATGTAAGTATGATGATGTAAAAATTTTGCTCAACGTTTCATAAAAACAAACCTGGTATGTGGTATTCCTCCATCCAGCATTGCTGTGAAAGAAAAAAATATATATGTGTATGCTAACTTTATTATTACATAGTCAAAGAATGACGACTTGGATCTGTACCCAAGTGAGAAGTGCCTTCGCTAATCGCTTACTTTCAAATAAACATGTTTTCATTATTTCAAAAAGCTTACCAGTGGAACAATAGAATGGGTAAACACTTGTAATTTTGACTTTGTTGTCATTTCTCATTCGCAGTTCATCACGAAGAGCATCATAAAGACCATGAACAGCATGTTTAGTTGAACTATACGACACCAAGTTCCTCGTAGGTAAAAGTCCTGCTGCTGAACTGCAGAGAGACAAATTAGACACAAAATGTATTCCATTCATTGAAATGGGACAAATTTATAAAGATTGGCGTCGAAAGTTTTCAAAGCATTAGTTATGACGTCGCCAAAGAGGATAGGATGAAGAGTGTAGTTGGAGAATCTCGTGATATATACGACGATATGCATTTCTTAGCATTGCTTTCAGAGCGTTCAGCTATCTGTTCTCATGAATTGTTTCTAATACTAGTGTTACACATCAATTATGAAAAATTGATAGCACGATATTTCACAAATTCTGATTAATCTCAGTCTCAGTGACATTTTACCAAGTATTTACTGAAATTACTCAAGAAATCTATTTTCGAAAAATGTTACATACCAAACGGAGACCAAGTGACCTTTGTTCACTTCCAGCATCTTTGGTAGGAACTGCTTAATAACCTATGTATTGAAGTCGATAGAATTAGCATGTGAATTACATTTCGTAGCCGCTTACAATAGGAAACTTATGTAACAAATACCCAGATGTGAGAAAGGATATTGACGCTGAACATTGATTCGACATCTGTCTCACTGGTGTCCAAAAATGGTGAGATTTTCATCACTCCGGCATTGTTGATGACAATTGTAACATTTCCAACTTCTTTCTTAACCTTAGTATAAAAATATTGACGTTGAATAATTATAACGGAAGCCATGTAATTGTAACTCTAACGTTAAAATGCAAAACTGAGGATGAGACGAACCAAGTTAGCCGATTGTTCTACAGCTTTCTTGTCACCGACGTCCACACTGTACGCAAAAGCTTTGCCCCCTCTCTGTCTAATTTGTTGGGCAACCTCTTCATTTGGACCAGGGCTTTTGCTCCAACAAACAACTGTAGCTCCATGACTGAAATACAAGGTTTCAAAATTTTTGTTGAAGTAATTACTTGGAATTGAAACATTGTTTATTGTATGCAATCTGCACCCAATACATATTTAACATGCACATATTTTACCCACCTAGCCAATTCCAGACAAATGAATCGTCCAATGCCTATAATTGTATTCGTAATAATCAGTGGATTTTCTCAGTAGATTAGTATGTAATATAGGACCACCTCTGCCTGATCCGGTGACCTAAAGTGCATATACCAAGGTGATTATTGTAATGGCAAAAAAAGAATGAAAAAAATGGAATGAAGTTTGCTTACTAAAATGATTTCGCCTTCAAGTGACTTTGGTGGTCGTGGAAGGAGCTTTTTGAAAACGTACTCTGTGTAGGTGTATAAATGGAACGCGAATAATCTGAAGGTGTCAAAGAGATCGTACGAAATTCTCTGGATGCTCAACATTGTCGCCGTTGGTTGGGGTCTCAAATCCACTAAATGCCAATTTACAAATGGCCTTAATGCTAACAATTTTCACTCTTACAACGACTCTTTGAAAATAAGTGGAGCTTTATCTGAAAAACAGTAGACTGAGATTCGTCGTATATAAATATGTATATGTTCTCCTTCAAATAAGTGAGGTTGATACGGGGTTATGGTAAATTAACACGGTATAGAAAATCAGTGTAAACTGAAGATTTTAATTTGCGAAGCCTGATCAACAAGAGCAATAGCACTAATTCTAAATAATCCTCGCAGAGGTGAAACGGAGAAAATAAATATTTTCTATTTTGAATATGTATGTGTCTGCAACCTCAACAGTAAAGTGAAGGAATAGTGAAAAAGGGATGTGATATGTGAATAGTAGATGAATATGTACGTTTAAACCGGTCGGAAATACCAAAGTCAGCTTTCAGTCATCAGTACCAAGATTTTTGGCTGGCATGGCACACTATCAACTATTACAAGTTTACTTATTCTTTGAATCAAATGACGTCGTTGTTGATTCTCTAACTAAAATCCGACAATTGTAAACAGAAATTAGTTGCACAAACACTGCTTGAATGAATCTGGTCACAGTAATGGTTACGGATAGGCCGTCCCTGCTTAACAATGTTCAACTGCAGGCCTTGACGGGATTTTAATTGCATGGACCGGTACGTGACTTGTAATTACTGCTGGAGTGTGTATACTAACTTTATACCAAGTCTCGTGTTATACAAAATGTTATTCGTCCACCGTGTGAATTTATTTCGCATTTGTAACTAGAGAATTGTATAATAGTGTACTTGCATATTTAGTACCCAACTTCCAGCAAGACAACTCAAAGACAACTGAACAAAGGATTTTCCTGAGAAAACCCAAATACAATTACACAACCACGCACCTTACTGCCAGCCTGGGGGTTTTCTTATTTTCTCAACATGCAATGCCACACAACTATGTATACGATTCTAAAGTGACACCTTATGGATAGGTACACCATAAAATGGTCTCATACGGTCTCACAGACTTTATAATAATATAATACCTCCCTGTCCGTAGAAAGTCGTTTATCCACCTTTTAGTGGTACGATAAAGCTCAAGGAATTATAATTATTGCTTTTTACATACACTAATAAGTGTATGTACATATGTGCATATACGCACTCAAGGATACGCTTACTGCACCTGCATTTTAAGCTTCGAATAATACAGACCCACTTGCTAAGTAGAAGTACTAACTAACACATGGAATTTACATTCTTCAATTCGTAATGCCAAGTGGGTAAGCTGGGCAATAATTCACAAGGGCTGGTAAATGAGCGTCTTGGTCTTATGGCCAAAATAAACAAAAATGCGAGAAGAATGGTACAGAAGATGCATTTGTAGCACAGATCGGAGGAAGAGATATGTCCACGATATCCTGTACTTGATGATGTTATATAAGACGTAATATTTTTAGCGAATCCTTTACTATAATTCTTGTTCATCTTGGGCCAAATTTCAGCAGATTATGGTGCATGCTCCACCACCTCCATGGATTCATAGAATTACACACAAACATGTTGTGATAGCTGATCTGTTGAACCTGTTAAGATGTAACCATGTGCAGGTTGCATTGACCAACTTATGAACAATATAATCTGACGCAGCTTCCCTTCCAATTTACAATGTTACAACAATCAATGTGAAGTGATACATGTGGTTATAAATATATGCAAATACTTGGCTGATTTGCGTGCGGAAGAACTTGTTCATGACTTCCTCCAGCCACACGATTGTTCCGTGTAGGATGTGGTTGGATGTGAGGACACATGCTTAATTTTTAACAAAGATTGCTTGAAATTACAAATCAGCATTTAGATCAAGTGCAATGTTATTTTTCCAAGAAGTACATAACTGATGATGACTCCATATAACACGTTGGCTGTCGTGAGTTGACCATGAACATGATTTATAATTATAGCCATATGCAAGGCATTTAACTTTGGCTGGGCAGGTATTTTGATTAAGGAAATTATTATACCAAGTTCCATAATATTTTGGTTAATGATGAAATTCAGATTTTAAAATAGTCTTCAGACAAAAGCAAAGCTGGATTTTTTTAAATGTTTTAAATCAAGAAGGCGTAAATACAAGATGAGGTTCAATCCCGGCATGTGTTTACATATCATGTGTACATAATTTTTTAATTAATATACGAATTAGACACTATTTATAGTCTCTTAGAAAAAAGTGACATCAAACTTGTTGCTGTATACGGAAGAGATACAACAATGGTACATCAGAGTCATAAATAGAATGTTATATTTACCACGTAGAAAAACGTAGGTAACAAGTTGACAAATACACACATATGTACATATGAACAATAATCTAAATACGATGTACATGCAATATCTGCGGGATCTGACTACTGCGGTCACCTTGTCGTACCTTTTAAAACTAATATTTCACACTTTAGTGTAAATGATTGAAAAGTTAAGCATATGTAATTTGGACATTTGGCCACCTGTTTTCACTTCGCAGTTATTGCGTGTGTGTACTCTGCTTAGACTGACTCATTAAGATTCTTCGAGATATTTTTTGACTGGTTGATAAGATGAGCACAGAGCTCAATTGTTGCACTTTACACTTTCCATTTTCATGAAAGGATTACAATGAATGGGCGCAACTGTTTTCAAGAGCATAAATGTATATAATGTCATGTATATCTTATTGCACTATCTCATCTTGGGAGCATGTGATAGGATGACATTTGAAAGGAAAGTTACCAAATTTCTGAAATTATATATGTCGGACCTTTACCATAAAATGCAAATAGTTAATAAGATACGGTGATGAGTTTGGAATGCTCGTCAGTATTTTCAGACCGAACAGAGTCTAATAAAGTATTCTATTTAACGCGTATTGCAAGTTTACGAGGGATCTAATGGAATTCTCAGAGGAGAAGGTTCAGGAAAGGGTTGGTTAGGTCATTATTTGAGAGGCACCTTTGTCATGCGACGCCAAGCTACAACTGGTTAAAAGAAGCCCTCTACATCTTGTACGAGCAACTCACCTGTTGAACACCTGACGCTGTGCTCTGTAGACAGTGCTGGCTGTATTGTTGAATCACAGGGATTTTAGGTCAGCTTTTCAATATGAACATGTTGCATACCTGAAACTTAACAATGGGCACACTAATCCTTAAACTAGACAATCTGCCTTGTCCATTACACATATACGTATGCATGTAACTAGCTGATTGGTTTATGTCTAGGTAGGCATCTTTACACATATAAATATGTGTGCATGTATCTCATACGTAGCATCATTGAACACTGCAACTAAAGGCAAATCGGTATGTTATGTTGCTCAATTTTTTTAGATAGCCCTCAGCTCTTATTATAAGGTATGCACAGATATTGTGTCGTCGTTATGTCGCAGACCAGCCGAGGGTCACTTAATTTCGCAAGTTATCACCCATGACGCGAATTCACTGAATATGAATGGGTAGATGCCTTGGTTTGGTCCGTTCGATTACCGCAAAAACGAGTCTAGTTGAGGATGCCTTAATTGTTACCCAAACCATTTCAAACATTAGAAAACTTGGATGATCGCTCCCACACCTCACGAAGATGATGTTTGTTGCGTGCTACACATATTAAAATTTTCGTCAAGTCAATCTCAGTCAAGTCTCATTCGAAGCATGCATAATATTGCGTTGCTTTGAACCATTCTTTTTATTGGAAGAGGTGGTAGGACGGCTTGGTGGTAACGGAAAACGGCAGCACCACAGCCTCCTTTGGGGTGTCTTTGCGTTGCTAATAAAATGTCCCTTTTACCAGATTATCGTCTTGTATCCCTCAATGTTGGACTTGCCTCAGCTACAAATTGTCAAATGCAATGCAATCTCGTTGCCTTTTAACATCAGTCCAAATTGCATTGCATTGTCCAATTCTCTAGGTTGAGGTTGACTCTCATTAAAAAGTCTCCTTTTCTAGTTTGCTACACGTTGAAGAGGAGGAATTTTTAGTGCCGACTGAAAAGCCGTGAAATGTCCTCAGCAAACAACTGGTGGTTAATATTTGGTGACTAATAATAATATTTATTTCGAGTAGCTAGGTATTTACCTGCTTCACACCAGTTGCATGACTTTTTACTACGTATGTACATACGCGCACGAGAAGGGAACCAACATCTGCTGGGATTAATAAATTACTATAATGAAATAGAAAATAGTGAGCTATTTTAATTGCTGGATTCCAATACAACTCTAATGTGAAAGTCAATAAATTATTTAGTGCAATATTTCTCTGCGGCTCAACGACAAATATTTTATTGCAACTTATGTGATCAACTTAAGAAATCAAAACAAAATTGGTTTCGTTCGTCTCCCTCGTGTGATTTACAGGGGAATAATTTCTCGACGATGAAAGACAACAAACTTTCCAATTTTGTTTTTGGGGATCATTAAATCACAGGTAATTTTATTAATTTTTTTATTTTGCAGCGTAAAAATACATGCACGTCACCGAGTTGTGGGAAGCACAAGTTCAACGTCAAAGCGAACAAAATCGGAGATTATTAATTTATTTTATGGAGATATGTAACGTATTTGAGGGTATCAATGTACATATTGTGTAGATAAGCCGGTGAATCAGTACAAGTTCGCAGCTAAGCAAGTGTGATAAGTAATGCTAAGATTATTAGTTAATTTCTTTGTTAAAGTCATTTTTCAGCTTAGTAGTCTACGTAATTCTGGCTGGAATCATTAGGATGTTTTAGTTTTGTGTGTGATCTTTTGTCATTAGTTTTGAGATAGCCGAATTTGGCTAATTTTTTCGTGAATATAGAAAGATTGAACCAAATCTTAAAGACGATAGACCTGTTGCAACACTTTCGTCATAACATAGGCTCATGGAAAAATGATTAAAAGTAGTATAATATTTTAGGAATATATATCTCTTAATTTGCCATCAATTTTGCACTTGGAAATTCGTATGGTATTCTACAAAAATAGTCTCTTACTCTCTTTTTCACTATCAGTGGCCAAAACTATCAACTGCTGCAGGGTTGGTGTAATCTATTCGCAAAAAAGTTCAATATTATGCATAGATGCATATTATAGATATGTAGCAGGAGTAGTTGAAGATCGGGTGTCGAGATTTATGTGCATGTGCATGATGAGAGAAGGATAGTAATCGTTAGTTGTTTAGATGCAACTGTAAAGTCAGAGTTTGTAACTATTTTAATTGCGTTGCTTCTGTGGTTGAGCAATCCATGTATACCTTCTGCAGAAAAAATATTATGTAGCACATGATTACAGGACTAAGAAGTTACTATGTATGGAATGTGGCAATATTATTAGACAGTAGTACCACTAGTGTAATCATTTCACAAAAACCATTAGTTTAAAATTTAAACTGCAATACTACAGAGTACGTAGCTTGAAGATTCTCCCAGCCCGTCAATACCACAATTATTATCTACAAATGAATTCCAATTTTGCAAATGAGTACTTGGATGCAAAATAGTAGACTTCTACATCCGGATATTAAAGATTGTTGATCAATGTATGCACATGGTATTATCTAGTTCGGTCGTGATTGGTATTTCAATAATGCACGCAGAAAAACAGAGTTTATTTTATAAAGAATGCAGTGGCTCATCTTCAATTTCATCCTGAAAGGAAACGAGTATTACATATTATTTTCATCAGTAATAACACATTTTGGTGGTATGGCGTGCATCTTGATTTCTTGATTAATGGCGATAACTCGACAGAAACAATTATTGCAGTGTCTGCCCACCGAGTTGCCTTTCTTTATTGCCAAGATACGACAAAGTGGAGCTACTGCAAATTTTAATAGCTTTGAAAGGGCATGTTCTCGAGTGTATTTAACTTGTTCCATAGCCACATTATTCCTTTCAAACCACGTCACTTTTTTAAATCTTATAACCAAGCGTAATCTAATCATAAGGATGAAGAACATTTGCATTAATTTTTGCAACTTTTCAACCACGGAATTCGAATTTGCACATTTCAACAAACCATACACAGTATCAATTCTGCGCTGAGTTTTTGCAGGTTTTGCTGCTTCTTCAAGTAAAGTAAGCTGACATAACGAATCAGCTAAATCCTCTTCTTGTGAGAGCGAAATATCTTTGGAAAAAATTGTGTACATCTAAAATACAGTGGTAGATGTTATGTATGTTGGATTTTTTGATATTTTATCATAGACTTATATAGTTGCTGGCATGTACTTAGCTTTGTATAAAGTTCTGCACGGTTGTCTTCCATTCTTATTTAGTGTTATAAGATCTGCAATTTTCCTTGATTTGCGAACTCGTATTTAAATCTCTGTTGTTACCGAATAAAAATGAGTTGTCCACTTGACAATGCTGCTTTTTTGGCAACCATTCACGTCTGCTCATTCATGTCGTCTAACCGTCGTCTAATAAAGCCTTACGCGTCTCAACTTGTTCGCCCTGTTTTTGATGGCGTTGGTCGTCATTATTCGTGATTTGTCCATTCTTATGCATTCAACATGTTTCAGAATTAAATTTCAACATAGTAATTTATTGAACTTAGCTCAATGAAGTTCAACCCCCTACTTTTAAGATAAATTGTGCGTCTATACATAACTTTCAATCTGTCGACTAGACTTTTACATTTTTTGCCTCTGTGTAATGGCAAAGCATTACAAAAGTTGCAGGCCGTAATTCATAATGTCAAATGCTGATGTCAGGCGGCTCAGTGTTCGTATACACTACTTTGTGTACTACATAATGGAGACAAATCAAGTCATCGCATGAATGGTTGCTTAATCTGAGTTAATTATGAGTGCGTTCATGATTTATCAGTCCAATTTTTTGTGGTTGCCCATTCAGCGTTGTTTGTCAATCGATGAACCGGTCGGCAAACGGCAATCACTCAATCTTTCTTAGAGACACTTCTTACGTTTTTTAGCCATAAGCTCATCAAAAGTTTTAATTATGCAATTTGTTGGTCATCGTAATTGACGCACTTTTTATTACATCAGTGCTCATCACACTCTGTTGATATTATTAATTATTTGTTATTTTCTTGGATGAAATGAAATTCTTCAGAATGAATGAAATGTCGTTATTCTTTCCGTATATTACATTACTTGTGGTGACATCAAGTTGAAATTATATTTTGTTGCAACAGTAATATCTTGCGGAGAAGAATAACAGAATAAACTGACCTTTTTAGTAATAATTTGGAAGAATGTATCACCAAAATATGAATAAAATCGAATACAAATACTTTAATTTAATTATTTTCATGAAAGGTGGTCGTTGGTGTGATTGCAGTTTTATAATGTGACCGACAGTAGACTTTTTAAATAATTAATTATACGACCGACTATCTCCTCTTACTTGCAACTACTTATACAGCAACGAAAAAAATCCTGATTCGGTTAGGATGATCGAATGCACCACTCATTTAAATACTGAATTTAAAGGTCACTCAGATTCAAAGTTGTTGAACGAACAAGTAAACACCTAAGTATGCAATGAAGGTGCAACAACAACGGTACTATGTATAACAGCCTCAAACTACTTGCCACATTTACCTGCAGCAGTAGGGCATTTATTTATTTGCATAAACCGTTGGACAATTTTTCTTTCTCCCGGATCTCTTTCGGAGTACTGACATGAATGAACGCATGCATTTATTGCTAGGCTTTGTTTGTGCTCATATTTTAGGAGTAGGCGATTCATGACAAAGAGTAAGCTGTTTCTTCTCTTTGAAACAATGGAATGCAATCTGCTACGCTTTATTAAGTAGTGAATGAAGAGGTGTCAATTGCTTCGTCAACTTATGTCGTGGTTGAGTAGGCGTGCGTCTCATGATCTCAAGAATATACATATTTGTACATATTTCGTTGTTCTTCGTTATGCAATGCATACATTTGTGGATGTGTGGAACCTACTTTTTTCCACTACGATTTGATTGTTATAACAAACAAATCAGCATTAGCGAACCGTAACCACATTATTGGAAGCGTTATATGTGCAGGCAAAATTTGTGTGCAAAATTGTTTGCCAGCAACAATGAAGCTGGGCAGGCCACAACCTAGATTTTTTACTGACCTTGATCCAGCTTCAACTTCCTTTAATTTCGAATGGTTTCCATTTCTATCCATTCACTTATTTGTGGGAATTGTCGACAATGAAATGATATTTCGACTCGTTACAATGAAACATTGTTTAATTTCTTATTGTTCTTTAATTATTTGAATGCGACTGCACAGAACGCGAAAATGATATGCTTTCCGTTTCTAATTCAGCCAAAGGAAGCATCTTCTTTGTTTTGGGTAAAACAAAACTTTTCCTGTTTACAAAAATAATCTGTTCATAATCTTTCTCATTTGTATTACATAAATATTATGAACCTCGACTACGAAGTTTAGTCTAAAATCAACCTGTTTACCAGCAACGTATGGATTTGGATTAGACGTGTAAATTGCTACAAGTTAGTTTAAAAATTGCATAAATGTGACATGTATTCGATCACGTTGGGGTTACAATTTTGGTCTTGACAGTGAGTGTGGATACATAAAAGGCTGGCTGCTGTTATTCCGTCAGTGTATTGCGTATAAGTCGTAGCTCATCTCGTGGAGTTGTACATTATTTGTATGGGAATGGGATAAGCAAATCGCTTCTCAGTGTGTTCTCGACTCGTTTTAATTAATGGTTGAGAGGCATTACTTACATTGTTTCGGTGGCTTTCTTGTGCCTTCGTTTTATGATTAAATTATATAGTGGGGGATTTTGAAAGCGTAATACAATTGACTGGCGTGTATTTATCAAGCTGGGAGCATGTTGTTCGGTGGTTTCTCAGTTCTCAGGAGTTTATTGACTGCGACCTCAAACTTGTTTTAACTATTCGGTGGCTTAAAATATGGAAGGATTTCTCAAAAATGGAAATGTACGTGTAAAAATGGAGAGAAAACAGGTCCACAATGCGATAGAAATCACTTATCGTAATTAAACATCATTTTCAGTGGACAATCTCGTAAACCAGAATAATTTCCCGTCCAGTTACAATTTGTAAGTTGCATTGTCACTTTGTGTACTGTGAATTAAAGTGTTGTTCTATTTGACGTGAATAAAGTTTCAGGTTAAATCTTTAGATTTCGTTAATAACATTTATTTGCATAGTAAAGAACCTATCAGCACTTGGACTGCTTTAATAGCATCAGCAAATAAATGGTAATTATTTCTTTACTACTAATTTCCTTCAATGCCTCCACTCTGGCAGCATTATAAAATAGTTTGCCGCATCACCACATGGAGTACTATCCATCATAAAATGTACGATGTAAGTAACATCAAATATGATGAATATCTATGGTAGATAGATATCTACGTTTTACTTGCTTAAATGCTTATTTAATGTTGGTTGGCGAAGGTCGTAGGAATTTGCGAGAAGACAGAAATCACGGTATCGCTATGGAATAAGGTAGAATAAGCATTATTGCCTGAAGATCATTTTAGGGGTTAGAACAATTTGGAAATACTCAACCTCGAATTTCACTCATCTGTTTAAGATTATCATTGAAGAGTAGTGTGAATTGAAAAGAAACCGCAGCAGTGATTTCTGTGTTTGTGTGAGTAGTCACGAAGCTGTCAAAGTCAAACATTTTTTTAATATTTATTATTAAGCAGGAGAGAAGGAAGGATATCGATAATGAGATTGATTTGCGTTGTAACTTTGTAGATTTGACATAACTTTATACTACATGCAGTCAGTATATTATGTATCTGATGTATGTACCAGAAAAAGTGTATTTAATTAATGAGCCAGTTTCCGGTATGAATTTTCAGAATTTCACGTGTACCACATATAAATATATCTATAGCATTAAATGGGATTTCCTCCTCTAAAAAGCCTATACAGCAACACTACTTAAATTGTTATTGTTCATGTTCAAGGAACCGAGAAATGATTTTTTAGCCTTAATCTTTGTAGAGCTTACTTTATGTATCAGTATAATTGTTTTGTCAAGCTGTATTATAAAAGTGAAGCACCATCACCAAGTTGGTTTAATGGCATGAGTTGACAAATTTGATTAACCAAATCCTTCCAGTGTTTAGATAGATTGGATCGCGTCAATATCAAAGCAGGCACCCAACAGTTTAGCATTGTTGTAGATTTAGAAGACTGCTTGGATGCTGCTTTGCTTTGATAGCTTTTGTTTAACTGTGGACTTGGCATTAGATTTTTTGAATTGTCACCTGGCTATAACATCCAACAAGAACACACATGGTTTTCATGCAATATTTGTTCTTGCACCATGGTTAACTTGAATTCTAGGTATGTGTACGTATAGCTACATACTATTTACCACCAAGAAAGAATTGACTATGTTGTTGCAGTCCAAAAGTAATGCAAGAACATAATACATCAGCCTTCCGCTTGGTTGACCTTTCTATTCTTTAAGCGACTCTAAGAAGTTGGAAGGATATTGAAGAATTGGTTGTGATTGTGACTGTCTCTGGTTAACATTCTGATGCTGGATAATCAGTTGTTGAGATTGAGATTGCACGCTACATTTTCTTATAACTAGTTATATTTAGGTTGGTATACGTTGTTGGTGTCAGTCTGCGATGATGTGTGTTGAACAGTTACTTCCTGTTGAATTCTTATGAATGCTTTAATGTCAATCCGTTTATGGTCAGAGTTTTAGAGGCGTGCAAAGGGTTTGATTAAATAAGAAAAAGACGCAGTTTCCTGTACAGTGTTAAAATATTTGAAGTTGTTTTTACTCTTTCAACTTCATAAACTAAACAGTCTTAATTTAGAACTGCAGAACACGGGCCAATAACAGGCGTTCATGTGTAGTTGATTCATATTACGTACTTCATAAGAAGTTATACCTTGTTACATATTTATTGCCATCTGATTTTACAAAGGTTTAGTAAACTTGTGCAAACTTGTGACTGAAAATTTCGCAAACTTGTTGATTTTTCTTTTGATCTTTAAATTGTGGTTTTTATTTTTTTCAAGCACATTCAGTATAATTGTGCGGTTAGCTGACTCATAAGAATTCGATGGGAAAGTTGTGTTTGATCTTGGTTTATTTATCAGTGGTTTCAAGTGTTTACTATTAACAGCGTATTTTGTACGAGTGGACCAAGAGAAGAATACTCATCTTGTAAGCATCTTCAATCTGTAGAGATATGAACCTCAAAATGTGTTAGTTTCAATCGAAATTGCAAACACACCTGAAAATAAAATTATCACTTTCTTATTTTGCTGCAAATAAATAGTAAGAGTGAACGAACTAAGGAGGGGAGCTTGCGAGGTTGATAATAACAGATCTCGATGCCCTTTGGATATGTGATAGGGTCTCATGAGTGTACTAAAACCCTGAAGTGGTTTGACTCCATGGCCACATTTGCGCCCGCCACACCCACTCAAAAATGCCCAAAAAACGCTTTCACTCCAGTTTTCACTCACTCAAATCCACGCCAGAAATCCAATTTTACTCGGATTTTGAAATTTCTTTCACCATTACACTCCCAGATAGTTGCTTTCTTCAATTCCATATCAAACTCAATTTTGCTGATGATTATTTCGCAGGCGTAATTTGAGTTGTTGATTACTACAACAATCCTCATTCAGAATTTCAAATTTTAAAAATACTAAAAATTTCGAAAAAATTGGGTTTGATATTGGATTGAAGAAAGCAACTATCTGGGAGTGTAATGATGAAAGAAATTTCAAAATCCGAGTAAAATTGGATTTTTGACGTGGATTTGAGTGAGTGAAAACTGGAGTGGAAGCGTTTTTTGGGCATTTTTGAGTGGGTGTGGCGGGCGCAAATGTGGCCATGGAGTCAAACCACTTCAGGGTTTTAGTACACTCATGAGACCCTATCACATATCCAAAGGGCATCAAGATCTGTTATTATCAACCTCGCAAGCTCCCCTCCTTAGTAATCAACTGATGTTTGGTGTCTCTTGTGATGATTGGTTACTATTACCTGTGATTGATCACTTGATTGCACCATTCAGGCCCCAGAGGGTGGGTGGAAGAAAGAAGGTAAAGGTCAGGTTTTCATGTTCCCATAATTTGCAGGTGGGCTCCAATAGGTGTCTGACAATTATGAATATTCAATAAATTGTAAGGCTTGACTTTTGCTAACAGATTGATGCGGCAAAGCAAGAATCCGGAGATGAACATATGCATAAATAAATAATGATATGCATTCTGCTTTCTATATGTGCGTCTCTTTTATTTACTGGTCAGTGATGGATGGGGTTCACTCACTCTCAATATAATATTTTGATTGATTATTGCACATCGACAGGACACAAGAGACAATTTCGAAATTAAAATTTTTAGAACTAATCACTCGACTTGATTCTCAAGTTCTAAATTTTCTCTTGTGACCTAGTGAAATATTTAACGTAAAATGTAATGCATATGTTTTCATTTGTAGTGTCACAGTTTGCTTTATTATTACATCACATGGTCAGGGACATATCGTCCTCCCTTTAAGAAACCCATGAATATGGAATATGCAAATTAGGGAATATTTGTTCAATAATAGCTTTTGATACCATTGCGGGGAAAATTGGCGAGAATAGAGTCTTGTCCGAACTTTGGCACCATTATTCACTTATTGTAGCTTATTATTATAATCTTTATTTGATAAGATGGCACACTGACTCTCCTTCACCCACATAAAATTCTGTAGTCTCTCGTCGTAGGTACAAAGGAATGAGTTCAACGAGTTGTAGATGCTTTGTCGTAATTAGTGTATTGTTTACCACATGACTTAATAAAACTCTTTTTAACTTCCTCTCAGATAAGTAGTTATCTAATCGTCAGATGTAATCCACGTAGTATGTATAACTCCTATTCAAGGCCTAAATGGCAGAAAAAGAGCAAAAATGCAGTTATTTAAATCGCGTAGGTATATGTATATATGCAGCAGCAGAGTTTTGTTTTAGAACGCATTGGTGCATTAAATTTGTGAGAAAGAGGAAATATTATTTCTTCTTATCGTTATCGTCTTCCTATATTTTCCTCGCATCCCACCACTGCCAAACTTCTCAAAGTCAAAACAAAGTTGTGGATGGAGTTAGAAATGAATGAAAATTCGCCAAATGGAAATTAGTGATAAAGTTAAATTAGAAGCAACCTATCGCGTGAATGGACATAGTATAAACACCTGATTCGAGTTCATTCAAGTTCAACCAACGTTTAAATCTAATAATGAGACAAGAATTTCATGAACTTAACCCAGCTCAAAATAATTAAACATGCGCTTGATGCATATTTTACGTGATCATGAAATGAAGGAGCTCGATGTAGATCAACACCCAATATGTATACCTTGATAGTTTATCTACATTGGTATTGGTATGCATACATTAGAATAAACTCAAATAACAGACTACTGAGGATGAGTCAAACGTATTTGTAGTTCTCATTAGATGCTCGTATTTAGACTTACAGTTACTCAAGAATACTGTACTAAAATGAATATAATGATTTCGACATATATTTATATGCATTCCTTAATATCTCGATTGATTGATTGTGCTTCATCGACGGAGTTTAAAAAACAGTTTTCGGTTCTTTCTTCATTATTTATTGATTCTTGTGATTTTGGAGTTTGTAGTTTGCATAAATAAGTTACAACGCATTCTGTAGATAATGTGCATGATCTTCAGGTTACCCTTTCTATGTGAATGTTTCGGGGAATTATTCGTGATAAAGTTATTTAAATGCTGAAATATAATTGTTGATTGATATAAATAATCAAATCGGAGAATGCAAACACTGCAGAAATTTAAATAGTACATACATATTTCTTTTAAATAATTAAAATAATGCAAGAAAATTATATAAAATATTTGATGGAGTGACATAACTAATCCATATACATAGTTAGTTAAGGGTATACGGGGCATACTTTATGCAGTCAATACGAGAGATGCATATGGATGTATGTACGTCATGTGTAATCTGGATTCCATTGTATCTGCTCCACTTGTTGATGAAATAGTGATGTGATTACACTTAATCTTGCTCGTACTCGTTGCTGAATTAACGGTTGTTAGTCATCCTCCATTCAAGCTTAATCCATTCTTATCCTTCTGCTACGATAATTTCACTTGAGATACGTGGAGAATTTTATTATGATCTCATGTCGCTATAATTGGTGCGTGATGATGTCAGTTAAGACTTACTGATATTTGGCTGTTGTACATATTTATAGTTTTCGATGCATTTGCTTATTAGTTTAATGACCGAGAGCTTGGTTATTTTGCTAGTGTTGGTTCAATTTAAAATGATCCTCTACATATCTCATATTTTCTGGCTTTAAAGTATATGTAAAAAGTGCACTCTATAAACGCTGGCAAAGATACTTTATAAGTTGTAATTTTTCGCATTTTCTCAGTCACATGGGAAAATCCAGACGCTAGAAATGTTTTCAGTGCATTGGCTCATGATGAGCTGAGTCACTTGTACAGTAATCACATTAGTCTCACTATCCACTCCAGATGCTGTGGTTTGGCATCATATCTTAGAATGCAAATTGACGTGTGTTTTACCAACGCAACTTCTTTTACACTTGGTGTTTAAAGTGGAGGTGGAAGAAAAAGCGGATATGCGGCGGAGAAGAGGAAGTGTCAAATCAAATTCAAATCGTCGAAGAACCGACGCATTAAGTTTGATCAGTCTACCGTTGCGGATACAGAATGTTGCATTATATTCTTGTAAGAGAGGGAGAGACTTGTCTTCAAAAATACATATGAGCGTTTGGAAATGATGGCAGCATCAGGCTCAGATACAATATGTGCATATATTATATATTTCGACTTTGAACAATAAATTGGTTTAGTTAATGCAACAATGGAGTTACGTTATTTTTGCGTTACTTTATTGTCGTTGCGTGGGGGTAGTGCACCATATTTACATCCTACAAGACTTGAGCATTCCCGTTTTTATTATTATTTGGCGTCTGTCAACTATTTAAAATGAACTAATTTAGATTTCTGTATAACACGCCACATCATTAAAATTTCATTACCTTAATTGCATCATAGTTCACTCGATGAAATGGATTTTAATGACGTTCACATCTACATGCTCACATAATATTACGACACTTTCATCATTTGCCCCCCCAACGCGATGGAATTTCATTATTTTAACAAACAAATTTTGCACAAAATAAAATTCAATCGTGTCGAGTAATGATTTTTGTTAAAAAATCGTCTTCTTTTATAATTTATAGGTTGTCCATGCCCATGCCTTTCCTTGGCTTCCATATTTGTCAATTTCGCAAGTACAAGCAAAGGAGGAGAGAAGACGATCACTGTTTGACGCAAGGGGTCAATAAATCACATCAACAGCCATCAATAAGGTATTGTGTGTTTGTTAATTTGAAAATGTTGCATCCTCCGTTAACCTATGCTTTCAAAACACAATCGACAATAAGCAATAAAGACAAACAGCACAATGCAGCAACACATTCCTGAATTCGAAACAGTTGTTGTGATTATGGTCAGGTGGATGATCCAAGATATAAATCACGAATCTCAGCCATTGATCGGCAGTATTTGGAGGCCGTGTAGCAAATTATTGTGCATGAAGTGAGAATGTGCAAACCAGCCACTTACACCGAGAAAATATATATGTGTGTACCTGCTACTATTTCAAAGTCGTGTGGGTATGGATGAGGAGTAATACTGGTCGGGCCAGATTGATTGATAAATATCGGCAGATAAGAAATGGTCCGAACGGAATTCGCAATCTCATAAGGATGAGATTTATTAGCGACTACTTTCTGTTCTAGATGAGTTTTATTCTTGTACATCTTTACATATGTACGTGCATGCAACAAAATGATTATATTGCTAATATTATTATGCATATCATACTCGGCTAATTTCTGCACTTTCATTAGTGTTATTGCACGCAGGTATCGGAAAAATATTTTTCTTGATGTCGTAATAATATCACCAACATGGTGATAATAATTTCATATCCGCACTAATTGGGTGACCTCTCCTACAAACTGGACTAAACTTTTCTCTTTCCCAATGCATTGAAATTATTTAGTGTCAAAATACGAGTATTTTCGCCCAAAAGATCTTAGAGTACTACCAAAATTACGACAGAAACGAAACGAAATTCATGAAACTGTAACAAGTCGCCTTCCGTCTTGCTTCGCTTCCGTTTAGTCCAATCACAGTCGTCTCACCAGAACTTATTACGTACATTGAGATTAACTGCATGCTACACCTAAATATTTTTTCTTCGTGTCGACATAATGGTAGAAATTGTCATATCTAACAAGAGGTTATCATTATTATTACACCGCATCAAGTAATCACGTAAATTAAACATTAACTTGTCAAATGTCTAAATTATTTCTACCGTCGTAATGGAACGACAATCTCATCAATAATAAATGCTATCACAAACAAATAAAATGTGCAAAACTGAGATTTACAAATTTTAAGCCTTACTTTTTTGCATAGGCTGAATTTTGGTTAAGTGACCCAATTCCAAGCAGAACCACTTGCACTGGTTCACTCTCTTCTATCAATCTTCATTTCAACTCAAAAAGTCAGCCAGTCCAATCGTTTACGTCTTTTTACCAAATTGCCACCATATTTTGAGATAAGTGGTGATGATGATGGGATGATCATGCCTAAACGAATTATTTCCTACATCTCTCTCTCTCACTATCTGGCTCTGCGAGTAAAATCACGGCATAGGACCTCAAGTTTTTGAGCTTCAAGCATCAAGAGTTTTTCGTTGATGCTTAAACCTATTCCTTGATGAGAACGTAATTCAGACACTTTCTTATTTCATTATAGCAAAATTATGGTGAGTTGTATATCGGCTATTTAGCTAACGTGCTCAAGGAGTGAGTTGTGGTAGTTGACTTTGATTTTCGTCCCCTTTCTACAAGAATCTACTTTTTTTATGTAAAATGAAAATTATTTGTAAATTGACTAATCCGACATCTCGTCCCATTTTTGCCAAGCCATCCCTGAAAGTATACAAATAAACGCCTTCAGACACCAATTTGGTGTATGAGTCTGTGCATTAAAATTAAATACATTTCTGCTTAAGAAATGCATACAAAAATATCTTTAATTTTAGTAATACTCGTCTATAGAATGTATCACTACAATAATTTTTTTCCAAGTTTTAAATTGAGGTGTTACAATTCCACCAAGTTAAAAAATATTGTAAACCGTGTACATATGATATTACTGGTTATAAAAGTATTCTTACGATCATGTATTAGCTTACAGAATTCAATTGTGGTTCTTTTTTGATGTGTCTAATTTGTAATATTGTTATTGCTTATCACGCATGCCTATACACGGACGAAGGTGTATTGTACTGCAAGTAGCTTTTATGTGGAGTTGAATGGAATATGTGATATGATTTATAGTTAAGCCTGCTTATTACCTTACATACCATTACGTTAATGTTCAAATGAAATGCAATGTAATGCGTTGCTTTTGTTGCGCCTCGTCTCTCGACAAGCCATGCAAAGTACTAACTTTAATCTTCAGTTGCATTTCTGCTTCTCAGTGTGTCAGTGGAATTGCATTTATTCCCATCATCTTTGTGTTCCTTATTCTGCATGTACATACTTTCAACTTAGACACTGTTAAGAATCTAAATAATAACAATAGTAAAAAATTGTGGGGAATGTTCCTGTGACTTTTGAGTAGTTGGAACATCTGATAAATTATTACAAAGCAGAGTTCCAGGCCAGTCACCAGTGTAAAAGTTAATGGTTTTTTGGAGAACCGTTGTGCGTTCTTATTCTCTCCTCCAATACTTTTGGTACGAGTGTGTTTAGAGAATTATTGGAATTTCAAAGTTTTAAATCAAATGAAACCTCCCAGTTGCAGTTTGGTTAGTGAAGCCGGTTTCTAAACCTTATTTAATTATTGGAATCAGGACCCATTCAAATCAACAATTTGATGTAAGTTTTTGGCTATTACCTCATTCATACAAGAGTTGTTTTCATTATACCAAACTAGTAACAAAAGTTTAATTAACAATAGCCAGATAAATACGATTTATGGGCAGTTTGATTGTTTGGTAGGTGCAACTCTGAAAATTCTTGTATTTTTATACGGCTGGTGGTTTTCTCACATTCCGCTGTTACAAGATCCTTCACAAGGATATCCACTACTTCTACCACTTCTACTTAATGTTGAATTGAACGAAAAATTCGACCTACAACCCTAAATCCCAAAAAATTGGTTCGGTTGTTCATCTTCACTCGTTTTTTCTTCTTTTCTTTTGGTTGGATGAGCATGGATGATCTTTTGTGCCGTGGAATTATTCACTTATTACTTGCTCTGAAAATCATGCTCTGGAGTTTCAAAGTTTCATAGGAGTTTCAGCCATTTGCTTCCGTATTTCCCTATTCTTTTACTTGGCCAACAATGATCAAGCCTCTCTCCCCGCTAAAAGACACAGTCATTGGTGAAGTAGACTAGCGATAAGAGGTTGTGTGTGTGGGTCAACAATATAAAAGACAAATGTTTTGACACACCAAGTCAATCACCATTTGCAACAAGTGTATTATTTTATTGGTCACGAATTCAATGTCAAATGTCCTTCTTCCTGGCAGTAGTAACCAACGATTACGATTATCTTATCGGTGTATGTAGGCGAATCAATCATGCCGCCTAAAATGTAAAAATTAGACAGGTATGCTTTATGTAAATTAGCCAGTTAAATTCTTCTCTGGGTATACAATTAGTATTGCTGCTGCTATAAGCCCACGATATTTGTGGTTCTTATTTAGCACTCAGCCCATTTTTGATTTAAAATTGAACTACATGATTAATAAGGAGCTGATGATTGCGGTAATGTAACAATAGACCATGAATGATGATCATCATCAAATTCAATTTAGGGAAGGAAGGACAAAAAGATTATTACTTCCATAATCGAACAATCATCATCACCATCTAAAAAACATCAATGAATGTTATTTTCATTCGACTTTACATGTTGGGCGACATTGTTTGATGAGTTTGATTTTTGGAATGGTCTGGAGGTCGTGTCAAATACAACAGCGTAGAACACAACAAAATACTGTTTGATTAATCTGGATGGGATACATATTCGTCGTACGCACACTTATAATTTATTAGTATAATGCACTGGTTCATGTACAATTTAGTAGGTACACACATATGCAAAGCTGACTGTGGACCTTAGTTACTGAAATTGGATAGAAGATTAAGATAAGCTAAATATCAACTTCAAATCAAGCGATGCCGTCACAAAATAGTGTCAGGAAAACATTCGTCATATGCAGATATGTATGTACCACTGTTGAATGTAACGTTGCGCACAACATCAATGAATCAATATACAAGACCATGTGCAGAATAATATGAGTAATCGCAACTGATCTCCTGAAAGTCAAATTTATACGACTGGTTTTAATGTGTCCATTTAATAAAAAAAATAATGCTTTGAAGGTGACACTGACACTGTTCTTAAAAATACTTTAAAGTATTTACAGGACCAGAGATTCAAGAATAGTTTAAGTGACGCGTACTGGTACTTTACATTAAAATAGGTAATAGTTATTTGTTAGTACCAATGCATATTATTTACTAAATATTCACTATTTGTTATTATTCACTATTTCTATGATTAACGGATAGGGCGGAATTGTATATTCAGCAACGACAGTAACGAAACGATACGACTCACTGCGATACTGTCCTTTGGTATTTCATTGTTGTGGACAGGCGACACAGAAAATCTATTCAAAGGTGTTTAAACTCAAGGCGTTAAATGTATGTAAGACGAAAGGACGCTGCGCTGAATCCTATATTGATTTGTTGGTCAGATAACACCGTTGTGTTGTGACACCTACAATTGATATTGATTCATTGATTTTTTCGTGCTATTTTATGCCTCACTCACACATACATATTTCATCACTCGCCATAAATGATGTAGTTGTAAACAAACTATTTGTGAATACCAATGCTTCAAATTTGTAATATTTTCAACTTTTTCCGATGAAAGAGGCAATAGCTTGATTAATTACAAATTACTTTCGTACAAACTTGAGTTATGCATGAAATGCATTTTTCTTTGTTGTACAACCTCGCAAAACATTGTACAGATTCACTATTTTGATTCGATAATTAATTACTTGTGATGATTGACAAAGTTTTAGTGTCGATAATAAATCCTTGTGATTGTATTATTATTGCGCATTGGCAACAATATAATTTTGCATTCATCCAATGCCGCCCATGTGTACAAGTTTCATATTAAATCAATTTAAGATTCAGTCCGTGGTCACTTGTACTAATACTTGACTGATCATTGTTAAATTCAGTAGAAGTTTTGTGCACTGCGCATGCAAAACGAAATTGCATACACTATGATATCTCTTAAACCAAGTATGGTTGTGTATATGCACATAAATAAGATTCATCACTCAAACTCAGCATTTATTTCCATAAATAAAATCTTGCAGATAATATCTATTAGAATCCCTCTTCTGAATACAGATGCTGATTATTTATAATCACTTGTTGAGTAAGAACTTTAACAATATGAAAATCTCACAATGAATCAAAAATGGGAAGAATTCCATGTGCATCATTACCTAATATTTCGCTGGCAAAAATATTTATGATAAGAATAAAGATGTCGATTTAATCTCAATGCTCCCATCATTTTAACTAATACGTAAGATTGAAAGTGGTCAGTAATTTGTAAAATATGTACCTTGTTATCTTAACCAAATGTTAGGACTGAAGTATCTTTTATGCACATATTTAGGTATGTATGGGTTCATTTAAAATTTAAAATGCTTGTTACACAATTTTCTTTTTTCGGCCCTCGCTTGCTTCCATCATCACTTAACCCTTCAACAAATAAATTCTTAATTATTTAATTAACTTATAATTGCATACGAAAGCATGAAAAGTTAATTGAGTGGGAACACATTGCAAAGCTGCGGGAAGGAAGAGTACTTATGTAGACTTGGATCTGACCCAAGTCTCAATTTTTTTGCAATCTATTGTATTTTTATATTACAGCATATGTAATATTTTTTGATAGTAGTCAATTTACTTATGTGAAGGCTTTGTTCGTCTGTGTCCGACCAATAACTCCTAAATTACATGTTTAAGTTTCGGATATCGGGTGTGTTAACTGACCATGATGGTGAATCATGCCCATGAATCATGTATGTCCAAATTTAAAATATAAACCCATGTGATAAGGGTGCTATGCTATTCGCTAGGTCTGGACAAAAAACTTACTTAAAACTCACTTACAGGTTATACAATTAAAGTCCCATTTATTTAATTTTAGTTCTCCGTATTAAATTGTTAAAAGGGACTTTAATTCAGCTACATATTTTAATACATCTGCTTACTAAAATTTATTATATATCACAATATTCAATTAAGAAGTGCAACAGCCACCAGACCATGAATTGTAAAGGCAATGAAAAAGGCACCGATATGATTTATGTCATACATACATAAGCAAAACAAAAGAACGCTATGTATTCTTGATGCAATGTGATGGAGTTGGCTGCTCATTGTCTTCTTGATCACTGTTGAAGACTTGCATGTAAAATGGGTGTCTGCTGCTCTGCAGTCACGGTGAAAGTGAATAAGGAAAAGTTTAGCCAAGAACAAGAACTAACTACTGATTAGGTTACATATTTTCAACCCTTTTTGTGCCTCACTATTATTAGGTGAGGCTTCGAGTTGTCAAGCTGATTCCACCATAAAACTCATGCTGTTGTGCTGTGAGGGAATATAATGAGCGATAAATTGGAGGATTGTTAACTATCTGTGGAGCTAAATTTACAGTGTTCCGAGGAGAATGCTGCAGGTACCCCCATAACGACAAAATTGCAGCGATTTAAACAAATCATGAAGTGTAACGCGATAATACATATTTTTTATTTTCGTAGACCATTCAGGAAACTGCCCTGCCCCAATCTCACTTTCGCTTATGAATCCCTATTTTTAAGATTTCTTCAAGTTACAGACGTACATGCCTAATTAAATGTACAACTCGCAAGTAGTCGCCATTGGGCGTATTACATGATAAGAATAAACAAATATATATAAATAAACCTTTATTTTTGCCACGCTTATTTCCTGGATAACTGACCCGCAATTTGAAATGGCATTGAACCCAACCCAAGTGCAGCTAGAATATTTCATGCTGGGTGAGTTTGGCAAGTACGAGACATACCTTGTCATACGTTGCTGAGAAATTAAATAGCTCATCGCAGTTATTATTTAATTGAATTGGTAGGAAGAGAAAAGCGAAACTTAATTAGTTTACGCATTGTTTGAGATTTGAAGGTGGTTTTCATTGTCAATTGTCTATTCCAGAGTTTCCAAATTATGGTCTCATAAATATAATAAACATAAATAGCATTGATCAATTGATTGATTTACAATAGAATTAACCGTCTTTCAATTGTTTACAATTAGTGAAAACTCTCCCCATTTTGCAATCCATCTGTACCAAATATTAATCATACAACGTAACTGTTTTTTACTCAATCCAATAACTGGAACAAAGTGAGACGCACTCACCTGTTTTCAAAGAGTCGTCCATATTATTTAATGATTACGCTTTATTTTATTTGGTTGTGCGACTTGAATCAAATTAGAGTCCCAATGATGATATGAGTTCTACACTGAAACCTACATTGAATAAAAATATTGTTCAAACAATAATGAATAAAATGACATCGATATTCCATATCTGATAATTTCTCTGCAAATCTTGAATGAAAACAGTGGCCACCTAACCATCGTGCGTGTAGTGTCGAATCGAAAACAAATTGAAGACACGATACGATGATGACTTATAATATTGCTACCGTCATCAAACAATTTCATGAATGAGACAGGAAATCATTCTCCATTACGGTTCTATGTATTTCACTCTCAATCCGTGACCACGCATTGATGTGATTTATGCATATAGCAGCTCAGAAATTACAGCGAAATTATTTTACTACGAGAGTTATATGGATCATGTACAAACATGGGTGAAATGTGTTAAGCGTGTGAATTAGACTAGTCGTTGTGTGACGCGATGATAATGAAAAATTTCTGCCTTGTCGGTGAGTATGGATATCCCATGCGAAACCAATTACTTTTGTGTGTGTGCCCCACCACCTTAAGCAAACGTATTGGACTTATCATCTATGTATGTGCATATCTACAAACACTACACACAAATGACGTGAGAATTTTTCCCGATAGCTGTGAAAGGACAATTTTTTCATCCACGTACAGTCATCCATCCATCTTCCACCTACGTACATATCACCAATTCACCAATGATAATGATTAGATAGGCCCAGTTTAGTGACGCTGTAATTGTTTTTCTTTTGCACTTGACTCGAATCATTTTATTTCACAACAGCCTCAACAGTGTGCGATGGTGAACATAATATTCCACTTTTTACACGTTTGAACTTCACTATTTATTACTAATCAGTGAGCAAAAGTAGCAGTGATTTTAGAATAGACGGGCATTACATTATGTACATTTAAATGTTTTTCCATTATTTAAATTGCTATTTTAACCTTGCGTTATTATTTTTTGGAAAACAAGACAATAAACTGCAATTTTCTCACAACTGACAACTGCACAAGAATGGTAATAAATAATAACAATAATAATAAGCAATGCTGAGAGAGTAATAATGCAGGGAAATGGAAGTGAACTCTGTTGTTGATTTTGTTTTCCTATTCGTTCGTACTTATGGTACTGCTGCGTCACCTACTTTTGTAAAATTATTAATTGTTTCATTCAAATGTCCGTACTGAAAAACGTCTTTCTTCGTTTTCCTTGCTATAAGTACGATTAATTTGTTCTATTAGCTTTAATAAGCGTGTTCTCTAAAAGGCTTATAAATGTTGTGTTTTTATGGTTTAACAGAATCTTGAAATTGCAAGTAATCCAACAACAGCAGACGCATCGCCTGTGAGCATCGCTGACGGGCTGTCATTCATGACCAACTTGGTGGTGGGAGCCAGTGGAAATAACAATTGACAATTCAATGGTGGCAGTTTTTGCTGAGCTGAAGAAAGTGAAACGGTTATCATCGGTCGATCAACAGTGCGCAAATTCCGGAAATTCAATGCCGCTGGGATATAATTGCTTATTGTCCTCATAAGCATCCAAAGAAAGACAGTTAACTAAACCAGTGATAATTTTAGTGGGTAGTGTGAAACCTTGGTAGTTATACGTAGTTGTAGAAAATATGATTGATAGACGAAGCAAATTGTGCAGATTTTAACATAAAAACGTCCAACAATTCTCCAATTTTATTCGAGAAGAAAGAGGATTTGAGTACAACAAAGTGGATAACATAATACAAGGAATAGTGAAGACCGGTTGGTTTGAGAACATTGAGGCGAGAAGATGAGTGTGAGTGTGGAAATTAAGAATTTGGCTGCATTGCCACCACCCACGAACACCACCACACCCGCCACGGTCACGGTAACTGTGAATCAGGAGAATATGGAGGACGAGTTTTGGGCAGAGGTGGCCGGCAGCAAGGAACGCTTGGACGAAGATGAGCACAAGGGAAATGTCACGGATGAAGGTATCATGATTTCTCTCTTTCGATGCCTGTGAAGTGAATCAATTATGTATTGGTCATTTATAGTTTTTCTTCCACAAATTTAGTTGAAATGGATGCTGGTAATCAAGTTCCATATACTATAAACAAAATGAACTTGTTTTTCAAATTTTGTGTTTGTTTTGGTAGCACACATGAAACTACGCATCATGAATTTTACTACAGGACAAAGTTTTATTTATGCTCAAATATTTACTTTCGACTAATGTTCAATATTATGATGCGTGGTGATGATATTGCGTACTATGCAAGTTGTCGAATTACTAATTATTTAGAAGCTACACAAAACTTTAATACAAAACTCGTGGCAGATTTGTTTTAATGTATCCGAAATTATATTTTTGTAAAAAAGGAGAGATTGAGGCGGATTGGCTTTCTGACGTTGGGTTATCGGAGTGGACTCAACAATGGAGGCAGGGCAAATCCCTCCCCGAAAATGACATTGGGCCAGCAGTGCAAAAATTGAGCTTGAAGCCCCATCAGGTACATACATATATAATTTTTGTATAATTAGTTTTTATGTCAGCTTTTATGACATGGATTAAATTTTTAATAGGCTGATGCTGTTCGTAAGAGAGTTAGAACGCTAAATGCAACATTGAAACGAAAAAAGAATCATCGAAGGCCTCCAGATGTCCGCAGTTTTTTTCAAAACGAATTTCCAGAAAATAAGGTAATTTATTTCGCTCATCCTTATCCGTATAAATAAGTGTGTATATTCGTCCCTAAGTATATATAATTTTTAAAATGACTTGCGTAATTGCTCAATTAGGATTCATCAAGAAGTGAAACTCCCGACTCTCTGGATTCCAACGAATTTATCCCAAGTGACTCGCCACCAAGGAGATCATCACCTTTATCATCTCAGCATCATCATGCAAGGTGACTCGGTTTTATTTCTTGCAACGACACACAAATTATCGCAGCAATTAATAACTATTCTTTGTATGATTATAGCGGATCTTCTGCTGACGAACTTGATGATATCTGCCAGTTGCCTCATGTGCCAAATTTTGTGTCAATCTTTGCCGATGGAAATCATCAACCTGCATCAACGTCACCCCCAAATAAAAATAAAGATCTTTTCAAACCCCGGTTTCCCGTGCGTGGAAATTCTAGTGTGACCACGGATGGCGAAATTGCTACCGATAATATTTCAGGTAAATACCAATACAATTTTATTACGTTATTTCCATCAATCATAACCATTTTATACTTGAGCTTTATTTGTTTCAGGGATTGAAATTCTCGGATACCATAATGTAGGAACTATCTACATGAAAGGATATATTCCGTCCAAGAAGCCCGTTTTTCAAGGAATAATTACGCCATCTGCAAATTTTTCCACCATATCCATAAATAACATATCTTCTGTTAATGACAGTTCGAAAACATGCAACACATTTAGTGCTACGAAAACTGGATTCACCGCTGAGCTTAATCGTATTAACGGTGACTTGATGAGCAATGATGAAAATGACGATAGTTTAAATGTTAGTACTACTAATTCTACATTTTTTTCTTAAAATAATTTAACGTATTGGCTGTGATCTAAATATTTGAATTAATTAGCCGGAAGAATCATATGTCGACCCTGCGGGACTGACTCGATTGTGCGATTTGAGCGAAGAGGTAATTTATTTTGTTGAATGATGCGTTGTGATTTTTCGCCACTCTACGCGGAATGTAAAATTTACAATACATATGTTATTGGTTCTAGGACTGTAAAAGTATCCGTCCATTAATTCTCATGGAACTCGTAAGTTGATATGTTCTTTCTATTCAAAATAAATTGTTTGCTTCGTTTTAATGTTTCATATAATCTTCTACTTCTATTAACAAATTAGACTGCCCAATGTGATCACGTGAATATTCAACTTCGTCGAAAGAAAGTTCAAAAAGTGCTCAAGAAAAATCCTCCGACAGAAGAAGGAGCCAGTTGCATTTTTGGGGTTTCGTTGGTTAGTGAAAACAAAAGTTTACTCTTTGAAATTTTACCTTATGTTAAAATCGTACTTTCAGGAGTCTCTGCTACAAAAAGACCGTCAAGTTACTGCTGATAACAGTTTAGAAGTACCAATCATATTTGAAAAAGTAAGCCTTATACTGTATGCAACACACGAGTGGGAATTTTTTATACTAACTTGTATTGAAATTTTAACTCGCAGTTGACATCGCACTTGCAAAAACGATCAATGAACGAGCAAGGAATTCTTCGAATGGCTGGACAAAAGGCGAAAATTTCTGAACTACGGGCAGTTTTTGAATCTAGTCTTTACACAGAACCGGAACAGGTAAAATTAAGAATTTCATGTTTCTGGTCTTTCCGATGTATTTTTAATTTTCTTCATAATAAATAGGTGGATGCTGCAATGAATCAATGCTCTTCCCATGACGTTGCCAATCTACTCAAGCAGTTTTTGAGAGAAATTCCCAATCCTCTTCTCGGGTAATTGCAAAACTACTACGTAATACAATTAATGCTCCTTCGTGAGTATTTTATATAATGTTAATTACCATTTGTAAAATTTGAACAGTTATGAATATGTTGACGCTTTCTTCGAAATTACTGGTAATTTATTATTATCATGCTAAAAATTTATCATTCGTGTACCTAAGGTCGTGTTACATTAGTGAGTTACTCTTGTTTTATTAATTCACAGATAAATTAAAAGATCGAAGCTTAGAAACATGCATTCGTCTTCTGATTCTCCTTCTACCTCAAAGCCATCAAGCCGTTCTGCGACAGTTGATTACATTTCTCCGTGATCTGGTTAAAAACTCTGACAAAAATAAAATGGGGTTGAAGAACGTTGCTCTGATTGTTGCTCCAAATTTAGTTCCAATGTCTGCTCTTGGGTCACAGAATAAGGAAGTAAGGAGTCTGAAGTACATTTAACAAAAGTAATTTTAATAAACTAATCCAAACCTTCCAATTTTATATTTTAGCTGAATAGAGCAGCAACTTGGGTGCGAATGACTCAGACGTTGATCAAGTATGGAGCTGGCCTATTTTACATTCCGAGTGACCTTTTATCTCAGTTGAGGCAAATCAACGACCGTGCTAAAGCGAAACGGGCGAAAGCGAGAAACGGGAATACTCCAAATAATAAATCAATGGCCAACGGGAATTCTGGTTCAGGCTGCAAATCAGGCCCTTGCAATTATCTCAAGGTATCTGCGCCTCAGTTAGGTTTTCCCGATGTGATGCTCCCGATTAATGCTGGCACAACGGCCGGAGAAATTGTTCTTTCGTGAGTTTCAATTTTTATTATTAAATGATAAACAATCAAAATAGCACAAAGCTCATAACAAATTATTGTCGAGCCAATAAAAGCAACGAGTTTTCATTTGTTAGATTACTAGAAGAGGCAGATCGAAAAGCAGAATCTTTGGAAAAAGAAGGCCTCCAAAATGGATCTTCTCATGTGAATGTTAACATGAACCAAGGGAATGGAGTGGGCATAAGAAGAAGACCTGTTCCCAGAACTCAGGATGTCAGTAATAAAAATGTTCCAAATCTTAGCTGCCTATTAACTCAGATGAATCCAGAGGTAAAGAGCAAAAGAAATCTGAAGTAGTTGATACCTACATATATTTAATTAACTAATAATTTGTCGATTTTTATAGATTGCTCTAAAGACTCATTCTTTGTACGAAATCGGAGGAAATATTGGTAAGAACTTTACTATTAAGTATTCGTCCATCCGTGTATCACGCCACAAAAAAGTCCTTGTGTGTCGCCTGGAGGTCTCACTTCTTGCATAATACCCACTTGTCAATTCGGATCAGATTATGATACCCTGGGTCGCTGAACTGTTTGAATAGCGAATTGACGTATTCGCGTCAGTTCAGTTACCATATTTTGTCTCGTACAAACCTCAGCCAATGTGAGTGGCTGCGTGCAGTAATCGGCCAGTGGTTGGATTTTCTTTTTCAGGATAAACTTTTTATCTAGTAGAAATAACAAGAAGCAAAAGTCTTTGCATTTACATTGGATACTTTAGCCCTTGTTTATTAGTTTTTCCTACGCGTGTGGGTACTTGTCCGTTTTCGTAAGAGTAATTTGAAATTCCGATAAAGTGGAAAGCCGGTCCTACTTAATCGTTTCAAGTGGGTGATATGGATGGGTCAAAGAGATTGGGAGAGAGAAATAAGCTCATATTATTCTGCCAGAAGAAGATCTTCAGTCAGAATACCCGTTGTTGTTTTGAATATATTACGATTATGACTATGTTTTGTAGGTTATCGACGTGTTGACCCCTCCGCACTACTTCCAGCCGTTTGTAGAGATAATCCTTCCGCTTCGTGGGTCCTGAGATGCAATCATCGACATTCGACATTCGTCTAGCCTCTGACTGAAGATGCCTAAAAATAACTTTCCTCAGGTTGGACTGAGCCCAACTTGCAAAACTGTTTCCAATGTTCGTCAAACTTCAAAATAGTGCAGGGCTAATACACTAGTTTCATTGTGAAGCTTTCTCAAATTGAGACAATACTTGTCTTAAATTAATTTATATAGGTTAATATACGTTATTATTGTTTTACTATTATTGCGAAGTAGTTTTGCAATTTTTGTAAGACTGTAACTGAATTAAAAATATTCATTTAGTTAATTTTACATATATACATAACGGATAAAGCAGGTCACTAATTCTGTCAATTAATTAAGTAGCTAACATTAGTATGCATAGTTTTTAGTGCTTATTTATACTATGGTTAAACTCTGGCTGCAAACGAAACGTCAATTTTGGTAGCTTTATGACAAAGACTTAACAATTATAATAAATATGAGAAGACAAATTAAATAAACTATTAACCATTTCATTTAATTAAACCATTGATGATTCACTTCTTGAGCCATTCTGTTGTTTTGCAGAGTGGTGACAACTTGGTGACAAATGCTGTGTTTGAAGTAACACATAGGGAAATTATTTACTAGAAAGTGTGGCTTGAAGACAATGGGTGTTAACATGGATCTGTATTCATTGTTGGCTACTGACCTTATTGGTTTCTTGTAAGTAGGTGAAATGTTAGAGTATTTAAGAACATTTTGCAACTCTGGATCACAACTAATCTGACATTCGTCCATACATATTTCATCTACTGAATTGAGTTTGAGATTATTTTTTTAGAAACATGGGAGTTTTTACCACAGTTGTCTCGCTGGGTGTAGCAACACTTTGTCTTCATCAAGCCGACGCCGGCGTTTTTAACGCTATAGTTCCCAATTTAAGTACTGGCTGGTTCGTCAACAAAAATTAACTCCTCCTCCCCTCAAGTCTCTCAACTTACAATTAAGAAGTAAATTTATAACAACCAACAAATTGTATAGGTTTGCAAAGCCGGGTCCGACAGAGTCTCTAATTTTCGGCCTTTTAGTGCTTAAGGTAAGTTCGAAACTGTTGCTTACGTAATCTCGTATCAGTAAAAATGGAAAGTTTTCTCCAGTTTGGCAGAGTAATTCTGCGAGTGAGCATAATGTAGGTCAGTCGGGGAAGAAGTAAAACGAATCATTTATCACGCGACCATTTCGGTTCACTGCCCTCCGTACACAAACTTTTTTGGAAAGTTGATGAGGATATTCTAGGGAAAAGTGCATATTGCTGATAGTATCTTTTTCCAGGATAAAGGTATCTCTCGAGTCCACACAAAAATTATATGTCCTTCTTGGCGAAGTAGTTCAGGTCGGGGAGAATGAGATGATGAGCATTTTTGCTCCAGAATTGTTTCGCTTATGATTTCTTCTCTTGAAATCATTTCGTCCAGAGGCACGAAGAGACACGTCGCTCGTTCCGTGTAATAAATTTTCCTTAATGTAAGGAGTCAAACGAAGAGAGAGGGTGTAGTAAAAAGTTGGGTAGAATCTCAAGTAGGAGCAGATGAGCAGATGAGCAAGATGGAGAAAGTTGAATACACTGAGACAAGTTCCTGACCTGGGTTTAGTGTGTAGATACCAAAGCACTTTATTACTCACCATCTCCTAAAGACTTGTTCCTAGGAGGACATTAGCGGAAACCCCTGCTGAGTCTCACAAAGGAGAAGACACACTGGGCAGTGGCAGTTATTAACTACCACTTGTCCTTTCTGAAAATTCTCGCTAATAGTTGTGCGGCTGTTGAAATGTAAAAATTTCACCCGGTCGACTAGGTTAGGTTAGTTATTTTTCAGAATCTCTCTACTTTCTTCTCGTAGGTTATGGCACTTCAGTTGGCTGGAGTCTTCCCTTACAACTTGAATGACCTGTGGAAACAGGACGGGCACTTGGGAGACCATTTCTGGAAAGGAAACTCAAGAACTCGACGCGATTTGTTCTTTTCTAAAATCAACAAGTTTTCTAAAGCCCCTCTGCTTAAAGAGATTGACGCTGTGGAACGGATACTTCTGGTGAGCAACTTGCTTCCAATGAGTTGATGCATATGTAAGTAAGTACCAAGTAATTGTGTAAATAATGCGTATAGGGTCTGAGACGCATTGACACTCATGATTGCTTCATCCGTCATGGTAAGTCAATTTGCTTATTGTTTCGTACATATTCCTATTCCACACATACTTTGAATTGCTTATTGAGTTCACATTTCTGAAAATTCAATTGTATTCAAACAGTCTGTCAGATCAAACAAAATCAATTGTCAGGAAATGGTTCTGAGTACGAGAGGACAATCCTCAAGATTTTCAGGTATGCGGTTGACAGCTACATATGCATTACTGCGAAATAATTTACGTTCGGTGGAAGGAGAAAGTATAGAGAATTGGGCTTCATAATTACAATTTCTCCGAAACTCAATCCATGTGAATCAGGAAGTGAAATTCAAAGAAAATTATTTTTTGACAGCTTGAAGCCACAGAAAAAAGCTGTTGAAGACAAAACCTCCGTTTGGGACATTTACCACGACGCTCTCACCCCAAAAGTGATTGACTGTGATCAGAAATACAAGCTGTGTCCTCTGACCAAGAACGACATGACGCTGGAAAACCTAATGTCTGGGCTCTTCTAACTCCAACTTTCCAAGTGAAATCAATATTTATTGAACTACTGAACTATTTATTCTTATTACTTTCTACTGATGTATAATTTATCTCCACGCATTTACGATTTATGTATCAATTTGCCTATATGTATAAACCATGTTATTGCCTATTTCCTATTCATTCTCATCCCTCCACCTCTCAAGTGGTAAAAATGATCGACAAATAAAATGATAATTGATTGACCGCTCACTAAATAAATTGAATTGGGATCATTTTATCATTGGACTTGCACAAATATAAGTGTGACTCTCTTTTGATTGAGGGTTTGTTATTTGTTCTGGAGCAACTGGCATGCATAACGACGTCTTTTGTGTTATTGTTGTGTAACAGGAGGAGCAGAGTCGGCATGAATGAGACCCTTCTTGTGCACCTTCTGCTCTCAATAAACATTACTCGAGTCACAAATCAAACCACGTCCAGTCCATCGCGTCAACGATATCTTGTCCACTCGAACTCAAGGGAGTGGCTGACAGCACGACTGCCTGTGGAGGACAATTGACGAGCATGGTAGAAAAAAATTGTATTGAAATGAACCAATGCGTTGCCTTCGATAGTGATAATCAAAGAGCAATAAGTATGCTGACCATTGGTCACAAAATGAAACAGCTTGATTGCTGTTTACCCTAATTTATTTTTGTATAATATCGTAACATTTGCATCGTGCTATCCACTCGCCCATAAATTGCACGATGTTCCACCAACATTGAACTTGAATCTTCGGTCCTTTGCGCTTCATGGTAAACAATACATTTGACGATTATTGCGTATGGAGAAGGCAGGCCTTGAGCTTGATGCATATTTATTTATTCGTGCGGTTTTCAGCCTATCAATAGAATTTATTGTAATGGTTGTGTTGCATTATTGTATTAAACCAAAGTCCTCCAGAGAGATTGGATTTGATGGAGAGGAGAAAGAAAGTACGCAACAAAGTGGTTTCTGGCATTGTGTGAGCATGTCATCAAATTATTCAGAGTGTATACTTTACGAGGAGAAAATCAGATTGTGAACAATAACTCAATCAAGAAGCGTGTATATCTACTTATATGACAATTTTGACGATGCTGTAACATGTCAAAATAACTCCATGCAGTATTTCCACAACTATATGCACGTATATAAATACATAGCGACTTTCCCTTGCTGATCGGAAGGAAGGAGCATAAAAACAAATAAATGAAAGTGATATTATTGCCAATGATGATGTTATTGACGCACAAACACAGACTTCCTTCAATTTGCTGGGCTGTAACTTATTGAATGACGCAGTAAAAAATGTGACTTGCAATTTTATATAAACAATGCATAAATTTTGGAATTTAAATTCTGATGTGCATGAATGATTTTCTGTCATGAAGGATTTAAATATGAAACAAAATCAAAGCAACTATGTACATTGTATACTTTGGTATTTGTTTTCATATCACAGGTAAACACCACTCAAGATTTTTTCATACAAGTCATGGAAGTGAATTAAGTAAGGAAGGTAACTGTAATAAATAAGGTTATTATTTTTACCTGAAAGTGAAATATGCTGTTTTAGTTAGGTATGTAAGTGCATAATGTGAATTAGCGGCATATGCAATCAGGAGTTATTCTTAAATCACAGTACCATTACGTCAGTGTGTACAAGGTCAGAGAATTTGGTCAGTGTTGTCTCCAAGCTCTGGCAATTCGCTTTAATATGTTAAAAATAGCAAATGATGAGTATAATGACACTCGTTATGTTGAAATTGTGCTAGCTAACAATAAGCATGACCGCTCACAAGGTCACCTACTGAAAAGTCTATCCCAGTGCTTTCTCCTTTCTTTGCTCTAATATATAATAAGCGAGTCCGTCTAGAAATTGCAGTCGGGCAATGAAAAATCTAAAGAGACATAAGAGGAGTGCCAGCCTGGCACTGAATTTAGTCACAAGGTCCAACAAATTACGAGTAGTCAGAGTCGTCTGGAGGTTGTCAGTTCACGCTCAATAATCGTTAACCAATTTTCTTAGATCTTTCTGTACATGTTCATTAGAGTGTCAAATTGAGTTTTCCGAACCCACTCATCCTCAGTTCACTCTTCTTTCACGAGAAATACATACGTCTATAATTTAACCACATGTATGTACAGATTAATAATTATTTCGATTTTCGGAGCCATAACTGATGTGAAATTGCAGCAAAATTGCATTTGACTCCTAACCGAACTGTTCGTCATGAGCATAAGTATGAATTCACCATATATTATAATTTCCTTTGAAAAATAAATTTGCCTCATGTTTATTTAAGCAGTAATTTTTTTTGGTAGAGTTTGTCTTGATGTCAATAACTTTTCTGCAGATGAGACTAAACATGCTTATTACGAGTCTAGTCTCTTTTTTGCTTTAAAAGAAGTTCATTTGATGTTTATTACATAAGAAAAATAAGCCATTCATGGGCTGAAGCTAAAATCCGATATCTATTTTTATTCAAAATCCATCATGTCGTCGTCGTCCGAGGCCATGGCACACTTTCGAAGCTCTTTTTTATCCACCGCATCCGTGCAACCGATTTAACCTGGGTGGGAAGCAGCAGGTGGGTATCAAATTTCAAAGAGGGCTCTTGACCTGCTAAAACAGTGTCCCAAACTACAAATTAATTGTACCAACTTTGGAAAGCAGATTTGGCTTTGTTGCTATGCTGTGAGGGTAACCTTACTTGTCCATTTTCAATCAGTGGGACCATGCCAAAGGAAATGAAAGCCCTCAAGATTTGTCCTACTTTCTCACGATTCCCAGCTCAGCACATCGGTGAATGTCCTCGAAATCCAACTGTTCTGTTGTCAAATTCCTCGAATAATGTGGATGATGAGTTGGAAATTGGAGAATAATTACAAGAACATGACCGAGATTCTCGGAATGGATATGCGTAACAACAGAGCTAACCTAGATAATTAGTTACTGAGCAGTCTTTGTCATGCATTGCAATGGGCGTGTGTATGTGTGCATAGGTAGACACACAGACGTACTATTGACAAGGTGTGCTTTCTCCGGCTTCCCATCCACCACGCAAATTGACCCACTTAACTTTATGAGGTTTGTTTGCTCTGATTTGGTATTTGGTGTGAAAATGTGCGCCTCTGATTTACTGCTGGCTGGGTGCGTAGGATGGGTCGTTAACTAAATGCTTGTGTTGAGTAGAAGTTACCCGTTCTACTTCGTAGAAAACCTCGAACAACGGCCAGCCTGGTGTTAGCTGATGATGAGTAAGTGTAATAGGTAACAGTAAGAAATACTTGTCAGACGACCAAAAAGTCAGTAATTTGAAATAGTTATTTAGTGATTTACTAGTAAAATATTTCAGACTTGCAAATGCATCAAGTTTAATATTCAATCTCTTTATTTGAACAAATAAAATTAAACGTACATGTATTCTTAAAATGTATTACTGCAACTTTGTGCGGAATGTGGGGTATTAAATATTTTAATCATTAGCAATGAAAATATTCTTAATGATGACGGATAAATTGCATATTACAAATGATCAACACAAGAAGTATACCCAACATTATGGAATCTTGTAAACTAATAAAAACGCGGAATTTTCCTGGGTTATTGTTTTGCAGGAAGAGAATGAATTTGAGCACATTTAGTATCTTTTTGTGTGATATTGTGTATTTATCAACTCTTTGCCTGCATACTTTTCGCATGGAAAAAACCCACCAACGATTTGAACCTATAAGTTTAATCTATATTGTTTCGGAACTGCGATTCTATTATTGCGCCAATGTTTCCATTCTGTTCGTGAAATGCGTTCTCACCCGTTGATAATTCCATTTTTATTGCTCCTTCTCCACAACTACAGCTTGGACTAAATCCTGTTTGTACGTATTAAATGACAAATCCTTAGTGTCTCTTAATGGGGGATAATTCGCTGAGCAAGAGCCTGCTAGGTTCGCATCGAGTCAAATGTCTCATATGAAATTAAATATTGCTTGCTTTAAGAAATCGTATCCGTATGGCCCCAATAAGTGAAGTTGTAGATATGAGATAGATGCAGCTGGATATTGGGACTTGGGACCTTATATTTCTCCGATAATTATTCTAAAAGTTGCGAAAATGTTTCTAAAAAGTTTACTAAACGATGCAATTGTACTCGAACTTTTTAATTTAACTAATTGACGTAGGTTCATAAAATTGAATTGTTAAAAATAAATACCTCGACTCATTTTGTACTGCTCAAGCCCAACTAAACTGAACATTTTCTTGTTGCAGTTCAACCTGGTGTCCCATTTTTCTAGTGTTTTCCGTGGAAAGTTGAATTCACTTTGTTGGCGACATGTTAGACACATTCAGAGGGCGGTGAAGCAGAGAGGGATACCCACTTGCCACTTGCCATCCAATTCTCAAAATAAACCCGAGATTTGTTTTATCGCTTGTGCCACGAAGTACATACATAAGTGCAAAATGTTCAAATAAACAATGGATGGCGTCTGGATAGGGAAAGGTCATCAAAACAAATAAAATCGTGATGAGCACGTTCGTTCGAAAACGCCATTTTCATTGCTACGATTATTATTTAAGAGAAATGAATCTGCGTCTCAACTTTCACCGATATTTTCATTACTCGTGGCTGCATGTAGTCCTCGATGTACCCAGCCATCCTATCACACACCGGTTTACAGTTAAGTGACAAATTTATACTACCGCTGCACAGAGTAGACAAAATCAATAATAAAAGCTATTTGTACCCTTGCATTAGTTTATGTAATTCTTGAATACACAAAGGAATTGAGCGTCGTCGTGGCACACACGAGTCTGCTCCCAATGGCTTAATATTCAAATTTTAACGGAAAATGAAATAAGCTCTGATGCAGCGAAAGATTCACTCGCTGGTGGTGGTGGTATTATTGTCATTGTACAAAATAAACTTGACATTGCTTGCTCCATTATTAGGAGCCGGTCAATGCGGTGTTTGGTGGGAAGAAAGTGGTGGAAAGTGCATGGTCGCAAACGTATGTGTCTAAAATGCGTATTAGGAGAGAGAGAGCCCAATATTTTATAAGGGAGCCAGTCACGTACGTGTATGTTTGCGCTGGATTCATGGAGCGAGTGGTGCTGGAGAGAGCGAGATTGTGTCGTCGTCGTCTCGTAATGAGAGGTCGGAGAGGGGGTACTGAGCATGGGAACCAAATCTCAAAGCAAAGGTTCCCACGCGACTGACACGCGTTCTATTCTGTGATCCCACAACACAATCCGACCACTTTTTCAGACCTGGTCACCACCACCATTAAACCACGTCCTGTCCCTTTCGCATGCAACCAGCTCAAAACTTCGCCTGCTTTTCATGGGAAATCTTCAACCACAATCGAAAATTACACTTTAAGCTTTTCTCTGCTAAACATCATTTCCATTTCGTTCCCGCTTTTTGCTCCTTCTCGACAAATTATATCGTGTATGGAGAATGAGATCAATCTAAATCAAGGGTTTATCCTCGATGAAAATCCCGCAAGTGCATAAGCACAACCAGAGTTTTTATGAATGAGTCGTTTCTTTAATGATTTAGAGATGCTAATAAAAATCTGTCATCAGAGTTTTCATTCGTGTGATTTAATTTCATGTGCTATTATCGCGTTTCTAAAATACAATATTTTTGAGATCTGTCCTAAAGCAATCTAATATTATTTCACTTTCACATTTGATAAACGTTATCTTACTATAAGTATACTCTATTTTGCATATTTTCATTACTATATTATTAACATGTTTGAAAAAGTAGAATATATTGCGTTGTGATACATATTTAAATATTGTCATAATAAATTAGTTAGCGCATATGCATTATATATTTAGTAGTACGGTATGTATGTAAATACGTTCAAAATATTGACCTGATAAGGTACAGATATGTTTTAAGTATGTCGTGAAATTGTCAAATGTTTGCTTTTATGACCAAGCAAACATTCAATCAACCATTGCTGTGACTAGAGTACTTTACTTTGCAAGTTTTTTTCACTACCGGCTATCTCGCTAGCATATATTACATAAAAAGTAGGTAGAAAAATTATTTTCATCTTTGTCAGTCAAAGTAGAGCAATACTTGCAAGTCCGTAGCGTTTACAATCTCTTGGAATTCGAATGGAAGAGTAGACAAAGGCGTGTTCCATTTATTTTTTCAAGGAAATATATAGGGCACGGAAGAAGGAAGTCGCAGACGAAGAGTTTCCTTTTATTAGTTTGTAGACTGAACTATTTCTATTAGAGGAAATCCACCAAATGTAGTTCTACTCCAGAAAGTTTACCCAAAAGTTATTGGCCGTTCATATCTATTGTTGTGAAATAATAAACAATTGTTGTTCCGCCGACTCCTCTTTCGCAATGTGGGAACAGCTACTTATAAGTCTCCAGATGTGGCTGTTTTGTGCAATAATTTATTATGCTTTCACCTCAAAGGCTAACCTGACATGCCACAAAACTAATTAATTATGTCTTTGTGCACGTTCACCGGAACTGAGAAAGATATGTATCTATATATAAACTGGAGAAAGTGGGACAATCCACTGAAACACACGTAATCCATTCATCTTTGCAGGCTCGAGGATTTAAATGCTCCTTATCAATCACTCTTATGATGACGATCAAAAGATCCGACGGGTGAAATGAGATTGCTCTCAAGTGGGGAAAAATAGGAAGTCGCTGTCATCAGCTCCGCAGGTAATCGAACCCGTCTTGGATACAATGGTGGAAAGTGAAATAAGTGGAATGTGAATAGTGCTCATTGTAAAAGAATCCTCATAAAGCTCTTCCTCTCCAATTCGTGAACTCTAAGAATAGCAGGAATAAAGAAGTCCAGAGAGTGCAAAAGCGGGGAAAACACATCTATTTTCCTACCTCCCTCTTTCTCTCTCCTCTTGAGAGAGATCCTCTATTTGAGGATATTTATCTCCTGCAACCACATTCTCCTATCCATCCATACATATTCTCTCTCCAGTGCTTTGACCAGTCTGCTCACTTTCACTTCCGGGGTCTCTTTCAAGTGAATACGCACTCAAAGTTGAACAAGGAGTTGGAAGACAAACTTGAGATGGGATTTCCCATTGTGCTATTTCTAATCCGTTAAAGTGCATGTTGTAAGCATTTCGGCGAGAATAATAAGAGTTTCCAGAGTTTACTACTTTTGTTGCTTGTGTGTAATGTTGTGCAGCAGGTAGATAGATGTGCATCGATATCTTGTTGGTTTATGCATGCGTTTTGCGTTGCATGTAAAGAAAACGACCTAGTTTACATAGAAGAGAACAATAAATCTTTCTCACGATCTCACTACTGACGCCTTATTGTGACTGAGCAGAATTTGCATTGATGAGAGAAATCTCACTTTCCCGGCTCAACGCTCTGCTTCCAGTCGAGCTCCTTCACAAAGTCGGATATTCTTATAGGAATATCTTGAACTCGTGACGTAACTTCCTGATCACATAAACATTCTACTTGGAAATATGTATAAGTACGAGTAATAAATAGATAAATAAATATTGCAATGTGTATATGGAACCATTTCACTTACAACAAATGACTGCTTAAATATTATGCACACGTTTTGTAACAATAATTTGATGATAACGATTAATTATAACGATTAATTTGTATCATTAGTGTTACAAATAAATGAACTTAGTAAGCCAGCTCGGCTCCCCAAGGTCGATATGGTTTGCCGCTCTGACCAGGATAGTTCTGAGGATGGTTGGGCATCCCGTACGGACTGGTGCTGGTCATGGGCCCGCCATTGGGGTTGTACTCCCTCGGAATGTGACTGCCGTTGAGGTGGTGGTGTGGAGGATGGTGGTGGTTTGGGGGTGGTGGGAACAGGGTCCTCTGTCCCATTTGAAGGTGTCCCTGGTTTATACCGACATCGTGACCCATGGCTGGACTACTGGACGAGCCCGAGGATGAGGAGGAAGTGTTGAGATAGTTTTGCTGGTTATTGTTATTGTTGGAGGGAGAGGACCCGTCCATGATGAGCGAGGAAGGGTGCTGAGATCCTGGTGGTAGAGGCGTGGCCATCGGCAGCCCTCCTGCACAGACAAATAATTAAAAATTACCAATTACCATCGATGAAATTGAACCACAAAGTAAATGCAATTCTCTAAACAGCAAGAGTTCAATTTTATATATCGAATAATGATCTTCAAAAACAGGTTGGTGCAAGTGGGGATGATGGTGAGGCTCAACTTTCCCAGGACTTTTGTGATGGACTGTGAGCCATTACTGCACAGGAAGAAGCCTTTGAGATTGATGTGAGATGGATGTGGGAAAGAGTCAATAACACAAACATTTTGTGTACCCTAATTCCTTGGTCTCTCACTCAATCTCATCGATTCTCCCTTTGTTTCACCGTCCACAATTGGTGTTTTATTTGGCCAACAAAGGGGAGGAATGAAAGGCGTGAAATTAGCTCTGGTCCTTAATACAGCTCTCGATAGTGGAGTTTTATTACTCTGAAAATCACCCAACTCCGACCAGTGAAAGGATGGCAACTAATAGAAAGATTACATGTTTTCTAATGAAAATGATATGCTTCTCGGCCTGCCCACGTTTAAAAAGGTGAGATCTTTCTCAAATTTTTGTTGGAAAGCACACATTCAACCGACTAGACTAGACGAGTGTAATTCGTATATGAGATGGGGCAATATGAGCAATGCCAGATTTTTTCTTCGAACCTGAAAATTTCCTTAATTTAATAAGTGAACTCACAGGAGGAAGTAAATTCAACAGAAACAGCGCCGCTCGTTCCCCACGAGAGAGAGTGATAAAACCATTCCCATTTTCCTTATTTATGTCATTGAGAAAAGAAGAAAAAGTGAAATAGGAACTTGCTTAATCCGAGTTGCACTTGGTAATAGATATCTCAAGACGTTGAGCAGGATAGGTCTTACACATGTAATCCTTTGGAACATGACACAAAACCGGACAACATGTAAAAGCAGCGAGGATTGTGAATTATTTCCATTGGTTCAAAGATCATCTCGGCATGCCCCTTCGTGTTCTCTTGCTGCTCAAGTTAACTCGACTTTATTTAACCAGGCGAGTAATTTATTGTTCATAGTTCATGCTGATTGAAAATGGAGCTAAACAGGAAAATATTATGTGTATCATATCAGATCCACTTGAATATGAGTCCTATCGCTGCCCTTTGCCTTCTCTCTCTCTCTCGAGTGAAGAAGAAGGCAAAAAAGAAAGTGAAGGATCGGTTTTGTTAGTTGACTGGTGTCATGCTGAGAGCTGAGACCGATTGACATGAAAATAAGAACCTCTCTACATGACACGGGGAAAGAACAGTGTGAAACACAAGACTCGGAGGACTTTGAGTTCCCGACACTGCTGACCCATTTGTCTTCTTCCTTAACCAACAGCCTCCCTCAGCAAGTGTACATCTTGTTACTAAATACATATACTCTTGGCTGGAATAAGATTTGAAACTCTGAACGGGCGAGGAATGCACATTTTGAAATGTTGCATGAAATTTTTAAAAATGTATGAGATAAACATGAATAAGTAAGTAGTAACAAGTCATGAGATTGGCGATGCTCTTCATTTTTTACACAAGTGAAAGATTATATTTAGTTGGTATTGAATGATAATAAAAACTTACCAGAGTTTGCAGAATTGTTGGCGGACGATGGGAGGTGGTGCGTGGGTGTTGTCAAGGGGTAGGAATGATTTGGCGTGAGGGGGTTAAGTCCCCATGAGGAGGCAGAAGCCTGTTTGTTGGCCAACTCCCGCTGGGCGGCAAAACATTGCAAATGTGACATCAGTCGTAGCCGCAAAGGGTCCTGAATGTCCATCCCTTCCACAGCGACCAAGTATCGAGCAACCTCCGCTGCAATTAAATAAATAAACATCACGTAAACTGTAAGGGAATGGTTTTCTGACAAATTATGATCTTACCAGCAGCCTCTCGAAATCCGATAGAATGATAATCCATTGCAAACTTGTGCGGGTCATAGGCCAAAGCATCCAGTCCTGCAAACGACAGACAAGGAAATATTAAAATGATAATTTTATTACAATGAATGGGAGCAATAATCATTGCAGGGAGGAAGTAGTAAATGCTGCGAAAGTGCATCAGTACTTGGAGTAGGACATTTTACGTGGAGAAAGAGAATGTCATAATTTTCATTTGTTAGAGACGCCGGTTGCCTTCTTTCGCTAACGATCATGCTTACACATATTCTCCTCAAACATAACTATGATTGTCTGAATCTTGATTTCTTCCCATGTGTCGCCGGTTGCTGTCATAAATGACGGAATTTTTTGTGCTCCACAAACTACATGATAGTACTCTACACATCTCGAAAAGGAATCAGGACGAGACAAGGGGGGAAAATACATAAAAAAGGGAGCATGCCTCCTCTTCCATAATAAACACTGGAGAGAGAGAGAGATGTTTTATAGCTCCACGCATCAATGCATCCTTAATAAAGCGCACTTCGGGACTATAATGACTCTAATCTTAACGTAAAAGTATGATCTTCTGCCATAAGTAATTCATCTTTGCCCAAAAACTGGCAAAACTACCAAATCCAATCCACTGACAATGCAATCACTACCTGCCACGACAAGCAGGCACTTTTCTCTCTCATATCATGTACTCAATACTAACAGTCTGCACCTAAAATGTATTACTTATCAAGATGATTATCCCTCGTCTGAGATAATTATCCTCAAATTCTACCCTTAATTCCGGCTAGTTCACGACTCCTGTTTTTTTATGTCTCAAGAATCAAACCACTATGTTGTATGTACAGCATTGAAGGCGAGCCAGCCAGCCACTCACTCATTCGCTCGGTGAAAGGAGAGAGACGGCTCAGTTGCAGCACATTTTCATGTAATGCATAATCTGCGGAGAATAATTCATCGTAATTTTAGGGACCGATACCGAATTTCGTCTGGTGAGCAAACTGGTTTTGTTTAAAACTGAAAAAATTTTAACGCGAGACTGACTCAGATCAGACAGTTTGCTTGCTGGTTGGCTACTCGAGATCAATATGCTTTTACTTTGTTTTGCTGAAATATCGTTTGCGCCCACTTCATATCTGATCTTGGCGTACATATTCCTTTCTGGCATTTTAATGGTTTAAGCACTTCGTACAAACTGCATACAACTCAGCTTGCTTCATCCTTACGTATGTATGTAGATACGTACTACTTCTTCACACAAAGGAGCAAAAGGGTTGTTTACATGCTCATGCACTCCCTGAATTCTGAAATTGGTCAAATTAACCTGCCTGTCTATCTATTCTGCATCCAATAATCCAATCGAAGTATCGAACCATCATGCTCATAAAACAGTCCCTCCATAGCGGACGCCTTGGCCCAACCTACAATTATTATATCATATTCAACAGAACGCAAATTAATTTGATTACACTCTGGTATGTGCACAACCTATATTACTTTTTGAATATTCTTCGTCTCGAGAAGAAAAAAAACTTTCTCACAGATTCCTTCCGACCAGGGAGCATCGACAGCAGCAACTGGTGAGCTAATGGTATCTTACTAGGCAAAAAAGTGGTGTAGCAGTACGCTTCTCATGCACCATCAGTCAGAAGCAAGTAATTTATGTACAATACGTTTTCCATGCTTTGGAAAAAATATTACACGCGTGAACTTTCCAGCCCAAAGAGATCCCTCCCCGTTCCCATGAATGTAGAAGAACAGGTCACAGTTCTTGTCAACTTATTAACTCAACAAACTCGATGTTCAGACTTTTGAACATTTCAGAAACTGAAAAATTCCCTAGAAAAACTCGAGATTAGTTTTATTATGCACAGTCGTATGTGCATACATGCATATGCATATCGACACGGATGTAACTACAAAACTTATTTAGTGTTGTTTTATAGTTGGAGAAAAGTTGATCCTATTCATTCCAGTTTTAAAAGAGGTTGTGCTCGAGAACTTATGGGACCAAACTTTGTCTGCATGTATGCAGACAAAGTTTCAATAAGTATGTAGTTGACTTTCAAGAAACTGGAGTTTTGACCCAAACATAAGACAAGTCATGATATGGATTGTGTTTTTTTGTTATTTTTGGACCCTTTTCTAATTTACTTATTTCATCTCATTTATTTTATGGCTGTTTGTTGGGTTAATCTATAGCGAGACTCTTTAACCACCGTTTTTAAGGGGCATTTGTAGGAAACAACATGATCTTTGATCTCGTGGGTAGTAACCTTATGATTTCTCCTACCCTTTAGTTTACTGGGATGGGCTTGATCGTGCCCACTCTACAAACTATACCCACTCTCAATAATACGAAAATCACTTGAAACCGACCTTTGTTTAATCTTCACATCTCATTATTCTCCACTTTACACAAAAAATAATAATTACACAAGCACAATCTTGCATCTGCATAATGTGATTTTAGCTAATCCAATTAATTTGCTACAGAAATCGTTAGTATACTTTGCGAATTCTGAAAAGTGGCCAATCTGGTTTTCTAAAATGTCCAATAAGTCGTTTATTCTTGATGTTTGATTGATTTGAGGTAAACCATTCTAATTCTATAATGCGCAATAAAGATAAAGAGTTCTCAATTGCAAATTGACTTTTGAGGTGAAATAAAAATGGTCATAAATAATTGATTTCTACTTTACAAATCACGACAGACCATTTTATTGCTCCGAGTTATATTGCCATCGTATCTGTGGCACCAAGAAGCTACACTCGATTCATCTAACTGTACTCTAATCGAGATGATAGATTGTGATATGTGATTTTAGCTAAGTATTTATTTATCTGCTACTGAAATTGTCTGCGAGCGAATGAGATGATGAAAGTGCATGTAATTCACTACAACTTATGAGTAAACACTACTATAAAATCATTGCATTTTGTTGGATGTCAGGTTCCCAGAAAAGAAAAAGAACTGTTTCTTTTGTCATTCCACTAAATAATCGAGTTAGTCTCTTCACGGACTGCACTTGTTATCTCAAGTTTACCTGCCGTCGGTCCTTTGCTGACTTGACATGTTCAATGAAAAGCGCATAAATCTGTTGCATGGCTTTTATGAGAAACTAAAACTCTGTCCCAAAATCTTTACCTTTCTCACCACAAAACAAACCATATGAGCCGCAATCCCTGCCAAACGCTACCATAAGGTTGCTCATGTAATCCGAACCTCAAACCCCACGTATTGGTTTTGAGGTATTTACTTGTAATTCCAACGAGCTTTGTTCTTGTTGGCAAGACATAGAACCAGTTAAACTTTAGTAAAATAACAATTATCCATGAGTTACGAAACCACACTATTCAAAACCACTAAAAGTCTGTTATCCATTTATCATAAGAAGAGTAATAATAATATATGCGTACTTTATGCTGTTGTGGAATCAAAACCACTTCCATGCAATATGCAACCGTATTAAGTAGTAAAACTATCTGGTACAAAAATGATTTTGCTGGGAATAAATACGCATTTCACGTGAACCGTAAAAAGAAGCAGTTAAATGAGTATTTGCATTTTAATCTGTTTATGGTCCCTGTGGATGGACGGTCAAAGTCATTTCACCAATTCGAAAAGTTGTGTACAACACATCCTAAAATAATAATTACGATGATGCACAAGTCACAACGAGGTAGGAACAAGTAGACTTTTTTAAACAATATTCGGTAAACTGTGAGAAAGAAGTGGCCGAGAATTATGGAATAGTACTGCGTCGCATTATAGAAAAGCAGGTAAACATTATTATGGATGAACTTCATTGCTTTTGTTGATTATCATTAAAGAGATGTAGCCAACAGTGTAGAATTTACGAGAATGAGATGGGGATGTGAGCAGAATAAAATAAAGTGAGATTTTTAACCAACAAAATTAACAAGAAATCCATACTGAGTCCAATTTAATCTGGGGAAAGAAAACGTGATTTTCTTGGTTTTCTTAAGTAGTTGCCGCTGACTGACTAAGGAGGGGAGGTTGTGTACTATCAACTCCCGGATCTCGATGCCCTTTGGATATGTTGTAGTGTCCCATGAATGAACAAGAACCCTGAAGTGGTTTAATGCCATGGCCACATTTGCGCCCGCCACACCCACTCAAAGGTGCCCAAAAATCGCTTTCACTCTAGCTTTCACCCATTCAAAACCACACCAAAAATCCAATTTTACTCGGATTTTGAAATTTCTTTGACCATTATACTCCCAGATAGTTTCTCTCTTATATCCAACATCAAACTCAACTTTCTGAAATTTTTAGTATTTTTAAAATTTAAAATTCTGAATTAGCATTGTTGTGGTTATCAACAAAGCAAATTATGGCTGCGAAATAATCATCAAAAAAGTTGAGTTTGATGTTGGATACCAGAGAGAAACTATCTGGGAGTATAATGGTGAAAGAAATTTCAAAATCGGAGTAAAATTGGATTTTTGGCGAGGATTTGAATGAGTGAAAGCTAGAGTGAAAGCGATTTTTGGGCACCTTTGAGTGGGTGTGGCGGGCGCAAATGTGGCCATGGCATTAAACCACTTCAGGGTTGTTGTACATTCATGGGACACTACAACATATCCAAAGGGCATCGAGATCCTGGAGTTGATAGTACACAACCTCCCCTCCTTAGTAAATGATGAGAAGATTTGATCACTTTTATTTCCCAACTCAAAGAACAACATGCCGAGCGAGCCCAACAAATCATGTACCATTTTAAAAGATTAATAAGTAAGACTTGGGAAACAAAATGTGCATTTTAAGATGAGTAGAGCAAGATGTAGGCAACAATGAGAGCTGATGTAGTTTTAGTAGTGGTCGTTGATAATTACTCTTATCTCAGCAACACTCATCCCACAAATCTTTTGAAATCCTTTGAAATCACAACAATAGCAAAAAATATAAAAAAAGTGTTTCATATAGTTTTTAATGAAACGAGATCATGGCAGGAGGCACAGGAGGAGACGAGAAGGGAGCAAAAGAACGAGATATTCGGTGAGCCCTTTCCACCTTCAACTCTGATTTCACGAGAAATCTCGTTCTGGGCGCCAGACAATAATTTTCTGGTCGGGCACGGTCAAAGGTTGTGATCAGCTTTGTTTAACACGGAGGATCCAACTTGGCCCTAGCTGCCTCTGTGGCTGTATTTCTACGCTTGGGCCGGTGGAGCAGTGAGGTAGGTAGGTTAATGGGAGAAGGGAATCAATTCAAAAGTGTTTCACTTCGTCTCGAGTTATAAAAGTTATAAACACGTCGTGTCCGCATTAATATTATTATTATGATGCATGATGTGGTCTTATTAGAGGCTGAGCCAACCTCGTGAGGAAGATGATGAAGATTAAGGGAGGAATTAGTATTTCGTCTTATTACCACCTCCGCCTCCCTACTTCCAAAACCACTTCTGATGAACAACCCTTTCCAGCCTTTTAACTTTAAACCTATAATTTCGTCCCTTTTAATCACTATCATTAGCCATTGGGACTCGTCTCGTTGATCATTTAATAATTTGAATATGCCTTTTTGGCAATTAAAATGCCTCACCAATGACCAATATGGAGGAGGCCAATATCGATTTGTGGAGATGCATAAGATGCGATGCTCTTCTATAATGAAGAAGGACTACAAGTAGATAGATGCACACATAACTAAACTCCAGTATAATACATACATAGGTGTAAGCATACATTCTCTGAGATCATTAGGACTGAAAAGTCAAAGAATTCCACGATAAAAGTGACGAGGGATAAGGGGATAAGGGACACATTTCCCAAGAGTCAGTTTGGTCATTAATACTTACCTTTGGCATGAAGCATCTTCAAATGGTCGACTGTCATCTGAAGTATCTCAGCTTTTTCTATAAAATCAAAAATGTTCAAAATGTTCAAACACATATTTATTATCACGTAATGACATTCACGTAGCAACTCCAGATCTAGGAAAAAAGCACTAAAGAAGTCCTTACCCAGCTTCGAGGAGCCCTGTTTCTCAAAGGCAGTGGGAACCAGCCTTCTCAACTACAAATAAACAAGAAGAAGTTTTTTAATGATTTTTAATGCCATGTTTAAGGGGGACAGAGGCACGGTTGCTTTATATGTACATACCTCGCTGAGACTGTTGTTGATTCTATCACGCCGTCTCTTCTCGATGATCCCACGACGCTTCTTGCGACTCACATTGTGACCACCGCCACCACCTCCAGCGTCCGATCCCGGTGGTGTGATGCAACTGCAAATAGAAAAGAAAGGCTTGTGAGACCGAATGTAGTAAAGTGGTGGACACATTGATAAATTGTCACACGTAAATTGTTCTGATCGCACCTGACGATCCCTTCAAACGTATGTACTAGTCACACTATAGCACGTTTAAAACATTTGACCCTTCTCAGAGAGTGTACTTGGGGGGTTCCAAATAAGACCAAATTGTAGCTAGCACCAAGACAGACTCGACAGGCAAAGCATTCACATAAAGTAGCTTACACTGCCGACCTAGAGGTTTTCCCATCAGAAATGGGACCTATTATTATTACCTTCTTTCATTAGTGTCTCGTTAACACCTCGACTCTATCTCTCTCCTGGAAGGAGGGGTACAAATCCCACGTCCATGTGCATTCCAAATTCCTTTCTCTCTTTGCAGACTTAATATTATAAAAATATCTCGCATTGACGAAGCCGAATTCTCTCTATTATGACTCTTAGTGCGGTGTCCTTTTAAAATGTTTTACACCCGCAACACCTCTCCTTGACTTGTGGTGATTCAACAAAGACGGTAGAAATTTGGCTTATGATTTATATCATTACGCAGGCATCATGTTTATTGTTGCGGTAAAAATAAACTCCATTCTATTCATTCATAAAATATACGTTCGTAAGGAGGTAGACCCTAACGCAATGCAATACACATCAAGCGATTTGATTCATATTCCCCCATCCTACTTAAGTTAAGCATGCATACAACACAAATAATTGGTCAAAAATAATTAAGAATTAGATAAGCTCGGCAGCCAAATTTGGCGTTTGAGGCGAAATGAGACACCTCAGCTGAGACTGCTTTCTCTCATCCTGTCTCACTTTCACCCATCGTTGCGTTGAGCGGAGAGCAGCATTCTCCGTCTTCCTTCGCCCGAATCTATATTTCCTTCCCACACCACATCCTCGACTCTTTGAACGTATGTCTCAAGTCTATTCACCTCAAGCCTCGAGGAGAAAGCGCTATTACGCACAGACCACTCCACTTTACACACCACCCACACTCGCGTCGTATCCAGGACTGGTAGCGAAGGACGCTTCGTCCAAACTAGCTTTTATATAGCTTTATGTACTATCTGCAGTAATCCCTTTGCGCTGATCAAACTCAATCACGGACGACTGACAAATCTTTGAAATGTTCAATTTTGACACGACGTTGAGATCAAACTTTATGGTGCATTGTTCGGCCTACGTTTCATTTTTAGGTGTCTGCTAGGAAAAATCTCAAAGTGAAATGACTGATCTAATCTGACCTGGGCGTAATGAGAATCTGGTGGAAACATTGGATTTTGAACGCTACTCCTCCACGCTATTTTTCAGACTGGATGATCAGAAGATTTACAGAGTCCCGTCGTTCGGGGTAATATGTACAATTCCTTGACTTGTACGAAATGACATTTTCTAACTTGATCAAAGAAATGTGCATAATTGAATGAAGCGTTTCAGTCCAATTATTTTGGAGCATATTCCATTCATCCATTCATTCACTCATTTTCCGCTTCTATCAATTAGCTCAGTGAGAACTAATTTCCCGGTCATTGACTTAAGGACACGTTCACAAGTTACTACATTTCGTACCAAAGTATTTTCTCACCAAAATGAGAATATGCTTACCTGTCTTTTGTGTCTGTAAATAAATCCTCACAGTCGCTGTCGCTCAGGGCTCGTTTGGCCATCGTGCTGCTGCTCGCCGACGGGCTGGGGCTGCTGATTGTGTGGGAGGTGAGCGTAGAGGAGGTGTTGTTGTTGAGGTGGTTGTAATTGTAGTTGTAGTCGACAAAGGCGATTCCGGGAGCTGAAGGAAATGCTTCCAGTTTCAGAGACGGGAAGGAAGGCACGGAATGATGCATCAAGAAGACCGGGTGAAAGCTTGGTCTTGATGGAGAAAGTATTTCGTAAAATTTAATATGCGAGAGGCCTGCGAGTCAGCCTGTCCGCACTTCACTTTCGATGCTGACTATGCAGACTTGATTTATTTTGAGCAGAATTATTGAGATGGAAATTTGGGTGGTGTCACTTTCCGTGGTGAACAAGATTTTGGCTTGTCATTCCAACGAGATTGAGTTAGCGTGCTGGGGCAGTCTTGGATTATTGGAGTAAAAGTAGGCTAAATCTTCTCTTTCCCACGATCGATCCAAACCTGTTGCCTCAATCTATCGCTTATCGTAACTTGGTGGTTGGCAAAACTCTTGCTGAGAGAGTAGTTTGTCAACTTGTGTTTCTTAATTCTTTTGTGTTTGCACAAGGATAATTTTGCTATAAAACTGTCATTAATCTAGATCTAGATCTGATTTTATAACACGTAATATAACATCTAATCTGTTTTCATCAGTTCACACGTGTTACTTGGCTCAGTAAATGTAATACTGTTTGAATAATTAGTGGATGCTTGTACAAAAGTGCACTGAATTGTTTTCAATTATTCAAATCCATGAAAATTTTGTCAAGTTGTTTTACTAGTTTCACGAATCTCACAACAAGCTCACTTTATCAGAGTCTCAAAACGCCTCTTTTATGGTTTTTCACAGTTTCACGGTTTTAACCCGGCTTCCATTAGTATCGTGTTTCACAAAACTTACAAAATTTGAACAATTTCAGCTCAAATTTAGGAAATTCTCTTTTCGGACTGAGGTAAGGTCAGTTTGGACGAAGAGGAAGTTGGTTGTTGTCCGTCCTCGTGTGGCCACGTGTCTGACGGTTGCATTGCAAGTGACGGCCGGTCGACCGACGGACCGTGTGCCTGGTAGAATCCTCAGTGCGTATTATTATTATGCCCTGCATGAGAATACGCACTATAGACCAGGCCCTATTGAAAGGAAGGCTGGCTGGGACCCTTCATTCGAACCCCTGGTTCCCTTTCACCCTCCAGTATCCATCCAATGTTGTGGAACTTGTAAACTTGGCCTATGTAGCAGTGGGACACGAACTGAAGCCACGGTCCGAGCGTGGATACCTTATTTAGAGGAGATGCTATCAAGCACTTGGAACGAAGGTGGGCATAGCATGGCACGACTCCTCTTTCGCACTAACTAAAGGCAGATACGCAGAGGGTCGTGATCACCAGCAGCAGTAGTATTGTCGTCGTCGTGGATAACCACCCTTCCACTGTGGGCACACATACAAAATGAACGCACACACGTTCCGGCATACGTCGGAGGAAATTCGTTCACGCGTTGCAATTACTAAAGTTTGCAATTTTGATTGGAGCATATTTGGCAAATTCATTTTCCTCTAGGGCTGCTGATAAACTGGGAGATTAGCAGAATTGATTTGAGCCTTGACATATTTTTTAATTGTCATAAGTATCACACTTATTGCTTTCCACGTAGCATTTTTCGGTGTGCACATGGTATATAAGGAGTTGTAAATACGGGGCAACAGAGTCTGTTAAGGCTCCCTCCACATTCGAATAGCGTAGAAATACATGAATGAGTGAGTGCGAGGATTCCCTATTATTCTCCATCTCATAAAACTACCCCTTACAGATTGGATTTTGACTTGTTGTATGGTTACGATTCATTCTATCATCCACTCCATTGTGCACTTCTTCTTCATGGGGTTTAAAGTTGCTCAGAGATCGTGAGAACTGGATTTTTTCTGCTGCTGTCGGCCCGCCTGCATCCCTGCTTACTTACTGATACTTACCAACTTTTTCGCATGGGTCTCTTAATAGCTTCCCATCGTCATCCCATCGTCAGGCCGAACACTCATCCATCGAGCAACAGCAGCAGCCTCCGTGCATGCATACACTTGTTTTTTTATTCATAAAATGTATGAACTAAGTATGCTCATAACTTAAGAAAAAGAAAATGTATCTATCCATCTCTCTTCCATTGTCGTTCTTATTATTCCTCCCCGTGCAATGCATTACAACTTGTGCGTCAGCTCTGTCTGTGAGTATGTGGAATTAATAAAAGGACTTTGGAGACGCTCCCTTCATTCCGACGTATCAACGTAACGATGTACAATCAAGTCGTGGCAATTCTGTAGGAAGACGCTCATGGGTTTGCTAGTTAGGATTTGTCTCCCTGGTCTAATGGTAAGTAATGTCGAGGTAAATTCTTGGATGGAATTCTTCCGACTTGCAGTCTTACCCAACGGGCACCATACCACGTCGTCTCAATTTCTCAAGGAGGTCCGTCAATTCAGAATAATATTATCATCGTCTCTTATTATTAAAGTGATGTAGGAGGAATCTCGCTGCTGTGGGGAGTGAGTCAGGAGTGGATGAGATGACGTTCCTCCTTTGTTCCTTTGCGGTTAAGGAATTTTACTTTATTATCACACAAACGTAATCGTTATACGACTTTAATTCCCACCACTTGTTGCATGGTTGACGAAAATGTTCCAAATCCATCTCGACTTTTAACTACATGTTTAGTTTAGGAAAATTTAACTCTGGTTTATTTGTCATTTGTGTATGTAGAAAGGACGCATGTTGTTCCCATGTTTAGTTAAATATATAATAGTAGAGCAATTATAGACGTAAGGACATTTCCGTTGGCTTTAGGTTTCGGTTGAAATAAGAACGAAAATCATAAGGACGAAACGAGACAAGTTTCGTACTCCGTGGTGCAAAACAAACAATGCATTTGCAATACATCAGCAACAGTAAGTTGATGCTGAAAGAGCAACTGTCACCTGTGTGTCCCTTGAATTTGGCGATTACTAAATGTGCGCTATTATGGAAAAGTCGTCTGTGTGCATACTGCGATTGAGATAAAGCATAAAAACAGGATTTTCATAAAAAGAGTAAAAGCGCAGTACCGACGACGACCGACCGTGAGAGAGTTTTGTAGCGAGACAAAGATCTCACAAGTAATCTGCTGAAGATGCAAGTGAATCGCTCAAACAGCAACAACCATGAAGGCAGCAGAAGCGGTGGATAAAGTGTTGAAATGAGAAAACATGCAAAAAATCTGGACATAAAATGTTGCATGAAATTGCTCAGCGTTTAACCAAAACCACGAAAAGTTACTTATAAAATTTTACTCCATACAGCATCACACACACACCGACACGTCATCGGCAACCAGTGACAGAGATAAAGATTTCGAGTTTTTGTTCCGTAATCCAATTTTCACTTTAAACTTTTCCACTTGTCCACCATTACATCACGCCGGGCTGTGCAGAGTAGTGGCAGCGAATCTTAAGTTAACGTGCATTGGGACGGAGCGTCTATGAAGCGTTTGGCCGATGTTGCAGTCATCCGATGTCAACCGTGTGAATTCTAATTATCTTGATCCGCTTGATTTACAGAATTTGAGCCGTCGCTACCAGTACGCTCAAAGTTCATGAGAGAGAAATGTCAAAGTGCTTACTTACTCGGTTTGTAATACAATCTGGACTTGTTGTTTATTCAAAGTCATACGAAACAAACTATATTTTCATATTGTTTACTTAATATTGTTTACGACGAATATTTTCATATAGTAAATATGACATCGTATAATACTTATTGCATCATGCTATGCAACAGCTCATTCATAAATAATCAAATCAATGAAACATGACATGCAGAAATATCATGCGTGAGAACGAATTGACTGCTCCGAACCATTAGTGATGGCCATGATTTTTTAACACTCGAGATTGAACTGCGCCATTGCACGAACTAATTATCACTTGTAAAAACGACTTAATTATGTATTACTTATACGTGCATGGAAGTTCTTGACATTTGGAGATTTAATTTGTAAGAGTTGAATTCATCCATCCATTTGTAAATGTTTCTGCTCCTCGACACTTGCAATATCAAATTATTTCTGGATTTGACAATATTTTTAATACTTATTGCAATATTTATTAAAATTTTTGACATATGAATTTCAAGCTCGAAAGTTGAATCACCTCAGAAAACTAGAGGCTTTTTTGTGGAGAGCATGTTGATTTCTTTGATTTTGGTCCTGGATTTTGTAGAGGTTTCCCTTCTTACCAGTTTTAACTGGTATTACACTACGTATTACATTTAATGCATAACATTTACTATGGCTAACTATAATTTATCCAACTTGTGCATGCTTAACCTTAATGAGAATTTATATCAAAATCTAATTATTTTTAAGAAAATTTAAATCCCAACATACATGCAGCATAGTTTTCTTATACTGGCACTTGTTTCAGGCTGATACGTGATGCATTATCGCATGTCAGTTACTCATAACATTTAGTAAATATGTCAAACACAGGAGAAGTAATTAATATTTAAATTATAATAATTTTTCATGTAAAAGATCATTTTTGTACATAAAAGTAGCGCATTATGTTCATAACTGTATATAAGTTCACTCTAAAGTTTCAAGCTGAACTAGCGTACTTTAGTTCTATTATTTAAATAGTAATGTGCACTACTCCTTAAACAATTTGGAGATTTTATTATTTTAAATTCGACGTTTTGGCCAAATATTTGCAATCGTCGTTTGGTGAATTTTCCCATTTATTTATATACATTTCTCACAAGTGGATGTTAGGTGATCACCATTTCAAGAGACCATTGACCACTCAAAATAGATGAGCAAACAAACCCACTTGCTTTGCTTCCTATTTAATGAGTAAAGGTTTCGTATTTGCCTAACGTGAAATTATATTGTCGTTCATTTCAAGAATTTGGTAGCTTACTTTCCCCATGTTTTACTACCACAAATTTAGAAACCAGTGACGGGGAAGTAGTTTTAATGGGATCAAGTGGGCAGTCACCTTCTCTCGAGTTAGTGCTAAAGTTGTGAAGAAACTGTGACAATAAATTGGGACTCGGTCCGGTTGATATGAGAAGATATGACTCTTGGTTGGCAGGCAAGTGAGAAGAAGACTCGGCTAAACTTACTTCTACTTTGTTCCTTTGTTTTAGAGTAGTCACGATATGTACGATACGATAGAATACAGGTTGCGGGACTATATTTACGTATGTATTTAACTCGCAAGTGCGGATTTTCGTATTTTCCGTAGGTTTAGTCTAATGCGTAGAAGATTAATTCATTTTGGTGTTGTGAAAGGTTGGAGGTGTAAAATAGAGCCTTGCACGACACTGTGTGCCCGTATAAATTATGATATAATCTCACGGAATATGATCTCCGTCTCATGGTGTTGGCATTTATTAGCAAACGGAAAAGGGCAAAAATAGCACGTAGCAGGAAGAGAAAGTGCAAGTGTGGGAGGATATTTTTGGGCGAAGAATCAGATTCGCGAATTAGAACAGTCTGGAAAACCCAGGCGTGTGTGTATTGTCTATATTGTAGCAGATGGGTCAAAACATGAACAAGTTTGTCACACTTCAAGTGTTTCCAGTATTTGGGTGAAAAATAACCCTTCTTTTCGCTTAAAATTAAATCAGTACATGGTTTGTTGTTTATTTGATAAAAAACGAATCTCACAAAGCTATTCATTGACACGCGTCTCAATGTTGGTTAAACGACCTTAAAAAGTTCAATAACATGGAAGAAAAGCAATGAAAAACGGCGACGGCTGCCACTTTTCAATAAAAAAGTGAAAAATTGAAAAAAAGTGTTGATACACAAAATGGGTTGAAGAACTGGAAACCTTTGTATAATTGGGGTAAAAAGGCTTATTCTATCCGTCCTCATGTACTTCCATTGGACAACACGAGAAGGACACACTTTTTGATTATATAGATTCCAGGACGCTTTTACGACAGAGAATCCAGATTCGGGGAAAGGGGAAATGGTATAATGTGCACGAGTTGGGGATAGAACTGCAGCGGTGTGCATACCCATTGACACTTGTTACACAACAATAAATATGTATATTCACCCAAAGAAACGTTTGGGTGTACATCACAAAAACTTGAAAGAACCCATTTCATGATTTGGTTTGGTTCAGTCTATGCCATAAGATTTTATGTTGGTGGAATTGAGAGAAATGGTTTAATGGATTAAACGCATGTCGTTTAACTTTACGATGAAAATGTCGTAGCCAAAATTAAATTAAATTAATGGCAATCAACAATTGAATAATAATTTCACTCGTCTCCTTCTAAACGGAATGCATAACGTATAGTTTCTTGCTTACCATTTTCGTGCATTGAATTAGTCCAAA